TGGTGGGCTAGCCCGTGCTGGGCTTGGTGTGGGCTAGCCCGTGGGCTTGGTGTGGGCTAGCCCGTGCTGGGCTTGGTGTGGGCTAGCCCGTGCTGGGCTTGGTGTGGGCTAGCTCGTGCTGGGCTTGGTGTGGGCTAGCCCGTGCTGGGCTTGGTGTGGGCTAGCCCGTGCTGGGCTTGATGTGGTCTAGCCTGTGCTGGGCTTGGTGTAGGCGAGCCCCTGTTGGGCTTTGTGTGGGCTGGCCCGTGTTGGATTGGTGTGGGCTAGTCTGTGTTGGGCTGTTGTAGGCTAGCCTGTGTTGAGCTGGTGTGGGATTGTTGTGCACTAGCCCATGTTGGGCTAAGTGTGGGCTGGCCTGTCTTGGGCTGGTGTAGGCTAGCTTGTGTTGGTCTGGCGTGGAGTTGGTGTGGGCTAGCACGAGTTGAGCTTGGTGTGGTCTGGCCCGTGTTGGGCTTGGTGTGGGCTAGCCTGTGTCGGGCTAGTGTGGGCTTGGTGTGGGCTAGTCCATGCTGGGTTAGCCAGTGTTGGGCTGGTGTGGGCTTGGTGTGGTTGTGTTGGGCTGGTGTGGGCTTGGTATGGTCTAGCCTGTGTTGGGCTTGTATAGGCTAGCACATGATGGGCTGGTGTGGGCTAACCCATGCCCACCTTGCCCACCGAATACTCACATGGGGTCATGTTTGCTGGATAGACATTAACATAACTGTTATCATACCATCAACCAGTTGAAAGCAGCAGTTTGGTGTTAGGATTACAGGCCAATTCTCTTTCCACAGGTTGGCCATAATATTACATTGTGCTGATACTGTTCTGATGCGTAATGTAGGCGATAATGATGTTGCATTAGGGCTCAGAGCTTTCATAAGGTTTGATTTATAGTAATGTTTGTGTCTCAGTCAGAGGTTTCCATTTTTCATGTAGACAGCGTCTTAAACAGTTGATTGCCAGGATGCTCTGTAATGTAAATTACCCTCCCGATATTAATGATACCTAATTAACAAAGGGACCCCCATCACGACTCGCCTAGCGCGATAATTAGATACTGTGTCCCTTTGATCTCCCAGACTGAGGTTTATCATCTTTAATCAAGGATGAATTACATCTAAAGAGCTGTGATTAACAAGAAGCCTATCTGTCTTCATCACACAGTGAAAGGTGAGGAGAATGAAAAGAGGGTGGGTGGTTGTTTTTTGTGCATTATTTATCCCTCCTGTTTTGGTCAGAGATAGGTGCTAATTAAAAGAGGAGTATTTGACTTATGGAATATATCCGACCTAGCCGAATAGACAATCTCTGAGCCCAATACGCCTTCTCTCTGTTTCCTTTTATGTTGATGCATTTAAATGTGTTTAATTGTGAAATGTGCTAATCGCGCTTTTGGGGAGCCAAGCGATCAGTATTTGTGTTTCAGTCATCCTTTCCACCAAAACAGTTGGTTGGTTTGCATATGAGTAGGGCTGGACAGAAAGAGCCCACAGAAATGATTTTAAGTCAAACATATTTGTGGATTTAAAGGAATAGTTCACCAAAATTACAATACTATTGTTTCCTTACCTTACCTAATCTATCCCTTTAATTCTAAACAAACCAGATTCTACTAATAGATTGAAGTCACAGGGTAATACCTTAAGCCGACAGTTTTCGTCTGTCCATACCCGGAGGTCACTAATGTAGCATATCATGATCTAAGAAACACCTGGCATTTCTATGCTTACCGCTCTGTATTTTGACGAACAGCAGTTCCCATGCTGTTGGTTCTTGCTACAGCCATTCATGAGCTATAATTTTCAGATTTAGGGTTTATTGTCCTCCCCATTTCTCCTTCCACTAGTTGCCAATAGTATAAGTAGTCAAAATGTTGCACCAACTGATACTAGATAATCTGCACAGAGAGTGAAGTACCTATGCTATGAACCTGCACAATAACTATTTAAACCTCAGATGTCATTCAAAAACCTAAGAATACAATGACTTTATGCTTTCTCAGATCATTAGCAAAATGAGCTATTCTTTATATGTAGTGTTCGAGCTTGTTTTTTTATAAGGCAGAAAGAAATGAAAGCTTGCAGCCGTCTCTGACATATTTTCTGAGGTGCAATGGCTTTGGTGGGGCAGCAGGTTCGTTTGCAAATGCTTTATCTCTGCAGAACTCACCTGGGAGCTATAGCAGAACCTCAATGGAGGGTTAGCATTTCAAACAGAATTCACGTTGCCACAATGGTCGCCCATTAGATGGCAGCTAGCTCCACCACGCTCCATTCACTGGCTCTATGAACTGGATAAATCTAGCCCGTTTGAAAAGTGGAGAATTGCTGTCACTAATTCTTTAAGTTCAACACTTTATACTGAAGCCATGGTTCAGAAAGCCATCCAGAAATAACACCTGGTATTGCCCTTAAAGGGACAATGTGGTGATTTTTCTGCTGTTCAGGTCATCTCAAGGCCACCCATTGATTCTTGAAGGATATAACTAATAAATGCTGCATGAGCTTAGTATAACTGTGTTACCCTATCATAACCCAAAATATAAGGTTATATTACTACATTCTTTATGTTTGTAATTCCCCAGCCCCATCGACCTGTCAGATTAATACCAACCCAGCAAACATGACTCCATTGGCCCCATGTGGGTATTCGGTGGGCAAGGTGGGCACGGGCTAGCCCACAGCAATTCCACATCAGCCCAACACGGGTGAGCCCAGCAAAGGTCGCATTGGCCCAATGTTGGCAGCCTACATGGGGCCAATATTTTTGCCCGCATTGGGCCCACATCGTGCCAATGTGGGCATGTTTGCTGGGAAGCAAAATGATGGGGCTGCCATTGGGCTAAAACACAAATTCAGGATTGTGATTTTTTAATTTTTTTATCCATATTTAGAACTTAGATAATTTGTCTTTTAATTCAGTCTGCAGTGTAAATGGTTAAAATGAACCAAGGTAAACAAATACAGTGGGGAAAAAAAGTATTTAGTCAGCCACCAATTGTGCAAGTTCTCCCACTTAGAAAGATGAGAGAGGCCTGTAATTTTCATCATAGGTAAACGTCAACTATGACAGACAAATTGAGAAAAAATAATCCAGAAAATCACATTGTAGGATTTTTAATGAATTTATTTGCAAATTATGGTGGAAAATAAGTATTTGGTCACCTACAAACAAGCAAGATTTCTGGCTCTCACAGACCTGTAACTTCTTCTTTAAGAGGCTCCTCTGTCCTCCACTCGTTACCTGTATTAATGGCACCTGTTTGAACTTGTAATCAGTATAAAATACACCTGTCCACAACCTCAAACAGTCACACTCCAAACTCCACTATGGCCAAGACCAAAGAGCTGTCAAAGGACACCAGAAACAAAATTGTAGACCTGCACCAGGCTGGGAAGACTGAATCTGCAATAGGTAAGCAGCTTGGTTTGAAGAAATCAACTGTGGGAGCAATTATTAGGAAATGGAAGACATACAAGACCACTGATAATCTCCCTCGATCTGGGGCTCCACGCAAGATCTCACCCCGTGGGGTCAAAATGATCACAAGAACGGTGAGCAAAAATCCCAGAACCACACGGGGGGACCTAGTGAATGACCTGCAGAGAGCTGGGACCAAAGTAACAAAGCCTACCATCAGTAACACACTACGCCGCCAGGGACTCAAATCCTGCAGTGCAAGACGTGTCCCCCTGCTTAAGCCAGTACATGTCCAGGCCCGTCTGAAGTTTGCTAGAGTGCATTTGGATGATCCAGAAGAGGATTGGGAGAATGTCATATGGTCAGATGAAACCAAAATATAACTTTTTGGTAAAAACTCAACTCGTCGTGTTTGGAGGACAAAGAATGCTGAGTTGCATCCAAAGAACACCATACCTACTGTCAAGCATGGGGGTGGAAACATCATGCTTTGGGGCTGTTTTTCTGCAAAGGGACCAGGACGACTGATCCGTGTAAAGGAAAGAATGAATGGGGCCATGTATCGTGAGATTTTGAGTGAAAACCTCCTTCCATCAGCAAGGGCATTGAATATGAAACGTGGCTGGGTCTTTCAGCATGACAATGATCCCAAACACACCGCCCGGGCAACGAAGGAGTGGCTTCGTAAGAAGCATTTCAAGGTCCTGGAGTGGCCTAGCCAGTCTCCAGATCTCAACCCCATAGAAAATCTTTGGAGGGAGTTGAAAGTCCGTGTTGCCCAGCGACAGCCCTAAAACATCACTGTTCTAGAGGAGATCTGAATGGAGGAATGGGCCAAAATACCAGCAACAGTGTGTGAAAACCTTGTGAAGACTTACAGAAAACGTTTGACCTGTGTCATTGCCAACAAAGGGCATTTAACAAAGTATTGAGAAACTTTTGTTATTGACCAAATACTTATTTTCCACCATAATTTGCAAATAAATTCATTAAAAATCCTACAATGTGATTTTCAGGAAAAAAATTTTTTATTTTGTCTATCATAGTTGACGTGTACCTATGATGAAAATTACAGGCCTCTCTCATCTTTTTAAGTGGGAGAACTTGCACAATTGGTGGCTGACTAAATACTTTTTTTCCCCACTGTATATATATATATATTCTGATGAGAAGGGGTCCTCTGTAGCTCAGCTGGTAGAGCACGGCGCTTGTAACGCCAAGGTAGTGGGTTCGATCCCCGGGACCACCCATACACAAAAAAAATGTATGCACGCACGACTGTAAGTCGCTTTGGATAAAAGCGTCTGCTAAATGGCATATTATAAGGGATGAGGCATGCATGGAGCATGAGTACATGAGTCATGCAGTTACTGGCAGTTTAACCACAGCTTACAGGCCTACCTCTTAGCCTTAGCAGGTCAATTGGCTGACAATAATCATTGCATGTCAAAACAGTGGAAAACGACATGTTAACATGCCTGGAAGTAGACTGTTAATTTGTTGCCAATTTCAAAACGACACTTCCAGAGGTAAAAGTTCTGTACAGCCTTTTTAACACTCCCAATCTGTTGTGTGTTGCAGGTAATGACGTGGCTCAGGTTTGACCTCGGAGATGCCGAAGAGACGAGACATTCTGGCCATCGTGTTGATCGTGTTGCCTTGGACGCTACTCATCACTGTTTGGCATCAGAGTGCCATCAACCCCTTGCTAGCTGCTCAAAAGGGTAAAATTCGTTCCTCCATTTCCCTAGGGGGGTTTCATGGTTAGTCTCTCTAGTAAAGGAAAACAATTGTTTTGCTTATATCTATGCTTATTTTGGGATGCTCCTCTTAATATAGTACACTTTAGAGACATGATTAAAAAGAACGAAGTCTACACATGTCCCTGATTTTACAGCAGATTCTTTGGGCATTTTTCCCCACTTAACATTTAATGAGAATATGCTTCATTCTCTTTTGCAAGACTTTTAAGACAATGGGCAAATGTTTTTGTTCATAATGAGCTGAAAATCTCACCAGTGTCTGAAGGAAAATGTTATTGTCATTTTGTGAGACCGTGGCATGAGGTCGCGATCAATTTGAGCTCTATCAGAAGAAAATATATGGTCCACATAATTGAATTACACTATATATACAAAAGTATGTGGACACCCCTTTAAATTAGTGGATTCGGCTATTTCAGCCACACATGTTGCTGACAGGTGTATAAAATCGAGCACACAGCCATGCAATCTCCATAGACAAACATTGGCTTGCTATAGCTGCCCCGGTCAATTGTAAGCGCTGTTATTGTGAAGTGGAAACGGCTAGGAGCAACAATGGCTCAGCCGCGAAGTGGTAGGCCACACAAGCTCAAAGAATGGGAGCGCATCAAAATCTGTCCTTCTAGACAATTCTGTCCTTCCAACTTTGTGGCAACAGTTTGGGGAAGACCCTTTCCTGTTTCAGCATGACAATGCCCCAATGCACAAAGCGAGGTCCATACAGAAATGTTTTGTCGAGATCGGTATGGAAGAACTTGACTGGCCTGCACAGAGCCCTGACCTCAACCTCATCGAACACCTTTGGGATGAATTGGAACGCCGACTGCGAGGCAGGCCTAATCGCCCAACATCAGTGCCCGACCTCACTAATGCACTTGTGGCTGAATGGAAGCAAATCCCCGCAGCAAATGTTCCTATATCTAGTGGAAAGCCTTCCCAGAAGAGTGGAGGCTGTTATAGCAGCAAAGGGGGGACCAACTCCATATTAATGCCCATGATTTTGGAATGATATATTCGACAAGCAGGTGTCCACATACTTTTGGTCATGTAGTGTATTTCTCTATTTCTCTATTCACACCTTAAACTGACTCATATTAGTCTGACAACTAATTAATTCCTTTATAAATGAGTGATGAGTATACGAGGAGATTACATGTCACAAGTAGATTACATGTCTAGCAAAAGAGTATGGAGTTAGATTTCAGAATGATACGTTCGTTCAAACCATAACAGATGGCTAAGAAGTGTCCAACTGTACAACTATGTTCAACTATTTGCGCGACTAGATGTTGCCCCTCTCTCCACGAAGGCCATCTTTATGGAAACGTACAGATCCTAAACAGTCTATAATCGTTTATTATACCAACAACACCAGCTTTCTTTCCCTTCTCCTAGATGACAGACATGAGAGTCGGCGAGACTCCCGGAACACCTTCACCCTCAAGAAGCACTGCTCCTCTGAGAACAACAAGGACATTGTGGAGGTGGTGCGCACCGAATACGTCTACAGCCGCCAGCCGCCCTGGTCTGATGTCCTCCCCACCCTCCACGTCGTCACCCCAACCTACAGCCGGCCGGTCCAGAAGGCGGAGCTGACCCGTCTGGCCAACACCTTCCTCCACGTGCCTAACCTGCACTGGATCCTGGTGGAGGACTCTCAGCGACGAACCCCGCTTGTCACCAGGCTTCTCCGGGAAACAAGCCTGAACTACACTCACCTCAACGTGGAGACACCCAGGACCTATAAGCTGCGTGGGGACACAATGGACCCCAGGATACCCCGGGGAACCATGCAGAGGAACCTGGCCCTGCGCTGGCTCCGGGAGACCTTCAGCTCCAACAATAGACACAGCCAGCCAGGTATCGTCTACTTTGCAGATGATGACAACACCTACAGTCTGGAGCTGTTTGAGGAGGTGAGTGGAACAGGGAGAGATGTTGTGCAGTACAGAGTTGTTTCCTCTTGAGTTACCAAAATAGGCAAAATGTGTGGCTTCAGTGCGCACTAACTGTATAATGACATAAAGAACATGAATCCTTACAGTATGCCAGTAGGTAAATGCACAGCCTAAAAACATAGGCATCACTTGACACCTGCCTATTTGTGCATGATAAAATAGCTATTTCCTCAAATAAATTCATAGAATATACTGGAAAATCAATACTTATTGATCACATAGTAATCCTTCTCCAACCAATGGTTCAACCATATAATTACATATAGAACACAATTCTCTATGGGCTCAACCCTCTCTCTCCTTCTTGTGTAGATGCGTTCAACTAGGAAGGTGTCGGTGTGGCCTGTAGCCTTTGTGGGCGGCCTGCGCTACGAGTCCCCTAAGGTCAACACCGTGGGCAAGGTGTATGGATGGAAGACTGTGTTTGACCCCCACCGACCCTTTGCCATAGACATGGCTGGGTTTGCGGTGAACCTCCGCCTCATTCTCTTTAAGCCTCAGGCCTACTTCAAGCTGTGGGGAGTCAAGGGAGGATACCAGGAGAGCAGCTTACTGCGGGAGCTGGTCACCCTCAATGACCTGGAGCCCAAGGCTGCTAATTGCACTAAGGTGAGGATCTGATAGTTGTTCTGTGTGGCTCAGTTGATAGAGCATGGTGCTTGCAACACTATGGTTATGGGTTTGATTCCACCCATAAGAAAACATATGCACTCACTACTGTAAGTTGCTCTGGATAAAAGCGTCTGCTAAATGGCATATACTATTATTATATTAAAGAGGTGTGTTGTGACTGTTGACCAGTACAAGACAAGTAGACAATTATATCGGTTACAGCTGATATTATACTGACGTTGTAATCTTGTTGTAGTGACTTAATTTCAACTAGTTTGGTGCGCTGAGAATGTGGTCGTAACAAATAATGACATGTGTAGTGGTATGCACTGAACAGGAAGTCGCTGATGCAAACTTTTAGTTGTTATTTTCTACTGTAAATGGAGGAGAATAATGCTCTTACTGTATGGATTTCAATAGGCTTTCAGTCGCTAAGGCCTTTATTCCTCAACATTTTCCACATTTTGCCTCGTGAAATGTACTTCCGATCAAATGCTTTAGAAAATGCATGTTGTTTCATAAACCCATGTGTTTTAGCCCCCTTGCATCTCACCTGTATTCACGCACGCACTCACACACACACACAGTTCCGCACCTTATGTCCCTTCAGCAAATGTTGACCATGTTTGAATATAAGGGTGAAACTAGCAAGTGAATCATTCTTCCGCTCTCTACAACAATACACACACATCTTCAAAGACAAGATAAAAAAAGTTGTTCAAAGATTTGTGCAATCTTTGAAGTGGTAAAGCAATGCTTCAGCTGTACCTTTTCCAACCTTTTCACTTGAACCTCCCCCCAGGTACTTGTATGGCACACTAGGACAGAGAAGCCTGTTCTGGTGAATGAGGGAAAGAAAGGATTTACCGACTCCAACGTGGAGATATGAAACGTCTTCCAACACAGGTAATAAGAAAGCTTTAAAGTGACTGGGATTATGTAAGATTGAAAAATTACTGTACCTTTCCCAAAGTTTTACAACCCTATGTCTGAGGGCCAACCTGTCTTTCTGAGCTTCTGTGAGCTTATTATTATTATTATATTAAAGCATTTAATATTATATTATTATTCGTAGAGTAAAGCTTTGCCGAATCTATCTGAATTTGTATAACAGGGATGTTATGATTTCATTAAATAAAAACTTGACAGATGATCCATACTAAAAAGCTATTTTTATGGTTTAATGTCTATGGTTTCCGGAACCCCTCTTCAAAACCATTTGTCTAAACAATTCTCTCCATGTTTGGTAGTAATGAGAATGTAACGATGAATTCATTTTTTCTTAATTATGTATTTTCTTTGCCCATCTCCTAAGCCCAAATACCATTGAGTTATTACAGGTAATAAATATATGGCTGGGATTCCAAATGGACTGACAAAAGACAAGCTCCAGGCAGGCAGGCAGGATCGGAGTGAAATATGTATTTACAGTAATAGCACTGTAAAGGGAGTCAGACAGCCACCTTGTCTACTACAAGCAGCACACAGCCACGTATCAATACAGGCGTAGAATATCAAAGCATAGATTCATAGAGGATGGTGATACTGTATCTAGCTAAGCGCTTTACTGATGCATCGATGGAAGCTGAACACGTGGAGCTAGCCAGTCGCCAGAGTGCAGCTTAAGACAAAAGACTGTTGGCGGTTCAGACTACTGTCAGCGGTTCATACAGTGGCCAATAAGAAGCATCCTCAACCCAGCCGACACAAACCAACCATCCAATCAACATCCTCAAAACCAGGTACTGGACCAAACATGACCAATCAGGGGCCCCGAATGGCCCTTGTTTACTGGTGATTGGGCTCCCTTTGTCATGGAGCGGACTGTTCTTGGGGTGGATAAAGGGGTCCTTGTCTGACTCGAGTCAGCATTGACTGACAGACTGATCTGGAGAGGACATGAACCCTTCTCACGTCCCACTGTAAAACACTGAGCTATTCAGACAGCTCCGCTCCCTCAAATCACTAATTAGGACACGTCTCACACACACAAACACGTCTCACACACATACACAGATATGTGTGCACAGTGTACACACATACAAATGCCTGTGCACACACACACACACACACACACACACACACACACATACACACAAACACACACACACACAGACATGCACACACATACATGAGCTGGTGCGCATGCGTGCACGCACATGCACACAGACACAACCATCCATCCACAGAGTAGTCATCAGAATAGTCATCAGAGTAGTCATCAGAATAGTCATCAGAGTAGTCATCAGAATAGTCATCAGAGTAGTCATCAGAATAGTCATCAGAGTAGTCATCAGAGTAGTCATCAGAATAGTCATCAGAGTAGTCATCAGAGTAGTCATCAGAGTAGTCATCAGAGTAGTCATCAGAGTAGTCATCAGAATAGTCATCAGAGTAGTCATCAGAGTAGTCATCAGAGTAGTCATCAGAGTAGTCATCAGAGTAGTCATCAGAATAGTCATCAGAGTAGTCATCAGAATAGTCATCAGAGTAGTCATCAGAGTAGTCATCAGAGTAGTCATCAGAGTAGTCTGTGTTGCACATTCCACCCAAATACGATGATTTAGCTTAACACCTGTACTGTAATGCCAGTTTTGGTTGTTTGTTGTTTGTTTTTGTCCATTTGCACATGTTTTACTGATCATATAACACTACTGATTATATCAGCACTTTAAGACCAGGCTCTGTTGCCTATGTTCATTTTGGTGTCAAATACTGTATGCATCAAATTGTTTCACGTCTCCAACAGAAATTAGGTGAGGACGTTTGCCAGTGAAACCGTTTTATTTTTTTTAAATGTTACAATGCTAATTTTGTTTTTAGAGCTAGTCAATTAGATATTATTATTTCACAACACACACTACATCATGTACAGTCACAGGATACATGCCAGTAATGGTCTTCCCTTGACACAGTATGTCATTTTCTAAACAGTCTGGACCCCAAACGCTACTTGTTGACCTTTGATTTGATATTCAAAGGTCAACAGAAGGAATACGTCTGCTTTGTAAACAGCCACTGTAATATTTATATGTATATACGATCATAAAAATGTACTCAGTATGTCAGCATCTTTTTGCTTTCCTTGTTTGACATGGTTAATTATTCTTGTTGATATTGTAATTTCTGTTCAAAATCATAGCATTGGTTTTCTTTTTTATAAATGAATCCTATACAGTCCTGGTCTCAGCACATATCTCCCGAGTATCACGGTCTCCCGAGTGGCGCAGTGGTCTAAGGCTCTGCATCGCAGTGCTAGCTGTGCCACTAGAGATCCTGGTTCGAATCCAGGCTCTGTTGTGACCGCGAGACCCACGGCCCAGCGTCGTCCAGGGTAGGGGAGGGAATGGCTGGCAGGGATGTAGCTCAGTTGGTAGAGCATGGTGTTTGCAACGCCAGGGTTGTGGGTTCGATTCCCACGGGGTTGGCCAGTATGAAAAATAAAAAGATAATGTATGCACTCACTAACTGTAAGTCGCTCTGGATAAGAGCGTCTGCTAAATGACTTAAATATACAGCACACTAACTCATATTTGCCAATATGATGAATGCTAAAATAAAACTGCTGCAGCTCTTGTAGCCTGTCAATCAGTGGTCAGATGATACAGGTATAACATTTTGTTTGGAAGTAAGAGTCACCAGAATGCTATCATTAACATGACATGCCATTTGTTATAACCAAAATACTTGTCATCAAGACACATACAGACGTTGATGACTTGGTTAGTTCCCACAATCATTCCACTTGTTCTCGTTCCTTGATTCAATAAATAAACCACAGTTTGGATTACATTTACGTCAATAAAATGATGAACAATATTCTACTCAAGATGGATACAGTGCCTTGCAAAAGTATTCATCCCCCTTGGCGTTTTTCCTATTTTGTTGCATTACAACCTGTAATTCAAATTATTATTTTTGGGGATTTCATGTCATGGACATACACAAAATAGTCCAAATTGGTGAAGTGAAATGAAAAAAATAACTTGTTTCAAATAATTCTAAAAAATAAATAACAGAAAACTGGTGCGTGCATGTTTTCACCCCCTTTGCTATGAAGCCCCTAAATAAGATCTGGTGCAACCAATTACCTTCAGAAGTCACATAATTAGTTAAATAAAGCCCACCTGTGTGCAATCTAAGTGTCACATGATCTGTCACATGATCTCAGTATATATACACCTGTTCTGAAAGGCCCCAGAGTCTGCAACACCACTAAGCAAGGGGCACCACCAAGCAAGCGGCACCATGAAGACCAAGGAGCTCTCCAAACAGGTCAGGGACAAAGTTGTGGAGAAGTACAGATCAGGGTTGGGTTATAAAAAATTATCAGAAGCTTTGAACATCCCACAGAGCACAATTAAATCCATTATAAAAAAATTGAAAGAATATGGCACCACAACAAACCCGCCAAGAAAGCGCCACCAACCAAAACTCACGGACCAGGCAAGGAGGGCATTAATCAGAGAGGCAACAAAGAGACCAAAGATAACACTGAAGGAGTATCTGTCCATAGGACCACTTTAAGCCATACACTCCACAGAGCTGGGCTTTATGGAAGAGTGGCCAGAAAAAAGCCATTGCTTAAAGAACAAAATAAGCAAACACGTTTGGTGTTCGCCAAAAGCCATGTGGGAGACTCCCCAAACATATGAAAGAAGGTACTCTGGTCAGATGAGACTAAAATTGAGCTTTTTGGCCATCAAGGAAAACGTTATGTCTGGTGCAAACCCAACACCTCTCATCACTCCGAGAACACCATCCGTTTTTCATCGGCAGGGACTGGGAAACTGGTCAGAATTGAAGGAATGATGAATGCCGCTAAATACAGGGAAATTCTTGAGGGAAACCTGTTTCAGTCTTCCAGAGATTTGAGACTGGGACGGAGGTTCACCTTCCAGCAGGACAATGACCCTAAGCATACTGCTAAAGCAACACTCGAGTGGTTAAAGGGGAAACATTTAAATGTCTTGGAATGGCCTAGTCAAAGCCCAGACCTCAATCCAATTGAGAATCTGTGGTATGACTTAAAGATTGCTGTACACCAGCGGAACCCATCCAACTTGAAGGAGCTGGAGCAGTTTTGCCTTGAAGAATGGGCAAAAATCCCAGTGGCTAGATGTGCCAAGCTTATAGAGACATACCCCAAGAGACTTGCAGCTGTAATTGCTGCAAAAGGTGGCGCTACAAAGTATTGACTTTGGGGTGGTGAATAGTTATGCACGCTCAAGTTTTCTGTTTTTTTGTCTTATTTCTTGTTTGTTTCACAATAAAATATATTTTGTATCTTCAAAGTGGTAGGCATGTTGTGTGAATCAAATGATATAAACCCTCCCAAAATCAATTTTAATTCCAGGTTGTAAGGCAACAAAATAGGAAAAATGCCAAGGGGGGTGAATACTTTCGCAAGCCACTGTAAGGTGAGTTATTCCCATACAATGTACAGCATTTTGGGTCCCAGAGAAAAAACGATTTTAAAAAATAAGATCCATTATCCATTATTATTGTTTATTAAAAGTACAGTAGCTTGGGAATGTAGTTACTGAATGTCCACAGCCATGCCCAGATCAGGAGTCTCCTCAAATGTGATCTTATAGTCAGCTTCCTGCTCTTCAAACACAATCACCTGCATGATGATGATGATCATGATGTTGATGAAGATGATGAAGAAACACATGACGTTAACAGAACGAGACTGTAAGTAAACACAACTTTGTGAACCTAAGACTAAGAACCTAAGAGCATGTTTGATCCCCTTTTAATGTCTTATTATCTTATCATAATGATGCTGACTAAGTGCTTGTAGTGAGTCCTACCTGGTTTACTCCACTGTTGAGAAAAGGTCCTGGGAGGTAGAGTGTTTGCTGTGGGCCAATATACCAGTGGCGCCCCAGGTTCAAACCATTGATGAAGACTACCCCTTTGCCCCAGCCCTGTAAACATTATCATAGGCATTATAACATCATAACTTTACTGTCATCCCATTTTGTTTAAGCCTCATAAATAATTAAAGTGCTTGCTGAAAGCCCCCCCAAATATATTTCAATACCATAAATACTATAAAGACAAGCAAGCACACACATTTTATTCAGGGGATTTTCTAGTTCATTCTTTGAAAATGTATCCATTTACAATTCACTTAGGGGGAATTCAGACCTGAGTTACACGCACGTAAATGGAACTTTATTCCTTTTTATGCACTTTTATCTTTACGCGTATTCTGACCTTGAACTTGAGCGTGAGGAAACGCATGTAAAGGTGGAGATCATAGAAAATTATGGCGGAGGTGTGTCTACAGATACGCCATATTCTGACCATGATTTAATACCCTCACAATTCCACCACCTTTACGCATGAGGAAACCATGAATAAGGTCGAGCACCAGTCGGTTCCAAGTGGAAAAACATCTGCTGTAGAAATAACACCATTCTCCATGCACTATAATGTATAAATTGATAAGAGCTAGGTAAATTAGTTTGGAGAAGGGGATTGTAATTACAAATAGCAATTTTTTTAGATGATATTTACTTATGATCGCTGGAGACAAATGTGAAACCAGTCATATGTAAGCAAACTGAAAATCATATCAACATGATACGTACAGTGCATTCGGAATGTATTCAGACCCCTTGACTTTTTCCACATTTTGTTACGTTACAGCCTTATTCTAAAATTGATTAAATCGTTTTTTTCCCTCATCAGTCTACACACAATACCCCATAATGACAAAACTGGAAATATTACATTTACATAAGTATTCAGACCCTTTACTCAGTACTTTGTTGAAGCACCTTTGGCAGCGATTACAGCCTCGAGTCTTCTTGGGTATGACGCTACAAGCTTGGCACACCTGTATTTGGGGAGTTTCTCCCATTCATCCTCTCAAGCTCTGAATATGCATATATTTAGATGGCTTTCTTTCATTGATCCCTAATATTCTGAACCCGTTATCTCAATATATTATATTGAGTCTATTAAAAAAATTCAAATTAATGGTATACCGTATTTAAAAGGATTAGATAACTGTACTGAAAACCCCATTGAATGAAAACTCCATGAGGAAATCTACTGGCCAGCAAGTGGGAGGGTTTTCAGCGGTTTAATTAAATGTATTCAGTGCGCATAAGGGAGACACTCCCAAAGAGCTCGTTGCGCACCTGCATAAGGTAAGTCTGAATACCAAATACTGAAAAGTGCTTTAATCAAAACGTGTAGGAATGTCACAAATTTCCTAAGTCTGAATCGGTCCCTTAATCACTTGACTTCCCTGCTCCACTAACAAGATAACAAACATACAATAGCATCAGAGAGAAGCACGCACACCAAAGCAGGTGTCACAGCCAAAGTATCACAGTATAATATGACTATATTTACTCACTGGTAGCTTGACGAAGGTGTCACTTGGATAGCCGTAGGTAAACATTCTTCCCAGGAAGAATCCAGGGAAACTGGGAATGTGTGGAAGGGACTTCCAAGGTGCCTGGTTGAGGCTGAAATAGATATATTACTCAAGGTATAGTCACAAATATATTAATGCCACACTGTCTAATATGTACATGCATACCATCAAAGGGTGGGCCACCAACAGAAATGTGTTCCATGAAATGTTCACATGCAAACATTGGTATGCTTGATTGGTATCTGTAGTGCTCAAGCTCATAAAAATGACTTTTTACGAGCTTGATTGTTTACAAGTACTACAAGTTGAAAATTTAAATATACAAACCTATCAATAAAGCTGGTTTTCATATCCAGACTGTATATGGTGAAGTCCCTCAATGGAGTGTTGTTCAATAGAATGTCACCTACGAGACCTACAATACAACACAGACAATAAAAAGGCATCAAAGCTGAAAAGAAGTACATTGTTACCAGTTTCTGCTACAGTAGGATAATACGATTTAGTTACAGTGTAAAGAGAGGATAGTCAAAATAGATGTGCACCTTTGCGCTGTTTATCTAGAGCTTTCCCATAGTGAACTCGTCCACAGTTCTCAACCAGTAAACTCAATGTCCGCTTTCCCTGTAGTTAGAATATTAAATCATTATTTGGCTCTGTTTGGTTGTTGATGATTATGAAAGCTTGAAAAGCTTGTAGGTCCTATTTGAAAGTAGCTTCCAGTAGGCCTCATGTTCATCTTGCAGTACCTTTCCATCAGGCACCGCTAGCTGCAGATTCTGATGCTTGAAAATGCCGATGTAGTGTCTGTCCACAAACACCTAGAAACAAACTTACATCTGTCAAATAAATGCCTTCAAAAGTGTAGTTTCCCAACTTCTGTATCATAAGAGAATCATAAGTGATTTCCACATTAACAGGACCATTTCAATTATAAAATGTGATATAACTGTGTCATAAACTCTATATTTTGAACAAGTCATGGTGTCTATAGGATGTGTAGACCCACCAGGGCTCTGTCCCGTACATTGTCTCCAGACTTGAGGGAGCCTCCGCTGGTTATAATGGTCTCATAGAGGGTATATCCATTGGACTGGCCATTCCCATTGTTCACTGGGAGATTCTCCATGTTGACTGGGGTTGGTGATTTAAATGGCTAGAGAGACAGAAAGAGCCACACACACACACACACACACACACACACACACACATGCACAGTCATGAAGCGTACGTTTGGTGTAGAACTGACCCATGCATACTCATATCCACATATACAGTACATACACACATATGCACATATGCACACAGAGGCACAAACGGACCCACACACACACAGACCGACCTACACACGGACCAGCGCCCACACACACAAGCACACGCGCACACACACAAACACACATACACACACATACATGCACACGCACACTCACCTCCCCAGCGAAGCTCAAGGCATCCCACAGAGAGAGGTGCTGGTACATGATGGCTGGCTCATACCTCTCCTTCCAACGCAGGGCCGGCATATCAGGGAGCTTCTCACCTCCGACACACAAGGCCAAGGGAGTCATCAGACAATGAGGTCACACACAATCTCCCTTACACTTTTAGGGCAGTATTCCAGACTCAGATTACAGTAAAACTAACCCTGGATTTAAACATTTTCAATGGGGATTCTCTATTGGTCCTGGAAACCAGCCCTTAAAGTTGACAAAAGTCGGGCTATTTAATTATTATTTTTAAGTTTAGTGATCAACTTACTGTGGTACTGACTGAATAGATCCCTGAGAAGGTGATACTTTGGTGTGTATTCCCCCGATTCGGACAGAGGTGCATCATAATCTGGATGACAGCAATCATCAGTGGGGAGTGGGGACAGGGAAGATCTCTCATGACATGTTGGTCCACACTGCCACTCATTGGTGGCAATGTGTAATACAAGATAATACAAAACAAAACTAAATTGTGAGAGGAAACTTCAAAACACATTGCCACTAGTGTAAATTGGAATGCTGCTAAAAAGTGGAATAAATATCTGGATAAGATACCATAGCTTGTGATTAGTGCCTTGTAGATTGGATTGATCAGTGCTCCGCTCATGAAACCAAAGTTAGTCCCTCCGTGGAACATGTACAGGTTAATGGACATGCCGCGTCTCAGAATCTCCCGCACAGCAGAAACCATATCTGACAAACAAAGAGATCATTCATGTTTATCGCAGATATCTAGCAATTTAATAACTGACATTTTGGAGAAGCATGTTAATGACAGGCACAAAAATATGTTGATGAATAGCAGCTTCAGAAAAACTCCACAGTCTGAAAAATGTGTACAACTGCAGAATAAGCTAAAGGAATATTAGTCATTTCATTGACTGCTACTTTTAAGTCATTGCGGAATCCTGCATATACTGGAAAGATGAAGGTAAACACATGGAAAGAGGTTCAGGACAGGGAGAAACGGAGGGACCATTTGGAGGACTTATGCGTCATTAGTCACGACAAAGCCTAAGTAAGTAAGTAAGCTTAAAAATACAACCCTACCCTCTTGGGCGAGGACATGGTGGAGGTCTCCCCATGCATCAAACCAGCCTGTCCAGTACTCCATCACCATCATGGGGCTATTAGGCTGCCGTGCATAAATACACAGTCCACAACTTACACATGATCAATACAGACTGCTATCATTTTAATTGGTGGCCAATGTATAAATACTTTGCTGATCTTCCTAATAAACTTTGTTCAGCATTTGTTGAAAATGTTCAAGTATGAAGATGAGGAGCAAGTGGAGAGAATGGGTTGTACCTGAATAGCATTCAAATACTTGATGTCGCCCTGATTCAGTTTCTGTAGATTCACTGTTCTGATGACTAGAAGATAGGTTGGATTTAAAGGAATATACTGTAAAATGACTGCAGAACTTTGATCAGTGAATGTGGACACAAGGACGGTGTAAAATAAGGACACTGTAAGTGTGTCTGCTGTAATGATAAACTGTACCTCCAGTCACACCCCCTTCCTTTAACCCCTCATGGTTATCTGACGTCAGTAAGAGCTCATTGATTCCTCTGGACTTTAGAGCCTATGAAGAAACACAGTAGTGAGCACCAACACTGGACATGACCCATACATTATAAAACCTAATTGGATAATGCCATACATTCTGTAATTACATTATTTGTGTGTGTGTGTGTGTGTGTGTGTGTGTGTGTGTGTGTGTGTGTGTGTGTGTGCATGTGTGTTTACCTCCTTGATGAAAGGCATGTAAGTGTTATCCATTGCAAATGATCCATATTCATTTTCCAACTGTACAGCAATGATGGGCCCTCCTTTCTTGAACTGAAAAAACAAAAAATACATTTTCAAATGATATAGGACAATTCTACAGCTAATGTATTCTATAGCTATAGCTTTGGTTTGGCTACAGCCAGGTTATATTCGAATAGGAACCAAATAATGACCTGTAGAGGAACCATTTTTGGAATGAGCTTGTCAAAGAACGTATTGACTGCCTCAGCAAATCCTGGGTGAGTAGTCCTCAACCTCATACTCCCGTCACGAAGAAGCCAACTTAACCGAGGGAAGAAGAGAGAGTGGAAAAGTAGTATTAGAACTGCCAGGGAGAAAGATAATTGGGGGTGTTGTAGTCAGTTAAACTCACTGTTCATGAAACTGTTGAGTCATATTCCCAGGAGGACAGAAAGCTAGAAGACAGCCAATCCGCCCCTCCCTGGGGTATAGTATAAGTTGTTTACCCTGGTTCCCATAGTCACATATTACAATCAAAATGGCACCTTGTGTTGCTAGATCAAGTGGCCTCTGTGCAAAACACATTTACACGCTCCGACCTCCTTATTACATTTACTGAGGAATGTTGCCTCAGAAATGTCCTGACTCTTAAGAGCAGACAATTCAACAGTAAAGTAGTGTAGGGCAGAGTCTCCTATTCAAAATGGATGGCTCCGTTGGCCTCGATTCCACCAAACTCCAAATGCGGTGGTTTAAAAATGGAAGGTCAGACAGACAGAAAAACAGGCAAACATACAAATAGATAGACAGACAGCTGACTGACCTCGGCAGCCCTCCTAGGTCCAGCTCAGAGCAAATGTACGGCCCTGGACGCAGGATCACCCAGAGTCCTACCTCAGCAGCCAGGTTAATGTAGGCTCTGGGAAAACAAGACACAGGGACATCACTCCGAACCAAAGTTTGTCAGTTGTTTTCAGACATAAAAATGAGTCCACTTCTGGACTGAGGTCTGATTTTGGAGTGTAAGTTTCACTTGAGTGTCAGATATGCAAATATTCTCTATGAGTGTGAACTATAGACATATAAAATTGGTGTGAACCCAAGTCCCCTGGAAACATGGGAATCATGTGACCTGACCTCAGTGCCATTAATTGCACAGCAAGTGCTGTTGTTGTGAAGATGCATTTGGGCTGTTGTCAGGATAGTGCATCTGCTACTCACTCCCATGAGCATGGCAGCTCGGGTAATAACGACACCTGATGCCAAATGATGTAAAAGGAAATTCCCAATGCGTTTCAGTCATTTGAGTATTAATGCCAGGGGGATAGATAAGATGCAAGACAATTATTTGTGTTTGTATAGAGCAATGGAAAGCTGCAAACGTTCAACTATAAATGATGAAGAGGAGGAACAGGAGGGGTCCTTACTCTAAATCCAACTCTGTTTGAAAGTGAAAAACCCCTCTCTCTGGCTGATGTAAGCTCCATGGTACATCTCTGCAAGAGAAACAGGATGCTCCTCATTATCGCACAACAAATGACCAGGGTCATGAACTATTACAACACACACATACACACACACACACACACACACTACATACGCCCACACACATAACATGCGCACACATGCAAACTGATGGCATACACACCCACACACACACACACAACTCACACACACACACACACACACATGCACACTGACGCTACACACACACACACACACACACACTTTCACACTCACCACATACACTGCTGTTACTGTCTATTATCTATCCTGTTGCCTAGTCACTTTACCCCTACCTACAGTATATGTACATGGCTACCTCAATAACCTTGTACCCCTGCACATCGACTTTGTACTGGTACTCCCTGAATATAGCCATGTTATTTTGACTCTTTATTGTTATTCGTTATTCACTGTGTATTTATTCCTCAGGTTACTATTTCTATACCTTTAACTCTGCATTGTTTGAAAAGGACCCGTAAGGAAGCATTTCTCTGTTAGTCTACACCTGTTGTTTACGAAGCGTGTGACAAATAAAATTAGATTTTATTTTATTAATAACTATTATACTGTAGGCTTAAGTTACGACCAAATTGGAACCCTATTAACTATAGTGCACTACTTTTGACCAGGGCCCATAGGGCTCTGGTCAAAAGTAGTGCTCTATGAATAGCATGCCATTTCAGATGCAGGTCAAAAGTAGTGGACTTTATGGGGAATAGGGTGCCATTTTTGCCTGAGTGATTGTATGCTACATACGTAGTGAGGGTGTTGATGCCACAAGCCTTCATTTTCATCAGGCGGTCCCTCCAGTAGGCTCTAGGGACCCGAAAGTAGTGGACGGATCCCCCCAGAATACGGAAAGGTTCTCCCTCCAAGGTGAACTGGGATGAGTTGGCACTCAAGCCTACTCTCCTGCTCATTCTCCTGCCACCGGGCGCAGTACTAGACAAGAATCAGCCATGCCACATTGATTTGGGTCAATAAACATTGAACAATACAGGTCACACAAGTAGCACTCCTTTCTAGGCTACTCCTAGTCATAGCCTTGTGCTTGGAGAGGTTGTGTAATTCCAGATGGGACCTAGTCCTCCTGTCTTATAAATGGATAATATGGATAAAAGCAGTTATTTTTGTGTTATCAGCTATCAAGAAATGATATGTATGAAACCACACACAATTGTATTAATCCTTTTTACATACTGGATAGAGAAGGGCACTGTGTGAGAGTACAAGTACTTCAGAGTAGGGCTATTCATTGAACTGAAGACAAAACGTTTATTTTAGTCATTCAATTCATGCTCTTAAAAACATATCAAGGTACACTAAAACATGCCATAGAATGAATAATAAGTAAATTATTATTATCTTACTTACCCCAGGTACTGGTACATGATGAAGACAACAATGCTCAAACAGAGAAGTGCATAATATATTTTGTGGGCTTTCCTTATTCTTAGAACAACCATCTGTTAATGGTAAATAGATATGTTAATCTGTTTATCTGTTGATAGACAGTACTTAATTCATAGAAATGAAACTCTTTCCAATGACAAACACATCTAATCTGCTCGGATCTGCTGGGGAAAATGAAGCTAGGAGGATCACTGCAACTCCCTTAGGATAGACAGAGTATAGCCTATTAAGCATCGCACCGCCCAGAAAGGGTGTGTTTGTGTGAGTGTGTGAGAGAGAGAGAGACTCTTTGAGACAAAATAAATATATTGAGACATTTTCACGTCATAAATTGATAGCCTATCAAAGTGAAATGCTGAAGAATTTCAAATGCTAAAGTATTTATGGGACATTATTAATTTCCATATTAAGAAGCGTGGTTGGGGTAATGTAGTCAGTCGTCGGTGTGGTAAATGTTTGCAAGATGAAGGAAGCATGGAGAGGTGCGAAGGAACAGAAGGGTTTTGGAGAACAGCCATCAGGGCTCTGCTCTGCAAGCAATACAGTGGATGAAGGCGCGGCAAGAGCGCGGTGAACGGATAGATGTGATTATAGACAGCGAGGAAGAAGAAGAGCTGAGTGTAGTGGGAAGATGTATGTTGAGGAAGAATGGCATCAGACATGATAAAGAAGAATCTGGACCAGTAGGAGTTAAATTTTTGGAGAAAGTGGACCCTTGCCTTTTGGCTGATCTATTTGTTGTTTCAGGGTGGGTGAGAAAGGAGTTGGGGGCAGTTGAATCAGTGAAGGTAACCTGTAGTGGACTTGTGATATTTGTTTATGTTTCTTGTGATCAGAGGGAGCAGGTGCTCCGTGTCACGCAACTTGGGTCAAGATCTGTTTCTTGCTTTGCTCTTAGGAACATGGCATCATCAAAAGGAGTAGCGTTAAGTGTGGAGGTGGAGCAATTTAAGTAGAAATTTCCTGGTGTTTGTGATGCCCGCCGTTTGGTGCGACGTAGAACCAGTGGATTTTGAGTCAGAGTCTCTACCAGACAAAGTCATGTCAGGATATACCAGTTATCCTGTTAGAGCTTTTGTGCAGAATCCACTGCACTGTTTCATGGTCATTTTGCAGCAGTGTGTGGGAAGGAGATTCCAAGATGTGGGAAGTGTGCAGGAGGGCATGGGACAGAGGATTGTGTAGTTTCGGTGGATAAAGTTGTGTGTGTTAACTGCAGGGGTGCTCATGTTGCTGGGGATCGGAAGTGTCTGGTGTGAGAGAGGCAGGTTGAAGTGGCCAGAGTCAGAAGAGTGCAGAGGGTGTTGTATGCTGAGGTAGTGAAGAAAGTGGAGGAGGATGTGTCAAGGGTGAGGGATACTGAGAGGATCCCAGTGAGTAGTACATTTGTGAAGAAGAAGAAGAAGAAGAAGAAGAAGAAGAAGAAGAAGAAGAAGAAGAAGAAGAAGAAGAAGAAGAAGAAAAAGGGTTCACTACACCCACAATCCTCTACCGTTGGAACCTGGCTACCATCTCTGATACACTGCAGTGACACACTTCCATGGCAGAGAGAGAAAAAGATGGCGGAAGCGGATGATGAAGTGGATTCTGAATCTAATGGCAGTAGAATCAAGGAGAATTGGAAATCATCCAAAAGAATGAAAACGGAGCAAAGTAGTGTAAAGTGATGAGAATGTCACTTCGTATCTTGTAGGAGTACGGTTTCTTAATGAGGAGCAGCTGATCGAATTACCAATCTTGAGGAATCCATTTGAGATATCGAAACTGGTGGAGAGAGTGCAGGGTAGAGTGAAGGCTGTGAGGATCACGAGACGCGGGCTTGTTTAGATATTTTGTGCTTCTGCGGATCAGAAAAAACGTGTGTTGTGTCTCACCCAATTTGATAAGTTTGAAGTGTTGTGTGTGTCTCTTAGGAACAGGGCACCCCTCAAGAGGGTTATATCTGGTGTCTCGTGGGAAGTAGATGTTGAAGAGATGAAAAATATTACTGGAGTGATTGATGCACATCGGATGAATCGTGTGGTGAATTAAGAAAAAGTGAAGAGTATATCTGTACTTTTGTTTTTTGATATGGAGTCTCTCCCTACTCAAGTGCAGTTAGGGTATATTAACTACAGAGTCAGAGCATTTATCCCAAGACCAATGCAGTGTGATCATTGTAAAGCTTTTGGTCATGTTTCTAGTGTTTGCAGAAGGGAGAAGCTGTGATGTCCAAGTTGTGGAAAAGATCATATCATGTGTTATAAAAGTGATGAAAATGTGACATGTTGCAATTGTGGTGGGAACCATGAAGCCACGTCTTTCGAATGCCCCACAAAGGTGATAGAGAATGAGGTGGTCAAAGTCAGGGCTGTCCAGAGCATTTCATATGCAGCAGCTGTTAAAAGGGTTGAGGGTTTGAATGGTGCACCTGAAGAGTCCATGGTGGTGGATAGGCTTTCACTGCAGGCTGCAGGGGTTGCCTTTCACCAGCAGGATCCTGACATTTTAAAGGTTAAGAAGGTGGACTTTGTGGCCTTTATAGCTATGGTGATTAATGGCACTGCCAAGGTGGATAGAAGGTCCAGGAAGATAGAAATCATTGTGGATGCGGCGGAGCGGTTCCTGGGGCTGAAAGATTTCTCTGCAAAGGAGTTACATGGAATATTGTCACAAGCCGTACCACCCTCTCAGGCCCTAGAGCCAGAGAAGGGAGATATGGAGATTTGAAAGAAGGAAGAAGTGGGAGTTTTGTTTTGTTTTGTCAATGTACTATTTTTATTTGTGTGGATTAAGTTAGTTCCCCTATTACGTATGGATTTTCTTTTTACCTTTTTTTGGTTTCAACCCGTCTAGTTGGTGGCAGCAAATCACCTTTTTGGGTTGTAGTCTGCCATAAAACCCACAGAAGAAGAAGACGAAGAATGTTGGAACCTGAACCAGTGGGTGTGACAGTTTATGGAAAATGGCTAGCTGGGGAAGTGTTGCTGGAATTTTGAGAAACTTTTTGAGGAGACCTTGGTCGTACAGATCGCTGCATCGTGCCTTGGGACCTGGCATTTTGGGGTCTCTCGTTGGAAGCGGACTGATATATTATCACTATGAACCGAGCAAGAGGTTTTTGCCCTATACCGTTCATGCCGAGGAGGAAAAGGTAAAGTATATTTGGTAAAGTGACGCAGCAGTAACTAGCTGGATGTATATCTGTAACGTTAGCTAGCTAAAATTAGCTAGTCAGTCACGATGTTTGACAGTTTCTTGCTAGTTAGCTACCTGTCAGTGCCTTGTGAATCAGTATTTGTTCGCTACACTCGTCTACCATTATCACAACTAAATATTAGTACAGTGCACAAGTAAACATAGTAAACAAGTAGCCTATTTAAGGCTGCGTACAAATATGGTAGCTAGCTCATTGTTTTCTGATCCAATCAACATTTGAGAATACTGGGGTGCGTTCAGTACGACAGAATAGTGTCCCCAACGTTGAATTCGACAGAAACGGTACTGTACTGAACGACTACTTCTTCTTCGGTGGAGTTTACCGGCTGTTGGCATCCAATATGTTGTATTACCGCCACCAACTGAAATATAGTATACATCCATTACACTTTGTGATACAAAAGGGGAAACGGGAAAAATGAAAAAATATGTATTTTTAATTACCCTACCAACTAACCCTACACTCATTAAAACCCACCACCTTATTCCACTAATTTAACCCTATCTGATCCTACCCCAGGCCAATGACCTGAGAGGACGGGACACTACCACTCATCACACCCTGTAACTCTTCTGAAGTCAAATATCGTACCCCCAAATATCGTACCCCCAAGCAGTGGTGATTTTAGCATGTAAATCTTGGTGGGGGAAAAAAAAGTGGGATGCATGCCAGCAAAGCCACAACACTAAATCATACATTAATTGCACTATAACGGTGACAAACGGTGCCCACAAACTGTTAGGACCTACATAAAGCTGTCCCAACACCTTACCACTGCTACACCTGGCAATCAGCGGAGCCTTGTCTGGTAGCGAAACAGTTAATTCAGCTGCATATACTTCCTTTAAAAAAAACATAGCTGATATGGCTGAATTGCTTAAACAAATGTGGTTTCTACTGACAATTGACAATACTGACAATCTATGGCATAAGGGGACGATGAGTGGATAAGAAGCAATCTGTAATTTCGATAAAGACATTAATGAGCGAGCTAGGACGGCCGTAGTCAGTATAACTATTTGTTTAGCACTCTTGAAATGTACAGTGACAGAATTCAGAAAATGGGCCGTTCTTAGTGTTCTCCCTGTACACCAAGTCAGAACCTTAGGATAAGTAAAGGGGGCATATAAGCAGACAATGAAAGCTCTTACAATATTTGATGATTACGTTTCTCTAAAACAGGTTATAGGCTACATGTGCACCACCAAGTCAGAACAGTAGGCGAAATTAAGAGTAGTAAATAGACCAAATTATTAGGGTGAGGCAAATGGGCAACTAACAGCTTACTACACAACATACACTTAGTATTACTTTCTTAGCTACAGTATACATAGCTCCCTGGCATATTACATCATTTATGCAGCAGCATACAAGACATTTTTGGACTCACCTTGTGCTGTGCTCACTTGAACAGGAAGGTGGCGTGGCGGTCCTTCGTGGGCAAATTTTGTCAAAATGTATTTTCCCAGTCGGAGCTCGTTTTTTCCAGACTTCCCAGTTGTCTTGAACTCACTGAAGTCAAGTTTTCGCAGTTCTGAGTTAAGTTGTTTTGAGCACGGCACAATTCATGCTTCGTTGACAGCATGGCCAATGTTGAATGTTTATCATTTTAAACTTGGAAAAGAGACCCTTAATCCCAGATTTGGGACTACACAGCCACTCCACTGAATAGCAGGCTAGTGACTGCTTTGCAATGCTTGCAGTTAGTCACTGATTCCTTCCAAATTGTTGAATTTGCGATTTCCAACTTGTTGTGTAATGTTTATGGCCGATGAGCACCGACACGTTTTATCTATAATTTCTCCATTATTTATCTTCATATGACAAGGATTAAAAAGGATTTGCCAGTAGATTGTCGACTTGATTGATGATGATGACTGCTAGCTAAGATTTTGAAAGTATGATGTTGACATGATCCAATCAAAGCTACTGTAAATATAACGTGCATTGACGTCATTTTATCTGTGGCCAATGACCTTGAGCCTTCTTGGATGGGCACTTCTAATGTAACTCTATGGCAGCACCCAAGGGGCTTGAATTTTCGAACTCTACCCTAAGACTTGGCGTTGACGTACTGTCCCCACGAGTGACAGAGCACTGAGCTAATCATGGTGCAACTAGAGAACATTACCAACACCTACGCTCCGTATTTTCCACTGGCTGCCCCACCACCAAAGAAAGCACTGAGCTAGGCTGAAACACCTGCATTTTGGAGCTGCCTTACTCAAGAAAGCTAAAAAGAGACCATGTTTGTATGCGGCTTTATTAACTCAATGATTAACTCTGCCCCACCTGCTCTGAATGACAGGTCGCCACTGCCTCCAAGTACTTCTCTTCAACTTCCACTACATCTATTTTCTGTGACTTATGTTCCATCTCTGCGGTACAGTTGATAACCATTGCTATGAACGCTAAGAAGACAATCTTACTGAAACATCACTCATTGGCCTATCCCTCTGTTCTTGCACAGATGTACTATTCACGGGGATCCTCTCAGAATCCCTCTCCCTTGATCCACCCTCTTACTTTCTTCACTGCCTCAGCATACAACTTCTTCTGCACAACTCTGACCCTGGCCACCTCAACCTGCCTCTCGCACTGGACACCTCCAATCCCCAGCAACATGGGCACCCCTACAGTTTTTTTGTTTTGTTGTGGTGGTACACCATTCCTTCCCCTACAGTTGACACACACAGCTTTTTCCACCGAAACTACACATTCCACTGTCCCATGTCCTTCTGCACACTTCCCACATCTTGGAATCTCCCTCCTACACACTGCTGCCACATGCCCATAAACATGACACCTATAACACTGCGGTGTATTCGTCACAAATGCTCTAACAGCATAACTCCTATATCCTAACATTACTTTGTTAGGTAAAGACTCTGAATCAAAGCTCAAAAGAACCGACTGTGTCACCTCTGTTTCACCACGCTCCCCACCGGATCTGCGTCGCACCAAACAGCGGGCGTCACAAACATCAGGAATCTTCAACTAAAATTGCTCCACCTCCACACTTAACGCTACCCCAGAAATCATTCCCTTCAATGGTGCCCTGTTCCTAAGCGCAAAGGAAGATACAGGTCTTTCCCCAAGTTGTGTCGCATGGAGCGCCTGCTCCCTCTGATCTGAAGAAACGGAAACAAACATCACAAGTCCGCTTCGGGTTACCTTCACCGACACAACAGCACCCACCATCTTTTCCACCCAACCATGGATCAGCCAAAAGGCCTGGTACCACCCTCTTCAAAAATCACACTCCATCTGGACCAAACTTATCTTTATCACACCCATGTTCATCAATGCAAGGCTTGGGTTCCAAGCTCCTCACAGCACCTTCTACCCCTTCCATTTCACCTCCAGAACTCAAACTGGCGTCTGGCTCACTCTGTTTGAAATTGACACCAATCTTCCTCGACATACTGTCATCAAGGCAAAGGGTGGCTACTTTGAAGAATCTGAAATATAAAATATATTTAGATTTGTTTAACAATTTTTTTTGTTGACTACATGATTCCATATGTATTATTTCATAGTTTTGATTCCTTCACTATTATTCTACAATGTAGAAAATAGTAAAAAATTAAGAAAAACCCTGGAATGAGTAGGTGTGTCCAAACCTTTGACTGGTACTGTATATCATAAACAAGTTTTTTACATAAACACACACTTCAATAACTTGTGCCATAACTACTTCTTTAATTCACACAATACACATACATGAAGTAATTCACCCCCTGGATAATTGATCACTTTGGTTATTCCAACCAATAAACGTTCCTCGATGACTCGTAGACTAATTTGCGTAATGCACACCGGCACTATAAAAAGAAAACAAACACATCAGGTAGGTTAAATTATATGGTTATTCTCTACAAACACTTTGATTCTTCTTCTAATAATATATTTCACATTGCTTGAGCATGTCCCGACTAACAGTTCTTGTGCTGATGTTGCTTCCAGAGGCAGTTTGGAACTCGGTAGTGAGTGTTGCAACCGAGGGCCGACACTCGGCGGTCCCGTTCTGTGAGCTTGTGTGGCCTACCACTTCGCGGCTGAGCCATTGTTGGTCCTAGGTGTATCCACTTCACAATAACAGCACTTACAGTTGACCGGGGCAGCTCTAGCAGGGCAGAAATGTGACTTACTGACTTGTTGGAAAGGTGGCATCCTATGACAGTGTCACGTTGAAAGTCACTGAGCTCTTCAGTAAGGCCATTCTACTGCCAATGTTTGACTATGGAGATTGCATGGCTGTGTGCTCAATTTTATACACCTGTCAGCAACGGGTGTGGCTGAAAAGGACCAATCCACTAATTTGAAGGGGTATCAGTGATTGGCTCAGTGATTTTTTTTTACGAATAGTTACATAGCCTATATGGGAATAACAGACATGAGCCAAGTATGGCATAGGTTATAAGACCTCTATGATTAATTTCATTTAGTCAGTTCTACCACCTCAACATTGCTAATTTTAAACAGGGTTAAATATGTTGTAGTAAAGTTCAGCTTCAGTCCACAGGGGGGCACTGTCACTGTCAGAAGATATGCGCTTCAGTCAGAAAAAGGTTCTTATCTCTTTGGTCTCTAGCTAGCCAGCCAGCCAGCCAAGCTAGCTACAGAAACGAAACGAAACCAATCAAATGCACTCGCTGGAAATAAACACTTTTCCTGATATCATGACTTATATCAACATCAGTGGAGACTGCTGAGGGGAGGACGGCTCATAATAATGGCTGGAATGGAGCGAATGGAATGGCATCAAACACATGGAAATCAAGTGTTTGGTGTATTTGATACTATTCCACTCCAGCCATTACCACAAGCCCATCCTCCCCAATTAAGGTGCCACCAACCTCCTGTGATCAACATCCTTAGCGTGCCCATTCACTAAATATACTGTTAAAAAACTGACACCCTATAGCTTAAGAATGCTGAGCGCTAATGCTAGTTTATTAGCGTTAGCCAATCCTTATGCTGAGGGAGACTAGCGTGTTAGTATGGAAGTCCAGAGAGGACATATGAATAAAATGTTTTTTTATCTCGTTATGTTGATCACAACTTATTTATCTCGATCATGACATAACAAGTTGTTTTGTTGATCACGAGATAAACTATATATAGGAGTGGACATATTGATGATAGATTGAAAGTATGGCTGAGGCGGCAGAGGCCACGGTGGATCAGCGCATCATTTTGTATTGTAACTTTTTTGTTATGTAGTGATCATGAGATAAATACAATTGTGATCTCGACATAACGAGGGATTTTATTTTATTTTATTAATGTCCTCTCTGGACTTCCGTAAGTTAGCACAAACCAAGGGGCCAGGGTTCCGGTCTAGAAGCACGGGTTTGACTGCTCCTACAGTTTTGCTTCGGTATTGCAGTTTAACTGACGCCCGGCCAGGAAAGACAATTTCCATAGACGGTCACATAGAGAAGTCAGATTAGAAAATTCCTAATAAGACACTTTAGTCATCAACTTTGTGCACAAAACATCCATTGAATTAATCAAATAATTGTTGCTGAGGCTGATTTATTATGATCTTTATCACTCACAAATAATTAAATTTTTTATATTAATCTAATGTCTGCCATGTTTTTGGATGACATGATGATGTCGCTGCTTGTCGGTGCTGACCCCTACCTTTTTGAGGGAAAAAAGTATTACTTGTTAAACTAAATATTTTTCTCTGAACAATTTTATTAGTATAATATAATTTCCCAATTTTTGTGAGCATACAATATAGCTCAGTATTTTTTGCTAATCTTTATCAAGGGTGTCAATTTCGTACCCCACTGTGTATCCATAGTAGGTAGACGGTTCTTACTAAATCGGCATCCCTTACATCACCACACAAGAAAGTATTCAATCCAGTTGTTAGACCTATGTTTTCTATCTATGGGGAAATTGTGCAATCAGTAGCCTAGATAAATTGATAGTGGAAGCAAGTAAAATGTATTAATTAACTAATTGCTGTTAGCCAAATGAGACATTCATGCAATGTGCCACAATAGTTGGTCAGGAGTACTGACAATTCGTTCTATAGCCATGACCTTATCCAATTTTCAGCTTTGCACTGCCCTTTTATTTTAGACTTTGTCCTCCTTTTCGTGCTAATGCTTCCTTCCGTATTATAGTTGCTTCCAGTGTTGCAGCTGTCTGCCAGACGGATGTGCTTCAACCAGTTTGCTTCCATGACGTACAATGAGGAACCCTACATGACACCAAGGGATTTCCTCTTCTCAATCATGCTGGAGAATGTTGACCGTAAGTACAGTAGTATCAAAGGAAAGTGTCCATGTTGTAAAACGGCCTAGCTGGTAGAAAAGGGAATACTTCATGATGTAATGAATTGAATTGATTGGCATATGGCTACACAAGCTCCCTCTGTAAGTGTATTCAATTTTGTTCCAGGCAAGAACTGGGCTTTACATTATTTTCCTTTCATCTGCTATTAGGTAAATTACAAAAGAAAGCTCTAACCAAAAAGGTGAGTGTTGGGATCGGGTTAACTCATTGTCAGAACGTGTTTGGGATTTTAGTCTTATCGTGCAATGCCATCAACATGAGCATTACAGCAAGAGATGACTATTGGTTGTTTCTCTTGTATAATCTCTGATACTTGCAGGAGGTGGATAAGATGCTGGATGCTGCCTCACGGGTCCAGGCAGGCAACAGTCTGTTCAGAAACTTTGGAGACGATGGTACGTTTTCATGCCATGGTCAAACAGCCTCACTGGTGCTATGTGCTTCATCAAAGTAAAAAGATGCTGGATAGTTATACTTCAGGCAGGAAATATGTATTTGATCACTATGTGGGAGTGTCAATCTAAACAGGTTAAATGAACACTCACTGAAATGTTTGTGTTATAGAGAAGGCATGTTTTGTGTCTTGCAGGTCTGATATCCTACACAGAGTACCTGTTCCTGTTGACTATTCTGACCAGTAAGTTATAGACCCAGAATGACATACAGTGGAAACAGCCCTCCCTTTCAATGACATGCATTTGGAACCAGCATCCTCCCATTCTTACACAACACATCTTACTACATCTGGGTCGTGTGCATCAGGAGAACCATAGCAAAATGAAAATGTTGCCCAATCACCAACAATGTTGTGCTTGAATCATTATTTCAGAAGACCCTGCTGCTAACCTTGTGGAGTGGACAGCAATTGAAAACTAACCGCTCATCTTGCCGCTGCTTTGTTCTGTCCAAGCAGCACCTAGATAAGCCTGTGATGTTATTTTCTAACAGAAAATGCATTGTTATTTCAGAGCCACACACAGGATTTCATATAGCTTTCAAAATGCTTGATATTGATGGCAATGAGCATGTGGACAGAAAGGAGTTTCTCAAGGTATGTTTTATAATCTATATTATAAAATGTTCCTTAAAGGGCCAATCTGCAATTCAAACAACAGCAAACAGGTACCCCTCCACAGCTTTGGGTAAACAGCTTAGGGGTGGGCCTAGAGAAATGTAACCACTCTCAAATTCATAGACCGGATCATGGATGCAAGGACTGACCATCCATGAGATCGATGCAAGGACTGACCATCCATCCATAGACAGTTGAACTTATAAGCTCATGAGGAATTTATAATTAATATTCTTCAATAATCAATAGCTACATATCATTAATTTTACATTTTAAAAATGGATGTAGCAAATGCAGATTGCCCCTTTAAATGTTTTTTTTATGTTGTGCTTCTCAAGGAATTGATGGAATTGTATTTTATGTTGCATATAGTATTCTGTATTCAGTCTTGTATTGTATATCAAATTATATAGTTGTGTATATCTTATATCAAGTATCCACACTCCAAAATATTGCCGCCCCTTACAGGGACATTACCCAATTGGAAGTTTTGACATAAATGCTCCTACAATTACTGAGTACTATGCACTCTTGATGCTAACGCAGAGGTACTGTATGGCCAGTACCTCAAGTCTGTGCCACATGTTTGATGTTCCTCCCACCTCAATTGGTTCCTTCTGTCAAAACATTGGCCTATTCATTCTGTCTGAGGTACCACATTTTATAAGGCACAGAAACTAGCTTGTAAACATACTGTATTTGCGAGTTGGCTTTAGCACAATACAATATGCATACATGGCTACATAAATGCCTGTGACTATACAATTTTGTACCAAACCAATGAAAAGTTGATTCCCTAATTTAGAACAGAGGCTGGTGTGAAAATCGGCAACACAAGGAACCACAAGGGTTAGAGTTAAAACATGTTATGCCTCTCCCAGTTAGATTATGGTTTGGTTTAGAAGACAAGTTCCACACCTGACAAAGTAGAGAGGAGCAGCATGGATAATCATTCGGTGTGTTTGAGGGGATCTTGATCACATAATGAGTAGTAATTGGGATGCAAGGTGATATGTAGATCTGTGTGATTCTGTGTGGTCCAACCGCTTTGTAGTCAATCTCAAACACACACTGTTTGCTGTTTCATACTGGCTCCAGTTTTAATATTAGAGTGAGGCATCGTGGGTAGTTGATAACCTTTTGACTAATGAACAATTCTCTGTTATTGCTGACATTTCTTGGATAATTCAGATGAGTAAGAGGTATGTATGTATGTGTTATTAGTGAGTTTAACTGAATTAGTAGTTTCCCGCATTCTGAGAAAATGTAAGCTAGCTAAGAAATGCTCTCACTAATAGTAAATCTTTTTAGTTGAATCTTTTGTTGTTTAGTATCTGCATTATTATAATGCAAGGAATCATTGTTGCTGCTTTGTTTTATGATGAAGCTCAAGAAAATCATTGGGAAAAGAAAAGAGAAAGTGCCTAAGAAAGGTGACACAGACGTGGTGAGTCAACACTCTAAACATTTTTTCTTTTTAAGACGGAAATCTCCTTATTCATATCTGTGACTTTTGGAAAAGCTTTTTTTAGAATACTTGATATAGATGACATTGAATTGTCTTTGGGGAAATGCCCATTGAAAGCACTAAGGCTAGCCAACTCTGTCATTATACGATGATTTAAATGTAAACCGTTGTGTACCGGCTAGAAAACTGATTGTTTACTCGTATTTCAAGTATGATGGGGCTTGCAGTAATAACAAAGGCAGGGAGTGTTGAAACTTGATGTCATCTTCACAGAAACCAATCGCAGAGGGGGAGGATGTGAACACTACACTGCAGGCCTTCTTCTTTGGCAGGAATGGTGAAAACAAGCTTCAGTACAAGGGATTTTGCAGGTAAAATATCTGTGGGTTACCATGTAGTGTCATTGGTGTTAAACGGTATAGCTACTCTACCTTTTCCTCACAGGTGTACCTAATCCTAGTAAAATCATGTTTCCGATACTCAGTATAGACTTACTGTATGAATAGTTATGAATAGACTTCAGACTAGGAGTGTTGATATAGAATCATTGTTGCCTGTTAGATCATAATTAATATGGTTACATGGACAGGGGGAACCTGATCCTAGATCAGCAATCCTACTCTTAGACACTTTTTGAGTACGGGCCCAGAACCGACCTAGTCACGTTCAGTGTCTCTACTCTGGATGTCTCCTCTAGGTTCATGGAGGACCTGCAGGAGGAGGTGCAGGAGATGGAGTTCCTGCAGTTCTCCAAGGGTATGGACACCATGCGGCGGGAGGACTTTGCCGAGTGGCTGCTGCACTACACCAACGAGGAAACCAACGAGGCCTACTGGGAGAACATGAGGAAGAGGATCCCCGCGGGCCAGGTAAAAAGGAAATGTGGTCCTGTTCCAATACTTCGAGAAATCCACCCTTCCTTCCTCGTTTCCTGGAGGTCGTCACAGATCATTAAGGGTTGTGATAGGTGAAAGAGAGGTTGCAAATTGCCAACCAATCATTTTCCACAATCCAACAAATTCAGATATGGGGTCACTTTAATGAAGGAAGAGATCATATTCGGATAGGGATAATATGCAGTTATGTCAATGTACCTTCAGGTCGAAGAAGTTGTGAAATATAACACATTTTGGGGGGCTCTCAAGGGGTGACTTCTCAATGTACGACTTGGAAATGTGTCCCTCTTCTCTTGTAGAGCATCACATTTGATGAGTTCAAAGCATTCTGCCTCTTCACCAACAACCTGGAGGACTTTGCCTTCTCCGTGAAAATGATAAGTGAAGCCAACCGACCTATCGGAATGGGTAATTTTCTTATTCTACATTTTTCTTTTCTTTTTTGTAGGAAGGGCATTTTGTCTGAAAGATTCTGATTCTACACATTCAAATCACTTTAAAGCAACATTCAGCAGTTGAAACCATAACAAAGCGTACTCCCTGCCCCTGTTTCGGTAAAAAGCTGGGGGATGGGGCTGAAGAAATTTAACCACTCTCAAATCTATATCCAGAAGGACTGACCATCCATGATATCAACATTTTAACAATGTTTTGAGGCTATATAGTATTTGTTTACATTTACTTTGTTTACAAACATTGGCGTAAAACAAGCTTATATTTTGGGTTCTGATGGGGTACACAGTTGAACTAAGCTCATGATACATTTTTCAGTGTTATTCTTCTATGGATACATATCATCATTCATTTATTAGTCCAAAAATAGATGTAGCAACTGCTGATTGCCCCTTTAGCCAAGTACATTATCCTGATAGTTTCTTTCCCTTCCATTCTCTGCAGTCCAATTTAGGCGAGCTGTGAAGATTGCCACAGGGCACGACCTCTCGGAGAACGTGCTAGACACTGTGTTCAAGATCTTTGACCTGGACGGCGATAACTGTCTGAGCCACAAGGAGTTTATTGGAGTGATGGAAGACAGAGTACTGCGCGGCTTGAAGGTACATGGGGCATTTATCAGTTGAAGCAGTCCTTCAGGGCGTTATTTGGTCTTGAGATCCACGCTTAACTCGAACTTTCATGCAAGTCTCCAATTGACTTGTTAATAATGATTGTGATGTGAGTTGCGGTCTTTGTATGAATTGTGCTATACAAATAAAGTTTAGGCTGAGGCTGCATGACCTAATCGAACCGCCCTGTTCGATCAGGTCGATTTGCGATGTTACTTTACGCACCAAAAAAACGTTCAGAAAAACCTCACGCAGCTGCTGCTCCCTCCCCCCATCCTTTCACGTTTCTCACTTTAGGCTACTCACCTTTATGAAAACCCCAGTCTTATCAGCAACATTGTGTACAATCTGCCTCACATTTCTGAACTAAAAGAATATATTTGACATTTATTTCACCTGTGCTTTTGAATATTTCCTGCATGTATTATTTTAGAACGCATGGGTGTGGTTTTATGCTGTCTGTTAATTCCCCCACCAATTTATGTAATCTATGTCGGAGCCTTAAACAGACTAAAAAGTTGTTTGCGATGATGTAATCTTCCTAGATATGCTGTCATATCGGAGGCCTACCGTAAATTACAGGGGGGGGGGGGGGGGGGTTAATAGCTGCTTGTAACTCCCCACCTGAGAAGGGAATATTAAATCACTATTTGGACTGCTCAATTTTGTAATACTGCAATATCCACAACAGGAAAAAAAGTTTGTGCAACATGTCGTCCATGATCGACATGTTGAATAGACTCCTGTTCTATTCATTCTGTTTCTATGCATTTAATCCTATCCGATAGGATAGGGCCCTGGTGATCAGGTCACGCAGCCACTAGATCTGTCATTCTCATTGCAAGCAAGTCTAAGAAGTGGTAGATATGTTCTATGTGCGCTATTTCTATGCTCTTTTACTTTCGGTTTTGTACACCAGCTGAAAATACAATATTTTTGGTTATGGAAAAAATATTTCTGTGATTTTTAGATAGTACAAGGAATTCTCTACACAATGACTGCTTGTTTTGTCACAAACTGAAATTAGGCGAACTATTAGAATTTTAGCCGAGCGATTTCTGCATATTGCACCTTTTTAACATGTATTATGTGATGTCTGTATTTCCCCAGGTGCAGCCCCAGCGTGGCATCACAAATTACTGGAAGTGTGTGAAGAGGGAGACCCTAAAGGGGGCCCAAGAGGCCCTCCGGGACACCGGAAGCCCTTTTTGAGGGGCTAGGCCATTGGATGGAGAAGCGCCTTACGAGTGGTCACTGGGTGACTCCAATGTAAAGCATTGATGGCTGACCACTAGTTGACCATAATCACTGGATATTCGTCAGTGGAATATAAACATGGTCCTAATGAATAAGGAATGACACCAAATTCAGTGTTTTTCAGGCTTCCTTTTTGTTTGTAAAAATATTATTGCAATATACAGTACATAATCTATGGTGAGGTTTATTCTAATCCTAGAAATTGGTTGTTGTGACGCTTGGTACCAGTCATGTAAATGTGAGCTCTTTTTACATGTATTGAAGGTCTCTTGGCACTTTTTATACCCCATTTCCCTCCAAATGCAAGCGGTTTGTTTACAGGTAGATGGTTTACTGTGGTATCATTTGATTGTTCTAAACTGCAGAGTCATATAGGTGGAAAGAGTCATGTTTGAAATATGTTTGTCTTTTAACACATTGCTAAGTACAGTTGTGCTCTAATATATTGACACCCTTGCACAATTCACTTTAATTTCTTCTAAAATAAGTTGACATTTAAAAAAACTTTGTGCACATGTATTTAAGAACTGCACAGGACCCCCAAAAAAAATAATAATCTGAAATGAAGATTTTTCACTTCAAAGTAAAAAAGATGGCGTGGACAAAAATATTCTGAATTCCAATTCATTTGGTTGAAAGCAGGAGATTCTTGTTTACGGTGTAATTTCTCACCTGTGGTAAGTTGCAGGTGCTTACAGTGTACAAAGCCATTCAATACGTTTTGAAAACAGAACATTCTGCACCATTGCACTCCATTGTAAAGTGCAAGGGTGCCAATATATTAGATCATAGCTGTATACCTTTTTTTGTAGATTAAATAAATTGAGAATTGCTGCATTGCTCCTGGTATGTGTGTGCCATATACAGTGCATTCGGACCCCTTGACTTTTCCCACATTTTTTGTTACGTTACAGCCTTATTCTAAAATTGATTAAATAAATGTTTTCCCTCAATCTACACACAACTAACCTGTGCCCCCGCACATTGACTCTGTACCGGTACCCCCTGTATAAAGCCTCGCTACTGTTATTTTACTGCTGCTCTTTAATTATTTGTTTTTAATTTTTACTTAACCAACAATGCGGTTAAGAAAAATAAGTTAAGGGCTTGTAAGCATTTCACTAAGGTCTACACCTGTTGTATTCGGCGCATGTGACAAATAACATTTGATTTCATACCCCATAATGACAAAGTGAAAACTGTTTTTGTTGAACATTTTGCCAATTTATTAAAAAATAAAATACGTACCTTATTTACATAAGTATTCAGACCCTTTGCTATGACACTCGAAATTGAGCTCAGGTGCATCCTGTTTCCATTGATCATCCTTGAGATGTTTCTACAACTTTGAGTCCACCTATGGTAGATTCAATTGTTTGGACATGATTTGGAAAGGCACAGACCTGTCTGAGGTCCCACAGTTGACAGAGCATGTCAGAGCAAAAACCAAGCCATGAGGTCGAAGGAATTGTCCATAGAGCTCAGAGACAGGATTGTTTCGAGGCACAGATCTGGGGAAGGGTACCAAACAAATTCTGCAGCATTTAAGGTCCCCAAGAACACGGTGGCCTCCATCATTCTTAAATGGAAGAAGTTTGGAACCACTGTGACTCTTCCTAGAGCTGCCGCCCAGTCAAACTGAGCAATTGGGGGAGAAGGGCCTTGGTCAGGGAGGTGACCAAGAACCTGATGGTCACTGACAGAGCTCCAGAGTTCCTCTGTGGAGATGGGAGAACCTTCCAGAAGGACAACCATCTCTGCAGCACTCCACCAATCAGGCCTTTATGGTAGAGTTGCCAGACGGAAGCCACTCCTCAGTAAAAGGCACATGACAGCCTGCTTGTAGTTTGACAAAAGGCACCTAAAGGACTCTGACTATGAGAATCAAGATTCTCTGGTCTGATGAAACCAAGATTGAACTCTTTGACCAGAATGCCAAGTGTCACGTCTGGAGGAAACCTGGCAACATCGCTACGGTGAAGCATCATCATGCTGTGGGGATGTTTTTCAGGGGCAGGGATTGGGAGACTAGTCAAGATCGAGAGAAAGATGAACTGAGCAAAGTACGGAGAGATCCTTGATGAAAACCTGCTCCAGAGCGCTCAGAACCTCAGACTGGGTCGAAGGTTCACCTTCCAACAGGACAACGACCCTAAGCACACAGCCAAGAGAACACGAGTGGTTTCGGGACAAGTCTCTGAATGTCCTTGAGTGGCCCAACCAGAGCCCGGACTTGAACCAGATCGAACATCTCTGGAGAGACCTGAAAACAGCTGTGCAGCGATGCTCCCCATCCAACCTGACAGAGCTTGAGAGGATCTGCAGAGAAGAATGGGAAAAACTCCCCAAATACAGGTGTGCAAAGCTTGTAGTGTCATACCCAAGAAGACTCAAGGCTGTAATCGCTGCCAAAGGTCCTTCAACAAAGTACTGAGTAAATGGTCCTAATTACTTATGTAAATGTGAATTATTTATTTTTTGCAAAAACTTCTAAAAAACGTTTTTTTCTTTGTCATTATGGGATATTGTGTTTAGATTGATGAGGGAAACAAACTATTTAATCCATTTTAGAATAAGTCTAACGTAACATTTGGAAAAAGTCAAAGGGTCTGAATACTTTCCGAATGCACTGTAAATACAGAACCATTTTCAGCAATAGATGTAAACAAAGCGTATCATTACAAGTTGCTTTGCATCACCAAAAAGGGAGCAAGAAAAAAACATGAGCAATGAATATTCTGTAATTTATTATAGAGTTGACCCCATTAGATCACATTTGAGTATGTGGGTTAACCATTGAAGCATGTGTTGCTAATTATATTACCGTACACACACACATATATACATATACATATATATATATATATATATACATATACATATATATTTGGGAGGATTTCAGAAAAAGTCAATATTAGACAGACAAAAACAACCAGCTTACTTCTGTGGTAGATGAAACAGATTGACTGATGCCAGAGGTTATCAGCGAGTACAGCATACATAGATACAATACAATTACAGCGCACGAAGCCGTCTTTGGTCTTCTTACCACTATAAACTCATACATATAAATGTGTATTGTATCAAAAGTAGAAATTACATAGGCATTGAAAGTAAATTCACATTTTTGACATACAATATATGTAATAAAGGAGCATACATAGGAGACAGTGTATGTGTTAATAAAATGTTATAACTGTGGCTTTTTTATTTTTCCTGTCCAAATAATTGCATGGTTCTGGCTACCCATGATGGACTTTGAATATCAGTATCATTCACTTGTATGACAGTATGCAACTAAATATTTGTTGTTTTAATATAATATATTGAAACATCTGAAACGCTGAGAGATTGTCATATTGAAGAACAGACCTGTGCTTTCAATCCTGGGCTTTTAAAACAAGGCCTCTTGAATAGACTCTGCTGCTGTGTTGGACATGGAGAATAATGTTTGCCGGATTTTCTCTTATTTAAACTGTTACTACGAACCCCTGCAGATGAGCCCAGCCCAGAAAAGCAGACTTGTGGCCCCCCTCTTGGACCGATGTTTCTGGTGCCCTCCTAACTTGTTTAGAAGGTTGTTCTGTTGCCTCCTGGCTTGGGCGGTGATTCAGTTGCGAGGCACACGTGATGAACCTTCTGGGTGAGATAGATCAGGGAAGTGCTTTTAAAGTGTTGTTTGACCCGCTGCGGAGAAAGAGGACAATTACAATCTTTATTAGCAACACAATCACTATAATAGATCTATGGAAAAATATAAAGAGTGATGTCATCAGCCTCTCACCTCAATAGGACTGGGGGGTCAGGGGTCGTTCTCTTTCTTTACCGTCACGTCTCCGTCTCCGGCAAGGATGGTGGAGATCTCTCCCTGCATGAAGGCCCAGGGCACGGTGGATCCAGCCAGAGGGCAGCGCTCGCCGCTGGGGCAGTACACCTCTCCTCCAGGGCCCTGACTGCGAATGGAGCCGCGCGTGCATGGGAAGCAGAACTTGTGATGCGGGACAGATGGACACTGGACAAAATGAGTGTCCTCCAGACGCTCTCGGCAGAGGGTGCAGCAGAGCAGGGCACCTGGGGTGCCGCTCCCGGACTCCCCGGCGCTGGTGGTGTTAGGTCCCCCTTGGGCACCCTGGCCCATAACTGCCTGGGAGACTGCGGCAGAGGCTGAAGAGGGACTACCGCTGGTTGGGCGGCCAGATGCGGAGGAGTGGGCCGAGGACATGCCGGGGCCATCTCGGGACATTTGGTTGGAGCTCAGGCTGTCGGCCACTCCCATGAGCGCCGAGATGGGTGAGGGCTGGCTGTGGGAGCGGGGCGGGCCGTCCTGGGGGTTGGGCATGCCTGTGCCCAGGGGCTCCATGCCTGGATAGGCACCTCGAGGCCAGGGATCCCTGGCTGGGTGATCCCCCATGGGCCTTCCTTCACTCTCTCCGTTTTCTGAGCCCGGGGATGCTTTGCGTCGCCGTGCAGCGCCCTTTGGAGGTGCAGAGCGGCCGGCAGGCGCCATTGGCATGCCGCTGTCTGCGTACGACTGTGGAAGGACCTCGGGCATCGGTGGCTCCTTAAATGAACGCACGCCGTCGCTCAGGAGCTCAGTGAGTGCACGCCAGTCCCCGGCGCCCTGCCGTCTCTCGTATTCCACGTAGCGCAGCCCAGAGTTCACTGCTTTGCCTGCATCTTTGTTAGAGTCGCGGAACATCTGCCTGACCAGCTCCGTGATGCCAGAGAAGACTATTCCAGAGCCGCTGGGGTACTCCACAAACACCTTCAGCTCAAACTCAGGCCCAGCACCGGCTTCAAAAGCGAGGATGCGCCCCACCAAGTTGTGGTCTTTCCTGAAGCGCACGCTGAAGGGGGCACAGCCACAGAGGGTCACCAGGACTTCTCGTACCACTTTGGGGCGGTTGGGCCAGCCTTCTGCCCGGCTCCTGGCGCTCTCCGCTAGCTCAGCCATGACCTCCCCATTCCTCCAGCCTGCTTCCAGACCCACCAGAGCAGAGGCGCCAGCTCCCAGCGACATGGCTGACCCTACCTGACGCCTGCCAACATCACCCATTATAGGGCCAGAGGAGCCAGCCATCTGTGGGCCCCCAGCCCTGGTGCCTAAAACAGGGGCCAACAAGCCGTGAGGGGGCCCCACTAACCCCTGGGCTATCAAAGCATGAGGTATTGTCCCATGTAGAGCAGGTACAGCCCCAGCCATAGCCCGTCTGGTGTTGGGGCTCTGCCTGCTCCCCTCTGACATACTCACATCCTCAGCTCTGTGCAGACCGTTGGGGAGGCGGGGGGAAACTCCATACTCTCCCCCTACCCCTGTCTAAACGCTCTGCGTGCTGCCTCCCTCCTTCCATTGGCCCACCTGAGCTGGGTTTGCCTTGCTGAGGGCCAGGGGACCTTCCGTCCAAAACACCGTGGCTGCTCTTCAACTGCCTGGCCGTCTCAATTAGAAGCTCGATTCTGTCTGCCCCGTCGTAGTTCACGCATCCCCGGCAAACAGCTTCGCTGAATTCCCAGAGCATGGCCCAGGGCATCTTGGGCAGATCGCAGAGATAGCACCATTGCCGCCTAGAGGATGCCTGCGAGGCGGACGACATGTTGTTTATACAGGCCCTCGCACAAACTTTATTGAGCGGCCAACGCGTTTCAATCTTTACTTTTCGCGGATTTTTCTATATTCAGTCACGTCGAGCAACATGCCCCGATTTTGTTGTAAAATATGAAAATATGCTCGAAAAGCTCTTGTTGATTACTGCTTTTAAAAGTTAGCTACGTTTTCTTTCTTAGGCTGCCCGTGTCGTTATGTCTAGGAGGAAGTAAAATGAGTTTAAGACACCGGATACACCTACTGCATTGCTGTTGAATTCTGGGAGCTGTAGTTGAAGTCTGAACTTCTCTCACAGAAAGCTAGCCAGCTCACACTCGTTGAACGATTTGAGTAATGCAATTTTCAGTCCCCAATGCTTCTACGCATGATCGCAAAAAGACAAAAGATGGGACTAGTTTATATTTAGTCGATAATATCTAGAATTTGCGAGATACCATTTAAAAATGTCGAGATACTAAGTCAAAATGTTGAGATATGTAAGTCAAAATTTCGAGATACAAAAAAATTATAGTACACCATACATATGACATGTTTACGCAATAAGGCACAAGGGGGTGTGGTATATGGCCAACATACCACGGCTAAGCGCTGTTCTTAATGACGACGCAACGCAGTGCCTGGATACAGCCCTTAGCCGTGGTATATTGGCCATATACCACAAACCACCGATATGTCTTATTGCTTTTATAAACTGGTTACCAACGTAATATATTTTGTCATACCTGTGGTATAGGGTCTGATATACCACGGCTGTCTGCCAATCAGCATTCAGGGCTCGAACCCACCCAGTTTATAATTCTTAATTTGTAACATTGTGTGGTGATTTTAAAGGTGGCACCACAGGAGTTTTTTCCTGGGGCCCAGAGTTTTTCCTGATCTGGTAGGCAAACCTAACCAGGAAAAACTCCGGACCCTAGTTAATAATAATAAGCCATTTAGCAGACACTTTTATCCAAAGCGACTTACAGTCATGCGTGCATACATTTTTTCGTGTATGGGTCGTCCCGGGGATCGAACCCACTACCTTGGCGTTACAAGCGCCGTGCTCTATCAGCTGAGCTACAGAGGACTACTAGTTCCAGGGTATGACTAAGTAATAAATCAGCTGTACTTGAAAACGGTTTTATATGCGCTATAATGGGACCAGATTTAGTTCTAAATCAGGTCATTTTTTGTGTGTTTTTTTTTAGGACAACTGCGATTGGACATTAGAACTAACAGGGCTGAGCTTGCTTTATTCAGGGTTGCAATTGCATCGGTAATTAAACAGTTACTCGCGCAGTATGTCATCACTATTGTGTTGATTAATTGTAGTCAATAATTTTGGATTCATAAAGTCTAGGTAGCCTAATCACCCGAAGTTTGAATATAAACCAAATTTGATCACATTCACGTGTTCTCTTAACACATATAAATAGTCATATTTTAGGCGATAAATACATAGTTTAAGGGCTATGAATACATGGCGTTACTTGCTTTGTTTCCTAGCCAGAGGGGATCAGACTGCATAGGCTTCTCTAGGCTACCTACAGTTGTGGTTGTTATCAGTAGGCTACAATTGATCAGACTGAGGCACAGATTAATTGTGCACGAGTTGACAAATCATGAGGCAAATCAGCCTAAACAACAGTACTTTGTCCCTCTTTTCAACGCTTTTGTGTTTATGAATGTGTTAGGGCAAATACCAGCTCGCCACACGTTTGCCTGTGGCCCTGCTGTGATGATCACTGCAACGATAGATCGAAATAAATCGCCACATAATGCTACAAATGAAAAAACATATCCTGTATGTTCTATCTCAAAATGTCGAGTTAGTATCTCGATATTTTTAGACAGTATCTCTACATTTTTACATACGTATCTCACATTTTTTAGATAGTATAACCTTTTTTTTATTTGTATTATTGGTGGCTGGAATGGGCTTCCTTCCGACCATACACGACAGTGCGGTTTTAATGTGCCCACATGATTTGGTTGATGAGGCCATGGCATGAGGGAATGTCCGTTATTCCCAATTGAGTGAAAAGTAGGCAATTTTTTTGTCTATTCATAACTGTTTAGCTAGCTACAGGTGTAAGCTATATACTCAGATTGTGAAACAAATTCGCGAATTAGCTAAGTATTTTGATTGAATTTGACTTTTGACAAAAGTTTTGGTAACGTTCATGTCTAATGTTACTCAATGCTAGCTAGCTAACTAACGCATAGTTAGCTAACGTTAGCTAGCTACAATACACAATAACGTTAAGTTGGTGAAAAAAATAACGTTTGCAGTAAGTAGCTAGCCAGCTACTTTTACTATCATACTTTTATTATCTTATATAACTAACAAGCTGGGTAGATTTTTGTAGTCAACTATTTTTGTTAGCTAACGGTTAACTTGCTAGCAATGAATTTAATATTACCCAAATATCAACATTGCTTTTTGGTATTGTCCATTTTAGAAATGTGGACCCTCCATGTCTCCCTCATTCTGAGTCTTCTGTATGGAAGAGGATTAGGAGGAGCAGCCAGAGGAGAGTGTGAATGGGGTGTCAGGCTTTGTGAAATCGGTGACCCCCTCAACCTCACTTCAACCTGTAACTTTGAGAGTCCTCTGACCACCCTGTCAGGAGGCATAGAGGTGCAGCAGTTCAGCACTAAGGTTCAGGACATTATAAAGACGCTGACTGACCAGCCAGTCAACACCCAGGAGAGTACCACTGTGAGTTTCCAACCCAGTCGGAGTACAGTGGTTGAGATTTATACTGTGTAACTAGAGGAAGATTCTTCACAGGTTAACTGTGCACTGTTTCTGTTCTGCAGAGTTATCTTGGCTTCCCTTACTACCTACGCATAGACCTACTGTGTGGTTCAAAGGTAACATAACTCTTCTTACATCCTTTAATATGACTTATTGTGAATGCAAACACAATGACTAGAAGAAGAAGCTACATGTTTGTTCCAACAGGAGTCTTCTAAGCGTGCCATTCAGGAGGCCCTCCTCACAGGGTTGACCCCCAATGTGGTCCTGACCTTCCAGGAACCCGTCCACCCCATCCGCCTCAAATCACAGAGACTGCAGATCATCCTCACCACAGCCCCCCTGCTGGACAGTGGTGTGTGTGCGCATGTGTGTCAGTTTTGTCTTTTATGTTCATTTGAACTAGGCCATGTTTTTATGAGCTTGCAACTGTATGTGCTACATGTGTGGTCTGTTTGTAGAGTGGAATTCACTCATGTTCATTTGTGCTCCCGGTCAGGAACATCAAGTGTGTGTGTGTTTCCCCCTGCAGTGCCCTGTGACAGCGACCTGTGCCAGCTGGGTTGGTATGCTCCCATGCCCATCCTTAATGGGTCAGTAGTATACAGGGTTCAAGTGGTATCAAATGGCCAGGGTCAACTGGTGCCTGAGAGAAGGTCAGTGACAACTGTTTGTGTATTTAAATGTGCACGCATGCGTAGGCCTATAACACACAGTGCCTGCCAAGCATCGGTCATGTACTTGCTTCACTTTACAGGTGTCAAATCAGCCACACTTAAAAGATTACTATTAAATTATCATCTATGAAATCCTTTTTGGGGTATGGCTATCAAGCATAAATTACTCCCAAGTTACAGACAAACAATATCTAGTACATTATGGGGAACATAGGAAATGCATCTCTGATCCAAGATCATGACCCTCTCTCTACATGACTGCTAAACTGCATGCTGTGTCTGTGTTTGTGTGAGCAGCTTTGCAGTGAATGTTAACGGCTATGTGCGCACCACTGACAGAGGGGAGACGAAGATCTCCTTTGGTACGGAGGTGAGGGACAGACAGATCCACAAAGAGGGAGAGGAGGGAGAGAGAAAAATAAGCTAATAGACATTCTCTAGATGAGTGGGTGGTTTTGTGTGAAAATGGAACAAAAATGTTTTGCACTAGGTGTCTTCTGAAGGAAGGATTTTAAAATAAATGTAAACAAAAATGTATTGAAGTTGATTATCCACGAGTAATTGTTAAAGTATAGATTAATTATGATTTATGATATTTCAAATGTATATACAGTGCTCTGCTCTTTCTATCTCTCTCTCTATTCGTATGTCTATAGATGCCAGCACTGGAGGACATGATGGTTTTGGGCAGTCCCTCTCGCCCTCTGTGGGGGGTGGTGCAGAGTTCTCCCATCCTCATTCTTCCTGGTATTCCTGGCTTCAAGGCTGTCCTGATGACCGCCACAGAGTTCCAGCACACCTCCCCCATCGAGGTAAAACCAGACACATAGTGTAAAGACACAGGCTAGAGCATTGACTGTTTGTGTGAGTGTGTAGTACTGTGTAACCAGCAGACCTGGGATTAAAAATAAATAAAAACAGTTGAATCTTTATTTTGACAGGGAGTCATGCTGAGACCAAGGTCTCTTTTGCAGATGAGCCCTGTAATTACAAAAATATAAGTAAATACAATACATTACGCAAAACAGAGATACAAAAATACAATCATGGAAGACAAACATATTCTTCATCAAAAAAAAGTCTCTCAATCAGCTTCCTGAATTGCTATAGAGATAGTGCTGCCTGAAGCCAGATTGATGAACACTTAAAATAAATTTCATAGATAGGAACGATCTTAGCTGAGGGCGTTAATCAGAGTTTCTAATATTTTTGCTAGGCAAGAAAGTTTAGAGATAGGGTGGTAATTATTTAGGTCTGATGGGTCACCACCTTTGTGGAGATGGGCCACATGGGTCGCCCTCCAAAACCAGAAATGACCGGCAGATGTTTTTTTTTAAAATTCAGGGTGTAGATCATCTTTAATTTTTCAGATAGATTGTAACTTCCATCAATGTAATTGTCTGCATCAGTTCCAATCCCCCATATGTTTTCTCTCTCTCTCTCTCTCTCTCTCTCTCTCTCTCTCTCTCTCTCTCTCTCTCTCTCTCTCTCTCTCTCTCTCTCTCTCTCTCTCTCTCTCTCTCTCTCTCTCTCTCTCTCTCTCTCTCTCTCTCTCTCTCTCTCTCTCTCCACACACATATATACATCCATACATACAGTGGGGGAAAAAAGTATTTAGTCAGCCACCAATTGTGCAAGTTCTCCCACTTACAGTTTTTCTCGATTGCTAAACACATTTCTTGAAAGCTGCTCTCCTTTTCTCTTAACTGTGAACACAAAACCCAATTTTCAAGCTACATTCACAAAACCTCAGACTCTTCTTGCAAAACCAAACTTTCACCTCAAAACAGTTCAATCTGTGCTCAAAACTGAACTATGTTGTCAAATCGTGCCCCGAGTCAATCAAAATTAAAAACACTACTGAACAGTCACTAAACACTACGTAGAAAAATAGAAAACACAATGCTCAGGACATGAAGCTGGAGAAATGAATGTTTATTGTTCACTGTAGGCTAAATGCATGTTGCAAAACAAAAAAAACTGTGCATTTAGCACTTGTACAAAAAGACAAAACAGAAATCTTGTGCATTTACATGTAGCACTTGTAAAAACAAACAGAAATCTTATGCGTTTGCCACTTGTGTACAGTAAGCCCATGTATAAATAAAGTACAAAAATATACAAATAAGTGCATTACTCAGCCACAGCATCATGTCTCCGTACTGGGTCAGGCCACAGGACTTCATCCACATCACAGGCCACATTTTGTCTGGCCAGGCAACGGGGGAAAAAACCCCTGGCATGCCGTATCCAGGCTTGGCATGCCTCCACACCTATGTCACCACAGGCAAGTCCCATGGCTTGCAGGAGATTTACCCTGGTGTAAGGTTGGCGTTCATATACCTTCCACCGCCATGAGAAGAATTCCTCAATGGGGTTTAGGAAAGGGGAGTACGGTGGAAGGCAAAGATTGATAAAACCTTGGTTCATATTGTACCACTCTCTAACCTGGAGGGCTCTGTGAAAACTCACATTGTCCCAAACAACAACATAGATGGGATGCTCATCCTGCTGCCCTAACAAAGCATCTCGCATGTGATTGAGGAAAATGAGGAGCTGGTGAGTGTTGTAGGGCCCCAGGTTGGCATGATGGTGGACAACCCCATGATTGCTGATGGCAGCACATAATGTGACATTGCCACCACGCTGCCCAGGAACACCAACAATGGCCCGATGGCCAATCACATTACGGCCTCTCCTTCTCCTTTTGGTGAGATTAAACCCAGCTTCATCCATGTAGATGTATTGATGGGGTCTTTCCATTGCATCCAGTTGAAAAACCCTCTGTAGAAATAGATATAGTTTTGTAAGTGATACGGAAAAAGTTATTTAGGCCACTACAGTAAATCACTACTTAGAGTAATCAACATTGAATGTGTCTGGATATATGCCAACCTGTACATACTGGAATCTTTGCTCTTTGACTCTGTCTGAGTTGCGATCAAAGGGCACTCTGTATAGCTGTTTCATGCGCAGTCTGTTGCGCTTGAGGACACGATCAACAGTAGAGAGGCTGACACTGTTGATACCCTCAAAATTTACAGTTTTTTTTGATTGCTTAAGCACGATTTTCAAAACAGGGCCCGTGTTTTCAAAACACTACACACAATTAGCACAACCACACACCCAATTAGCAAAACACTACAGATCCTTTGCAAAATTAAACACTCTTGTAAAAACTATACACTTCTTTTTAAAAACCACACTTTGTTACCATATGAAACACACACGTTTCACATTACTATACTCTGTTTGCACGAGTTACACTCTGCTGTGATAAACCAAAACACTTTTAGCACTTCTACTTCAATGATTAGAGTAGGCTACTATCAACAAAGTACAAATATAATGTAAATTCACCAAACACTACACAAGACCAATGTTGCAGACTGAAGAAACTCATTTATTTCTCAACACGCCCAAAATGTTGACATGGAGATTCATAATACTGTAACCAAACGTCACTTTACGTATTGTAAGTTCAAAAAATATATAAAAAAATAACTAGACATTGTCTCTTCGCCTAGCTGGATCTGGCCAGAGAATTTCATCAACATCGCAGGCAATGTTGTCATTAGCAAGACACCTTGGAAAGAAACGTCTTGAATGACGAATCCATCCTTGCATTGCTGCTACCTCCATCTGGTCACAGGCCTCCTCCATGGCTTGGATGAGGGGTACCTCAGCCTGGAGACGGAGATCATATACCTTCCACCGCCATGCCGAGAAAAACTCTTCTATAGGGTTGAGGAATGGAGAGTATGGTGGAAGATATAGGACGGTGAAATGTGGATGTTGCTGAAACCAGTTCTGAACCAGAGCAGAGCGGTGGAAAGACACATTGTCCCAGACAACAATGTATTGCATATGATCGATTTGATTTGCTGCTGTTATGTTGTGCAATTGGTCCAATAATGTAAGTATGAGTGCTGTGTTGTAAGGGCCCATATGGGCATGGCGGTGGAGGACCCCATTCTGTGTAATGGCTGCACAGAGTGTTATATTACCCCCACGTTGCCCTGGGACATTGACTATAGCCCTGTGGCCAATGATGTTTCTTCCCCTCCTTCGTGTTCTCGTCAGGTTGAACCCAGCCTCATCTACGTAAATGAACTCATGCTGGATCTCCTCTCCATCCATTCGTAAAACTCTCTGAAAAACAGTGTCAGGCAAAATTGTGTAGTTCAGTGTAGATCTAGTATACATATTACAGTACAGTAAAAGATTATGAGACAGTATGCAAGATCACACTGCTAAAGTGAATACATACCTCTGCATAATCATGCCGCAGTCGTTTCACTCTTTCGGAATTGCGCTCGAAAGGCACTCGATAAATTTGCTTCATTTGAATATGTTTTTTTTTTAGGATGCGTGCCAGTGTTGATGTTGAGACCTGATGGATATCGTTGAAAATGGCGTGGTTATTGACAATGTTAGCTTGGAGCTGCTTGAGTGTTATAGCATTGTTGGCCAAAACCATGTTTACTATCTCCCTCTCTTGCTGTTCTGTGAACATAGGAGGCCTTCCCCCTTGTCGTCCCTGACCCTCAATCCTATGTAGAAAAAAAAACAGTATACAATAGTACAGTAATTTCACAGGAAAAGGTAACAGAAGTGCTGATAGTGCATAGAATATAGTACTGTAAGCAGTTACTGAAACCGTGCAGATGTTTTTGATATGATGATATTTTTACAATACCTATTTTCCAGTCGAAATGTTCTCATCACACTTGCCACTGTATATCGGCTTAGATTTGGCTGTACTCGCAGTCCAGCCTCCCTCAGCGTCAGGCCGTGGTTGACAATGTGGTCAACCAGTGTTGCGCGGATCTCATTTGTCAGATTCGGTCCTCTTTGAGCACCTTCTTGTCTTCCTCTTCCTCTTCCTCCCCTTCCTCCTCCTCCTCGTCCTCCTCCTCCTCCTCGTCCTCCTCGTTCTCCTCGTCCTCCTCGTTCTCCTCGTTCTCCTCCTCGTTCTCCTCGTCCTCCTCCTCGTTCTCCTCGTCGTCCTCCTCCTCCTCCTCCTCCTCCTCGTCTTACTCTTTCTCTGACTCTTTCCATTGTGCTTGAAGACCGATGAACTCACCTGCTGCTTTTTATAGTGCTTATACACCTGATTGGTGTGTCTACAATTAAGCAAACGAGTGTTTGCACACCTGATGACTGTGTTGAACCAATTGGTTGGACGGTGTGGTAATTTGACAGTCAGTGCTTTGGTATTGCAAGGACGTGACTTCATGATAGATTTTTGTGTGTAATGTATGTTAAGTGTGTTTAGTGTTTTGCAAATCACTGTGTGTAGAGTTTTGCAACAAGTGTAAGGTTGACAATGTGCTTATAGTTGTGCAAATATGGGCTGATGTTTTGCTTCTTGAGTGTAAGGTTTTGCTAATAGTGTACTACTTTTAATTTTAGTGTGTAAGCAATCCAAAAAAACTGTAAATGGTCCTCAATGACCTTCTGCTGAATTTCGCTCAGTTTAATGGCATTGTTCTCACGGACCATATCAACAATTAGGGTCTCTTGGTGTGGGGAGAACATACCTGTCCTCCCACCCCCATGTGGCAGTCTTTCAATTCTACAAAAAGAGAACATGGAGTTACAAAAAATATACATGGAATACTAGGCCTACAAACAGTTAGACCAACCCTCCATTACAATACTACAGTACATTGGTACAGTGATGTACTGAAACATATATTTACTTACAGTATACTGTGGTACAGTATATAGTATGTCATACAGTAATTGCTGTCAACATTTACATACTGTACTATAATGTCAAAAAAAGGTAATTACCTGTTCTCTTCTCTAAATCTTCGGATTATGGTGGACACAGTGAATCTACTGATGTTTGGTTGTACCCTTTGTCCAGCCTCCCTCATGCTCATACCATGGACAAGAACATGGTCAATCACAGTAGCTCTGATTTCATCAGATATTACTGTTCTTTGTCTTCGCTGACCACCTCGACCACCTCGACCTCCTCTCACACGAACTCTTCCTCTCAGATTTCTATCCATTGTAGGGCCTCACAAACCAGTGCTCTCTGAACTGGCTTACTGTATATGTTCCCTCACATTATTAGCCACAAGTGTGATCAATTTTGAGTTGTTGTGTTCAAGTGGTGACACCTGTGCTCTAATTGTGTCTGACTTTTGTCACCTGTGCTCACCATTATGCAGCACGGGTGCATCACAATGAAAATGTGTTGGCAAGTTATGTCTAAACAGGTGAAAAGTGCTTATGGTTTTGCCAAAAGAGTGATTGATTCAATCAGTGGGTTCAGGCAACTGAGCATTTGGTTCAGACAATATGGTTTAGTGTTTTAGCAATTGAGAAAAACTGTAAAAAGATGAGAGAGGCCTGTAATTTTCATCATAGGTACACGTCAACTATGACAGACAAATTGAGAATTTTTTTCTCCAGAAAATCACATTGTAGGATTTTTTATGAATTTATTTGCAAATTATGGTGGAAAATAAGTATTTGGTCACCTACAAACAAGCAAGATTTCTGGCTCTCACAGACCTGTAACTTCTTCTTTAATAGGCTCCTCTGTCCTCCACTCGTTACCTGTATTAATGGCACCTGTTTGAACTTGTTATCAGTATAAAAGACACCTGTCCACAACCTCAAACAGTCACACTCCAAACTCCACTATGGCCAAGACCAAAGAGCTGTCAAAGGACACCAGAAACAAAATTGTAGACCTGCACCAGGCTGGGAAGACTGAATCTGCAATAGGTAAGCAGCTTGGTTTGAAGAAATCAACTGTGGGAGCAATTATTAGGAAATGGAAGACATACAAGACCACTGATAATCTCCCTCGATCTGGGGCTCCACGCAAGATCTCACCCTGTGGGGTCAAAATGATCACAAGAACCACACGGGGGGACCTAGTGAATGACCTGCAGAGAGCTGGGACCAAAGTAACAAAGCCTACCATCAGTAACACACTACGCCGCCAGGGACTCAAATCCTGCAGTGCCAGACGTGTCCCCCTGCTTAAGCCAGTACATGTCCAGGCCTGTCTGAAGTTTGCTAGAGTGCATTTGGATGATCCAGAAGAGGATTGGGAGAATGTCATATGGTAAAAACTCAACTCGTTGTGTTTGGAGGACAAAGAATGCTGAGTTGCATCCAAAGAACACCATACCAACTGTGAAGCATGGGGGTGGAAACATCATACTTTGGGGCTGTTTTTCTGCAAAGGGACCAGGACGACTGATCCGTGTAAAGGAAAGAATGATTGGGGCCATGTATCGTGAGATTTTGAGTGAAAACCTCCTTCCATCAGCAAGGGCATTGAAGATGAAACGTGGCTGGGTCTTTCAGCATGACAATGATCCCAAACACACCGCCCGGGCAACGAAGGAGTGGCTTCGTAAGAAGCATTTCAAGGTCCTGGAGTGGCCTAGCCAGTCTCCAGATCTCAACCCCATAGAAAATCTTTGGAGGGAGTTGAAAGTCCGTGTTGGCCAGCGACAGCCCCAAAACATCACTGCTCTAGAGGAGATCTGCATGTAGGAATGGGCCAAAATACCAGCAACAGTGTGTGAAAACCTTGTGAAGACTTACAGAAAACGTTTGACCTGTGTCATTGCCAACAAAGGGTATATAACAAAGTATTGAGAAACTTTTGTTATTGACCAAATACTTATTTTCCACCATAATTTGCAAATAAATTCATAAAAAATCCTACAATGTGACTTTCAGGATTTTTTTTCTCATTTTGTCTGTAATAGTTGACGTGTACCTATGATGAAAATTACAGGCCTCTCTCATCTTTTTAAGTGGGAGAACTTGCACAATTGGTGGCTGACTAAATACTTTTTCCCCCCACTGTATATACATACATCCATACACACACACACACATATCCTTTTAAAAATTATATTTCCCTTAATTACTTTCCAACCCCACCACCCCTTCCCCAATTGGAGTAAACTAGTGAAAAACAACGCTTAGGCCTCTACTTCCAGCCCATACATACTATATACATTTTATGGACACAGTCAAATTCTACAATAATTATATTTTGTTTGTTTTTACTCCTGAACTTCCTCCGATCATTTTCATGATGTCCATCTGGTTTGCTTCTATATGCCATATTTTTCTAACTGTGCTCTTTCACAAAAGCTCTCAACCTATAACCTATATACTTATTATGGACACAGTATGCTTTACATTAGTTATCTTGTTGTTATTAGTTGTTGTTATTAGTCCCATCCTTCAGCTCCATTCAACACCTCCCAACTATCTCTTAACACCATCCATATTGGATTTCTATTTGCCATATATTTTTCAACTGTACTGTGATGTTTTATAAAAGTTCTGAACCTTTCTATTGTCATTGTTTCTACAGATCGTAAATTGAATATAAACATTTTTGCTAAAATTATTATTATATTATTGATCGATTGACTATGACTTTTCAGATCACCCAGTAGTGCTATCTGCAGGGTTAGCTCCAGGTAAATATTGCAATCATTTAGCCATTCCTGGACCTGTGTCCAAAAACAAGCTACAAATGGACAGTACCAAAACAAATTATCTAATGATTCTGTCTTCTATAGGTAGCAATAATTTTATATAATAATTTAAATTGAAACATTCTAAGTTTTGAATCCAGCTTCGTTTTGACAGGTATTTACCTTTCCATGGTAGCAAGATCTTATCTATTTTTGCTAACTTTCTATTAAAATGTATTGGAGTGTGATCATTTATTTCATTTGGGATATGTATTCCGAGTATATCCACATCACCATCAAACAATTGTATTGGTAAACTACATGGTAATGTAAAAATTGTATTTTTTAGTGATCCAATACGTACTATAGTACATTTATCATAATTTGGTTGTAATCCAGAGAGGTTAGAAAATGTATCTAGATCCTCTATGAGGCTGTGGAGGGATTCAAGTTGTGGATTTAAAAGAAAACATGAATCATCAGCGTACAATGACACCTTTGTTTTTAAGCCCTGAATTTCTAATCCCTTGATATTATTGTTGGATCTGATTTTAATAGCTAACATCTCGATGGCAATAATAAATAGATATGCCGATAGTGGACAACCTTGTTTCACTCCTCTTGACAGTTTAAAACTTTCTGAGAAATAGCCATTATTTACTATTTTACACCTAGGGTTACTATACATGATTTTAACCCAATTTATAAGAGATTGTCGAAAATTGAAATGCTCCAGGTATTTATATATAAACCCCAGTCATACTTTATCAAATGCCTTTTCGAAGTCTGCTATGAATAGTAGGCCTGGTTTCCCAGATTATTCATAGTGTTCTATTGTTTCCAGTACTTGCCTTATTTTATCTCCAATGTATCGCCCATGTAAAAAAACCTGTCTGATTGGAATGAATAATGTCCGACAATACCTTTTTGCAAAACATGACTTAGTACTTAATAATAATAATATGCCATTTAGCAGACGCTTTTATCCAAAGCGACTTACAGTCATGCGTGCATAATTTTTTTTGTGTATGGGTGGTCCCGGGGATCGAACCCACTACCTTGGCGTTACAAGCGCCGTGCTCTACCAGCTGAGCTACATAGTACTTGGTGGCAAAACCCTTGTTGGCAATCACAGAGGTCAGACGTTTCTTGTAGTTGGCCACCAGGTTTGCACACATCTCAGGAGGGATTTTGTCCCACTCCTCTTTGCAGATCTTCTTCAAGTCATTAAGGTTTCGAGGCTGACGTTTGGCAACTCGAACCTTCAGCTCCCTCCACAGATTTTCTATGGGATTAAGGTCTGGAGACTGGCTAGGCCACTCCAGGACCTTAATGTGCTTCTTCTTGAGCCACTCCTTTGTTGCCTTGGCCGTGTGTTTTGGGTCATTGTCATGCTGGAATACCCATCCACGACCCATTTTCAATGCCCTGGCTGAGGGAAGGAGGTTCTCACCCAAGATTTGACGGTACATGGCCCCGTCCATCGTCCCTTTGATGCAGTGAAGTTGTCCTGTCCCCTTAGCAGAAAAACACCCCCAAAGCATAATGTTTCCACCTCCATGTTTGACGGTGGGGATGGTGTTCTTGGGGTCATAGGCAGCATTCCTCCTCCTCCAAACACGGCGAGTTGAGTTGATGCCAAAGAGCTCCATTTTGGTCTCATCTGACAACAACACTTTCACCCAGTTCTCCTCTGAATCATTCAGATGTTCATTGGCAAACTTCAGACGGGCATGTATATGTGCTTTCTTGAGCAGGGGGACCTTGCGGGCACTGCAGGATTTCAGTCCTTCACGGCGTAGTGTGTTACCAATTGTTTTCTTGGTGACTATGGTCCCAGCTTCCTTGAGATCATTGACAAGATCCTCCCGTGTAGTTCTGGGCTGATTCCTCACCGTTCTCATGATCATTGCAACTCCACGAGGTGAGATCTTGCATGGAGCCCCAGGCCGAGGGAGATTGACACTTCTTTTGTGTTTCTTCCATTTGTGAATAATCACACCAACTGTTGTCACCTTCTCACCAAGCTGCTTGGCGATGGTCTTGTAGCCCATTCCAGCCTTGTGTAGGTCTACAATCTTGTCCCTGACATCCTTGGAGAGCTCTTTGGTCTTGGCCATGGTGGAGAGTTTGGAATCTGATTGATTGATTGCTTCTGTGGACAGGTGTCTTTTATACAGGTAACAAGCTGAGATTAGGAGCACTCCCTTTAAGAGTGTGCACCTAATCTCAGCTCGTTACCTGTATAAAAGACACCTGGGAGCCAGAAATCTTTCTGATTGAGAGGGGGTCAAATACTTATTTCCCTCATTAAAATGCAAATCAATTTATAAAATTTTTGACATGCGTTTTTCTGGATTTTTTTGTTGTTATTCTGTCTCTCACTGTTCAAATAAACCTACCATTAAAATTATAGACTGATCATTTCTTTGTCAGTGGGCAAACGTACAAAATCAGCAGGGGATCTTTTTTCCCTCACTGTAATTGGACTGGATCTTTATATTTCCACTTGTATCCTGTTTCAGTAATAATGAAATCAGACCTTCTTAAGTATCTGATAATCTACCATTTACATAGGAGTGGTTAAAATATGCTAATAACAATCCTCTGAGTATATCAAAAAAGGTTTGGTATACCTCGACTGGTATGCCATCCAACCCTGGAGTTTTCCCAGACTTAAAGTCTATAATTGCATCCAGAAGTTCCTCCTCTGTAATTTCACCTTCACATGAGTCTTTCTGCATGGCTGTTTTACATTATCAATAGAAAACAAATCTCTAAAATTTGCTTCAGTTAGAGGAGATGGAGGCGACTGAAACGAAAACATATGCTTAAAGTACTTTGTTTCCTCCTTCAAAATATAATTTGGTGAATCATGGGTGACTCCGTCATTTGTAACCAGTTTCAATAAATTATTTTTGGTAGCATTCCTATGTTGAAGATTAAAAAATAATTTGGTGCATTTTTCCCCATATTCCATCCAGTTTGCTTTATTTTTATAATATATTACACTTGATCTTTCTTGAATAAGTTTCTCCATTTCTTTTTGTTTTTCCTCTAATTTATTCTGAGCATCTATGTTACAGTTGTTATTGCTATCTATCTGTTCTGTTAGACCTTCTATTTCCTTTGTTAGTGTGGACTCTTGACCTAAATTGCTTTTGTTTTCGAGATGATTACTGAATTGCATGGCCTCTAAAGGCACATTTAAAGGTGTCCCATACAATAAGGGGATTTGCTGTACCTATGGTATGTCGGAAAAAATCAGTTATAAATTCCTCTGTCCTAGTTAAAAACAAGTTATCATCCAATAGAGTTTGATAACATTTCCAATATCCTCGCCCACGTGGAAATTCAGTAAGAGTAATGTACACTGCTCAAAAAAATAAAGGGAACACTAAAATAACACATCCTAGATCTGAATGAATGAAATAATCTTATTAAATACTTTTTTCTTTACATAGTTGAATGTGCTGACAACAAAATCACACAAAAATTATCAATGGAAATCAAATGTATCAACCCATGGAGGTCTGGATTTGGAGTCACCCTCAAAATTAAAGTGGAAAACCACACTACAGGCTGATCCAACTTTGATGTAATGTCCTTAAAACAAGTCAAAATGAGGCTCAGTAGTGTGTGTGGCCTCCACGTGCCTGTATGACCTCCCTACAACGCCTGGGCATGCTCCTGATTAGGTGGCGGATGGTCTCCTGAGGGATCTCCTCCCAGACCTGGACTAAAGCATCCGCCAACTCCTGGACAGTCTGTGGTGCAACGTGGCGTTGGTGGATGAAGCGAGACATGATGTCCCAGATGTGCTCAATTGGATTCAGGTCTGGGGAACGGGCGGGCCAGTCCATAGCATCAATGCCTTCCTCTTGCAGGAACTGCTGAAACACTCCAGCCACATGAGGTCTAGCATTGTCTTGCATTAGGAGAAACCCAGGGCCAACCGCACCAGCATATGGTCTCACAAGGGGTCTGAGGATCTCATCTCGGTACCTAATGGCAGTCAGGCTACCTCTGGCGAGCACATGGAGGGCTCCCAAAGAAATGCCACCCCACACCATGACTGACCCACCGCCAAACCGGTCATGCTGGAGGATGTTGCAGGCAGCAGAACGTTCTCCACGGCGTCTCCAGACTCTGTCACGTCTGTCACGTGCTCAGTGTGAACCTGCTTTCATCTGTGAAGAGCACAGGGCACCAGTGGCGAATTTGCCAATCTTGGTGTTCTCTGTAAGCACAACCCCCCCATTTGGACGTCGGGCCCTCATACCACCCTCATGGAGTCTGTTTCTGACCGTTTGAGCAGACACATGCACATTTGTGGCCTGCTGGAGGTCATTTTGCAGGGCTCTGGCAGTGCTCCTCCTGCTCCTCCTTGCACAAAGGCGGAGGTAGCAGTCCTGCTGCTGGGTTGTTGCCCTCCTACGGCCTCCTCCGCGTCTCCTGATGTACTGGCCTGTCTCCTGGTAGCGCCTCCATGCTCTGGACACTACGCTGACAGACACAGCAAACCTTCTTGCCACAGCTCGCATTGATGTGCCATCCTGGATGAGCTGCACTACCTGAGCCACTTGTGTGGGTTGTAGACTCTGTCTCATGCTACCACTAGAGTGAAAGCACCGCCAGCATTCAAAAGTGACCAAAACATCAGCCAGGAAGCATAGGAACTGAGAAGTGGTCTGTGGTCACCACCTGCAAAACCAGTCCTTTATTGGGGGTGTCTTGCTAATTGCCTATAATTTCCATCTGTTGTCTATTCCATTTGCACAACAGCATGTGAAATTTATTGTCAATCAGTGTTGCTTCCTAAGTGGACAGTTTGATTTCACAGAAGTGTGATTGGCTTGGAGTTACATTGTGTTGTTTAAGTGTTCCCTTTATTTTTTTGAGCAGTGTATATGCCAATGATATGATGGTCCGACCGCATTCTGTCCCCTATCAACACTTTTTAAACTTTTGGTGCCAACGAATATGACATAAGAAAGAAGTCAAGATGACTAGCTTAATTGAGTCTCCGCCATGTATATCTCACTAGATCAGGATATTTAAGCCTGTTCTAGTTCTAATGTATCCATGACATTCACGATTTCCTTAAGAGCATGAGGGTGATTGTTTGTAGTGTGATTTCCTTTACGGTCCATTGAGCTATTTAAAACGGTATTATAATCTCCCACCATAATAATAGAGTCATGAATTGCTTGCAGAGTTGGTATTTTATTATATATATTGTCAAAGAAGTGTGGATCATCATTATTTGGTCCGTAAAGGTTAATGAGCCATATCTGTTTATGGTCCAATAACATATTTAAAATAATCCATCTACCTTGCGTATCTGTTTGGACAATTTGCACATTCGGATCGAAATTACTGTTAATTAATATCATCACCCCTTTTGAGTTTCTTTGCCCATGGGAGAAGTATATTTCGCCCCCCCCCCCCCCATTCCTTTTTCCACGCAACTTCATCTAGAATTGTTGACTGAGTTTCCTGTAAACAATAGATATTATATTCCTTCTCTTGGAGCCATGTAAATATTGTTCTTCTTTTGTTATTATCTGCTAAGCCATTACAATTATAACTGGCTATACTTATTTCACCACGTACCATAATGGGATACAAGTTTCAAATCTATTTATCATTATATATGTTTGTAAATTTACCAATAAAAAATACCATAGCGATTGACTGTCCATATAGCTGCACCATGATATTTGCATTGCTACTAAGTAACCCTCCAATTGTTCTCCACTAATTCCCCCGCTAAAGCCCCTCCCCATCCCAAGTTGGGCCGTCATCCCAGTGTTCAGCATACCACCCCCATCCCCCCAAATCCCTAGGCCCCCGAGAGGCCAGGACCCATCCATCGAAAACAGCACACAGTGCCACCCACAAAACAGAAGCAGGTCAACCGTCAAAAGCATTTCCAATGCTCTCACCTCAAAATATATATATATATATATATATAGCTATTTAAAAATATATATCCATTCAAATATCTTGCATATCTTATTTTCCATCATTATCGATTAATATGCGTAATATTGTCGGCAGTTCATGCGTAGGATTTTAACCTATAACCTGGATTGCCATTTATTACATTACATTTTTGACAAGCAATTATTATTTTAGCAAACAATTATTGTGGTTCATCCTATATTCTCCCTAACATCCTTACCCCCTTGCAACAGATGTGGGATAAACATACACGCACACATACATAACACACTCAACCCCTTTCCTCCACAATCAACCATAAGATCAGATGCTCAACGGTTGTTACATCCCAGAGCCCAACTCAAGAAAGGACCTGATTTACGAATGCATATACAGTTACAGCTGTTTGAGAAAGCATGCAAGATTGAGCAAAAATTGACAACAATGTGAAATTTGATTAATCTATTTAATCTATGTCAATTCCTAGGTGATGGAGATCAGATCCACCCTCTTCACCTGAGACACAAACACTATGGTACCCCGTTGTAACCATTTTCCCCAAGCATCTACATGCAGTCAGACCTTTGATTATTTTGTGCCACTTGGACAACAATAATAAGCCCCCTCTCTGATTGTCTGAGTGTGACCCCCTCCCCATGGGTTACTGCAGCCAGTGTTGCCAGCACTGCCACTACCTGGGTGGGGGTACCCCACCGGAATCCCCACCGGCTAGGTACAAGGTAGTCAAGGTTCTCATTAGCAGCTTTGAGAATTTATGCTCTCCCATCAGGGGGCTCTGGCTTTGTAGGACCAACCCTGCCAGGCAGGCTCAGAATCTTGAGGGGGCGGTGCTGCTCAAGTAGGTCTCTGACCGCATTTATTTTTCAGTTTAGGCTGCATATAGGCAACTCACAACAGGTCCATAAAACAGATGGGGACTTCTCTTTGGTGTATGGGTCACTCAGGTGGGTGTCTAGGATATAGGGTTGGGGATCGTTCCATCATGATAGGACAATAAAAAAAATTGATTAGATGTATACTATATTTTAAAATGTATATCCCTCATCTGCACAAAATTGAAAGCTTTCTCACAACCCCTGCTCACACACACGTTGGTTCTGGGATATGCAACCATTTCCTTTCTCACTCACTTAACGCCACACTTATTCAAACACAAAAACGCACACCACACCTTCCATCACCATTCATCCACACATAACCACATACTGTGCCTTCAATGTCTTCTGTTCGCTATGTTTTTATCTCCACTATGTTGATTGAGTACGTGTTCTAATTAGTTGTATTTGAAGATGTATTATTTTGCTTGTTATCTTTTCTTGTAATACCGTTTTATCCTTTTATAAAATACTATACATACTATAAATGTTCTTTATTATTACAATCCCTACCATGGCTAGTATTGGGTGCTCCATTATTCGACTCCTCTATTAGAACTTTCAGAATAGCCATGGAGTAGTCTTTGTGTCACGTTACATTTGGTTGTCAATATACAGTTTATCGACAACGAGAGCAACACGCTTCCCTTTTAATCTATTTTCCTTGAAGATTGGGTACAGAATTTTGCGCTGTTCTGCAATCTCCCTCGGGAACTGATCATTCATTTCTTTTTTGGTGCCAGCAAGTATTTTACCTAGGCTTTTAACCATTACTTTATCCTTAAAAAAAAGTTTGGCAACGATTGGACGCTCATATTTCTGTCCTCTTTGTCCGAAATGGTGTACACGTTCGAGTTGGATTTTATCGACAGCCTCGAGTGGGTTTTGAAGCGCTATTAGAAAGAAGTCCTTCACAATAGTCTCGGTTACCTCTCCCTCTTTTTCCTGGATACCCGTAAGTACTAGATTTTATCTCATCGATCTAGTTTGCATGTCTAGTAAGGCTTCTCTCAGAAAGTTGTTCTCCTTTTTAAGTTCCTTAACGTCCGTTTCTATCTTAGCGACTGTCTCTTTTAGTTTTTTTGTATCTTTCTCCATTATCGCAGCTTTTCCGTCACTCATTTCAAGACTTGCCTTCAACTCTTTTACATAATTACTGACCAACTCTAGAATGCCCAGTTTGTCATTTATCGACTTCAACAGGTCGCTTTCCACACTTACCAGTCGCAGTGGTGAAAAGCATAAATCATCTGTATCAGTCGACGAGTCGCGTTTTCTCTTGCAGATTGATTCTCCACGTTTATCTTCCGTCATGTTTGGGTGTTGGGTGTTGTTGTAATATTTGTCGATACATTTCTCTAGCCGTATAATTTGTTTTGTGTTATTATCCAGATTGAATGTTATTACCCTCGAATATATGAAGTGCTAATATTTAGTCTAACTTACTGATATTGAATATTATGTTTTTATCTTGAGGTGACTTTTACCGCTGTGTATTCAATACGCCATCTTGTCTCTTGTCATCTTGACCGCCAGATGTTAATGATTCAGCAATCAAGGGGCCGGAAACCTGCAGGAAAAACGGGTCAAGCATATCAACCCCAGTAGATTATGTAACATCAATCTTTGTCACATCCGGGCTCTGGGACTCTATATGTTGAGCCAGGGTGTGGTCATTCTATGTGTCGTATTTCTATGTCGGGAGTTCTAGTTGTGCTGTTTCTATGTTGGCCAGAGTGACTCCCAATCAGAGGCAACGAGTGTCAGCTGTGGCTGGTTGTCTCTGATTGGGAGCCATATTTATACTGTCTGTTTGCCCTTTGTGTTTTGTGGGATCTTGTTCGAGTTGGTTTGTGTTTGACCGTTGACTGTCACGTTATCGTTTTCTTGTTTTGTTCGTGCTTTCACTTAATAAAGAAGTATGTTCGCAACTAACGCTGCGCATTGGTCTACTCCATACGACGAGCGTGACAGAAGATCCCACCATACCAGGACCAAGCAGCGTGTCCAGGAGCAGGCAGCCTGGACGTGGGAGCAGATCTTGGACGGGCAGGGGTCCTGGACCTGGGAGGAAATCCTGGCCGGGATGGATCGCCGGCCATGGAGTGAGACGGTAGAAGCGCGACGGAGAGAGGAGCAACGGCGTAATCAGTGTCGGCGTCGGACGGACGAGAGGAAACCCCCAAAAATTTTTAGGGGGGGGCACAGGGCATGGACGACGGGGCTGACAGAGGCAGAAAAGGGGCGAATTCAGAAGGCCACCAGGTTACGGGGGCCACTGGTCAAAGTAGGGAAAGAAGGTGTAGAGGCACGGCGAGAGGTACTGGGGTGTGTTACCAGTCCGGTCCGGCCCGTTCCAGTTCCCGGGGTAGAGCCAGTGGTGTGTGACCCCAGTACGGTCCGGCCTGTTCCTGCCACTCGCACCAAGCCTACGGTGCGCGTCGCCAGCCCGGCCCGGCCTGTTCCTGCCACTCGCACCAAGCCTACGGTGCGCGTCGCCAGCCCGGCCCGGCCTGTTCCTGCCCCTCGCACCAAGTCTACGGTGCGCGTCGCCAGCCCGGCCCGGCCTGTTCCTGCCTCTCGCACCAAGCCTACGGTGCGCGTCGCCAGCCCGGCCCGGCCTGTTCCTGCTCCTCGCACCAAACCTACGGTGTGCGTCGCCAGCCCGGCCCGGCCTGTTCCTGCCACTCGCACCAAAGCTACGGTGCGCGTCGCCAGCCCGGCTCGGCCTGTTCCTGCCACTCGCACCAAACCTACGGTGTGCGTCGCCAGCCCGGCCCGGCCTGTTCCTGCCACTCGCACCAAAGCTACGGTGCGCGTCGCCAGCCCGGCTCGGCCTGTTCCTGCCACTCGCACCAAGCCAGGGGTGCGAGTCGTCAGCCTGGTCCAGCCCGTTCCTGCCACTCGCACCAAGCTAGGGGTGCGAGTCGTCAGCCCGGTAAAGCCCGTTCCGGCTCCACGCACCAAGCCAGGGGTGTGAGTCGTCAGCCCGGTAAGGCCCGTTCCGGCTCCACGCACCAAGCCAGGGGTGCGCATCGTCAGCCCGGTCCGGCCCGTTGCTGCTCCACGCACCAAGCCAGGGGTGCGAGTCGTCAGTCCGGTGAGGCCCGTTCCGGCTCCACGCACCAAGCCAGGGGTGCGAGTCGTCAGCCTGGTCCAGCCCGTTCCTGCTACTCGCACCAAGCCAGGGGTGCGAGTCGTAAGCCTGGTAAGGCCCGTTGCTGCTCCACGCACCAAGCCAGGGGTGCGAGTCGTCAGTCTGGTAAGGACCGTTCCTGCTCTACGCACCAAGCCAGGGGTGCGTATCGTCAGCCCGGTCCGGTCCGTTCCTGCTCCACGCACCAAGCCAGGGGTGCGCGTCGTCAGTCCGGCACAACCCGTGCCTGGGTCACCGGTGCCTGATCAGGTACCGGTCAGCTGCTCCACAACGGAGCTGAAGCTACCCGCTCCTACGATGTCCAGTTCAGCTCCAGCCAGCGGGGCCAGACCGGACCAGGGGCGCTATGGGGGGATTATTGGAGGGTGGTGGGCAAGCCCGGAGCCAGAACCGCCGCCGAGGAGGAATGCCCACCCAGCCCTCCCCTGTTTGGTTCTAGTTGAGGCGCGGTCGCAGTCCGCGCCTTTAGGGGGGGGTACTGTCACACCCGGGCTCTGGGACTCTATATGTTGAGCCAGGGTGTGGTCATTCTATGTGTCGTATTTCTATGTCGGGAGTTCTAGTTGTGCTGTTTCTATGTTGGCCAGAGTGACTCCCAATCAGAGGCAACGAGTGTCAGCTGTGGCTGGTTGTCTCTGATTGGGAGCCATATTTATACTGTCTGTTTGCCCTTTGTGTTTTGTGGGATCTTGTTCGAGTTGGTTTGTGTTTGACCGTTGACTGTCACGTTATCGTTTTCTTGTTTTGTTCGTGCTTTCACTTAATAAAGAAGTATGTTCGCAACTAACGCTGCGCATTGGTCTACTCCATACGACGAGCGTGACAATCTTAAGCAAGGCAGTTAGCACATCACAGATAGTAACTTGTTGACATGAAAACACAGATTCACTAGTAGTTGAGGAGTTTTCAATCAAGTCAGCTAGAGGCTGGGAGCAGCAAACTGACTGACCAGGGCCCGGTATCCCGATAGCGATGGAACTTAGGTTTACGAGTGTTTTAATGATGCATCTATCATACAACGGCCGAAGATGTAATATACGTTTCCCAAAACACTCCGCAGATGCGTCGTTGAGGCATGTCGATACTGATAGGATCAAAAGAAAGGCAACGCTGCTCTCGGATCAGCTTTCTCCATTCAAATCTTACCTTAACATTATAATTATTCCACAATACTGACGATGGATCAGCTCCTAGAACGATATTATCACCTATGGCTGCAAATATTGATGCGGCTTATTATAATACTTATCCTATAAATCAAGATTTGGCACATCATTGCGCACGTTAGGCTACACATTATGAAATATATTGAGACAAATTACAGACAGTAGCATACAAGTACAAAATATAATTCAATTGATTGAACATTAATTGTATTTCAATATGACTGAAATAGGCCTATAGCCTACTGTAGGCTATTTCTATTTGAATGCAGTCATCTGTTTTAATTTGAAGCATCTTTTTTATACGTCCCTTGTTTGTATCAATTGCAAAGACATTGGCAACTTTGTATTTGTAGTTTCTAATCTACTTTGTTCTGAAGTTATCAGCGGTCACAGAGAGGCGTGTATAAAGCATGTGATTCTATATTTAGAGGAGACCTTCTGTGTATAAAGTGACGCAGGAGGGCAAAAAAGCATCTAATGATACACTTAGCTGTTCTAGTCTGAGGCAGGTGTTAGATTACGAGCGCTTTCAAGTGCAACGTTAATAACGATGGTTTTGGGAAACAGCTCTGAGATTTAACGATGCTCCTACGAGGGTTCTAACGATGAACTTAGCCTTAAGATGCTTTTGGGAAACCGGGCCCTTAGCTAATTAAACCACCAATCCTCAAATAAAAAGATACAATTATGATTAAAAGCATTTCTTGTAATGATGCCGGAGTCTGACAGAACTTGCTTAGGCAGGGAAGGGGAAGAATTTGCACACTTCAGCAAATTAAAAATGATCAGGAATTTAGAAGAATCACCAGCAGAGTCAGAGATTAACAAGTAGTTGGATTTAGCTTTCTTAATCAAGATAGTACAACTGTTTCTGAGTTGTCTGAAAGATTGCCAATCAGAGACAGTCAGTTTTCCTAGCTTTGGCCGAGGCTTGGTTCCTCTTGTGAATACGCTCTGAAAGATCAGATTAATACCAAGGGTTTGATTTGTTCTTAACTCTATATTGTTTAGAAGGTGCATGATTATCTGCTAGGGGAATAAAAATAGAGGAGAAATGTTCAATGGCTGGGTCAGGAATACAGGAGACTCTGGATAACTCGCATTGGGATAATTCATGTAAAACAATAATAGCCAATGAAGTATGTTTATTATCCGAAGAAGTTCGGCCACTGTTGCGACTCGATAGGTTCGGGAGATCCCTCGATGACCAACGGGAAGTGGGGCATGGTGGACCCGAGCCAGCAGAAGAATCCCCTGGGGCTGGGGGATTGTAGTCCTCCCCAAGTAAACAGTTGTTGCATTGGAAATTGGCCGGTCCACATCGTCCCGGAACAGAGCAAAATAGATGCAACTCCTACAACGTAGGAGACGCTCGCCCCTTCCTCTGATAGGGAAAGCCGCCATGAAAAGAGACAGAGTAATCTGTGTTGTAGAGTCAGTAATCCCAAACCTCTGTGATCTGGGAGGCAAGTAGTCCAGTGACCGATTGAATAAAAGTCATTCAAGTACAAAACTTGGTTAAAGGCAAACCACTAAGTAAAATTTTACAAAAATGGATTTAAACAGTGTAAAAAAGTCTGCATTTGACATTGCTAGACTTTGCAAAAATATATTCATATACATTTACATTGGAGATTTTTTTTTCATATACTCCCCGATAACAAACTATACAAAAGCTAAAAACTTTTGAATGCTTTAGTTGTGCTTGATAGAGCTTGCATGGTGCAATGGAACTAATGGAATAGTCCCTAAAGTGCAAACCCTGCCCATCTGTCACTCTAAGCAGGCTCAAGCAAACGTTTCCATTTAGTCCATTTCAATTCCAATTTTCCTCAATGCTTCTCCATAAGAAAAACGTTGTAATTTCAGTTTACTACCTGAATTGACATGGAATTGACCCCCACCCTGGTATGCATGTGTGTCCAATCGGTTTACATTTAGGTGGGTATCGAGAGCTGCTGGGCAGGCTCCCTGAACTGCCCCCAGGTGGAGTTCTCCTCCATGATCCTAGAGGCCATCTCCACAGAGAGCTCCCTGTTCATCCGCCAGAACCAGCTGCTGCACCGCTTCGTGGGCAACTTCTCCCTGCTGCCTCTAAGAGCCCCGCCCTCAGGTAAAACTGCACCGTTAGACACCACTGGCTCCCATTCACCCTGCTTACACACTGGAACATGAAATCTGGAATCTCTGTCCCCTGTGTCCACGGAATAAATTGCACAGTTGATTCTCAAACTGAGACTACGGCACCTAGAGACGCATGAACACAGATGAAATCACTTATTAATTCATTACATTTTACATTTTAGTAATTTAGCAGACGCTCTTATCCAGAGCGACTTACAGTTAGTGAGTGCATAATATTGTTTCTGTCCATCAAGTTAAACTCAATTCAACTATTTATGGATAAGCTGCATACGTAAAAAGACAAACAATTAGTGCTCTGTTGTCCATCATCTGTCAACGGATGACTCCCATTGAAAAAGACAGTGGCAAAATCTCGGTCACAAAGTCTCTTTGTGGCTGTAGCAATTAGATCCACAAACAAAACCATACATACAGTGCTGCTTGAAGGTATGTGAACACTACAGGGATGGTCATTATTTTGCTATAGAATATTAAAATAAACATAAAATCCTTATCTAAACCCCAATTCGTAATAAAGACAGTCCAAGTAAATGACAGAAACAAAAAAATATGATACATTTTCATTGTTCATTTAACAAAAGTGGTTTATTTAACAGAAACTCAGATTTGATGTGTGCATAAATATGTGAACCCCTTCAGTCAATAGCTTGTGGCACCTCCATTAGCAGCGATAACTTGGACTAAACGTCTCCTATAGCCAGTAATCAGTCTCTGACATCTGTTTTGAGGGATTTTTGCCCACTCCTCCTTACAGAACTCAGCCAATTGAGTGAGGTTTGAGGGGTGTCTGGCATGAACTGCACAGCATCTCGATTGGATTTAGGTCAGGACTTTGACTTGGCCAATCCAAACACAAACCTTCTTTCTCCTGAGACATTCTTTGGTAGATTTGCTTGAATGCTTTGGGTCGTTGTCTTGTTAAGACCCATTTTCAGCCCAGCTTTAGCTCATTAACTGATGGCCTGATGTTCTGTTCAAGAATCTCCTGGTATACCTCAGAATTCATGGTTCCCTTAATGATGTGGAGTCGTCCAGGTCCAGAGGAGGAAAAGCAGCCCCAGATCTTGACATTCCCACCACCATGCTTGACTGTTGGGATAAGGTTATTTTGGTGGTACGCAGTGTTGGGTTTTCGCCAAACATTGCGGTGTTGATTGTGACCAAAAAGGTCAATTTTGGACTCATCGGTCCAGAGAATGGACTTCCAGAAACCTTCAGGTTTGTCCAGGTGGTCTCTGGCAACGTTAAGACGGGCAGTTTGGTTCTTTTTTGACAGCAGAGGCTACCTCCTAGCAACCCTCCCATGAATGGCATTTCGATTCAGTGTTCTTCTTATTGTTGAAGTATGCACAATTACCTGAGATGCAGCAAGGGAGCTCTGCAAAATATGTTATGTTTGGGTTGGCTTTTACCTGATTTATTATTGTTCTTGTGGCTCTTGGGGATATTTTGGAAGAGCGTCCACTTGTAGGCCGAGTTGCTGTCATGTTAAATGCTCTCCATTTGTAAATTATTTGCCTCACAGTGGACTGATGGAGCTCAAATCTTTTTGAGATGATTTTATAGCCTTCCCCAGACTGATGTGCTCTCACTGCCCTCGTCCGGATGTCCTCTGAGATCTCCTTTCCTCTCGGCATGGTGTGCTTTGCATTCACCTGGATGGGTAACACCAAACTGACCAGGTTTCTTATCTCTATTTATCAGAGTCCCGCCCAAACTCTTTCCTAACAATCTCTCCTTTGATTGGTTCATTTGGTAGCTAATTATTTACCCACCTGATTCTACTTACCTACTTGATTTAACCAATGCAACTTGGGGTTCACTTATTTTTGCACCTGCTCTAATTCCTTTTTTATTTTGTTTTTCTACTACACGCATGATTTCCTCTACACCAACATATGGTATTGGTAAATATAAACCTGTTATGTCAGATCAAAAAGACTGGTTCTGATTAAATGAAGATTTCAGGATAAAACTGAAAATATCTGTAATTACACAAGGGGTTCACATATTTTCAAGCAGCACTGTAGCTCCATTAAAACTCTCCGTATCCCCCTCTCTCTACACTGTGTCAGAGGCATGGCAACAGGTGCTGCGCACGGTGTGCGTGTCCCGCATGGTGCCTGTGTTCATCTCGTACCACGACACCGAGTACTTCTACATCCTGGGAGGAGGCTGGCAGAAGGGTACCCTCTACAGGGCCCAGGTCTACGGTCAGTCAGTCAGTCAGTCAGTCAGTCAGTCAGTCAGTCAGTCAGTCAGTCAGTCAGTCAGTCAGTCAGTCAGTCAGTCAGTCAGTCAGTCAGTCAGTCAGTCAGTCAGTCAGTCAGTCAGTCAGTCAGTCAGTCAGTCAGTCAAGCAGACAGGCCGCCAGTCAATTGTGAGCTCCTGAGTGGCGCAGTGGTCTAAGGCACTGCATCGCAGTGCTAACTGTGCCACTAGAGATCCTGGTTCGAATCCAGGCTCTGTCGCAGCCGGCCGCGACCGGGAGACTCATGGGCGGCGCACAATTGGCCCAGCGTTGTCTAGGGTAGGGGAGGGAATGGCCGGCAGGGATGTAGCTCAGTTGATAGAGCATGGCGTTTGCAACGCCAGGGTTGTGGGTTCGATTCCCACGGGGGGCCAGTATAAAAAAAATATCTAATCACTAACTGTAAGTTGCTCTGGATAAGAGCGTCTGCTAAATGACTAAAATGTAAATGTAATCAGTCAGCCAGCCAGTCAGTCCCAAACCTCTGTCTTTCGTCTGCTGTCAGATATGATTATTCTTTTTTTACTCAGGCTGTGTGCTTAGCTCTCTTAGTTGGGTGTTCCTTCTCTGTTTTTTTCTTATCACACAATTCTCTTAGTCTTTACTTCTCTTATTCTTTTCCACGGTTCAATTTCCCCAACAGACGGTGACGTGACGTTTACTCAGTTGCTAGACTCCAAGGGCAGCACTGCTTGCGAGTTTATGAACAGTGAGTTCACCAGCCACCATATTTTCCATGAATTACCGTTAACCTTTTTTATAACGTTTTTTTTGTAGTACTATACACAACTGTCTAATGTAGGCTAACAGGTGGTTGTGTTATGATATATTCTGTTTCACTGTCTGCAGACCTGGGTAAATCTTTTTATTTTAAATCATTTCAAATACTTTATCTGTGCTTGATTGAACTTGCCTGGTTTAATTAACCAATAGAATAGTTACAAAAGTGCAAACCCTGCCCATTTGGCGCTCAAGCAAACACTCAAAGTATTTGAATGATTTCAAGTAGTATTTGAACCCAGGTCTGAGCTGTTTAGATTCACCCCTCATGTGTATATGATCCTCAGGTAAAGCCTGCCAGGTCAAATGGGCAGCCCAGGATTCTTCCCACAACCACCTGATTGACTTGGTTCTCCTCGAACTGCTACCGGACAATAAACAGGCCCACTCCTACCACCTCCTCATATTAGGTTCAGTAGTAACATGTTATTTCAGATGATTTACAGAAACTTTAAAGCCCGAAAGTCTGCGTTCAAAATGTCACCCTATTCCCTAATATGGTACTCTACTTTTGACCATAGGCCCATAGTGCACAATGTAGGGAATAAGGTGCCATGTTGGATGTACACTATAATTTCAATGTAACAAAGTAGCCCCGTGTAGCTCAGTTGGTAGAGCATGGCGCTTGCAACGCCAGGGTTGTGGGTTCGTTTCCCACGGGGGGCCAGTATGAAAATGTATGCACTCACTAACTGTAAGTCGCTCTGGATAAGAGCGTCTGCTAAATGACTAAAATGTAAATGTAAGTAGGATATGTAATAATAAGGCTGTTTCTGGTCTTTGCAGACAATAATTTCCACCTCGGCGACACCTTCCCCAAGTATATCCCAAAAGGTATTTTCTGCCCCTGTTGCATGTGTTTTGCATTTTGTAACCGAGTTGAGTTGGTTTAAACTCACTCCTCAGGTTGAAATACCCCCACCCGCTAGCTTTTCGGTGGTGCAGCTGGCTAAGGTGTTTCAAGAGGACGGTCACGTGTGTTTGCAAGACAGAGGATGCCAGATTGAGTACCAGTGTGAACTCTTGAGCGAGGAAGCTAAACTATTGAGCGACAGCGTGACCCCATTAACACATGGATATTATGTATTATATTATGTGAAATATTACCTTATTTTGCATTAGGGTTAGTAACTGTGTGTGTTTGTGCAGGCAGTGGAGACTCATTCACGGTGGTGACCAAGACTCAGGAAAATGGCACAGTGACTCTGCACTTGAGGGGCATGGTGTTCAACCCCATCAGTGCCATCCTCTACATCTGGGGAAACGCTCTGCTCTGCTCGTGGGTATTCAGCTGTGTGTGTGTGTGTGTTTGTGAGAGAGAGAGGCTAGCCTACATTTAGGGTTCATATGGCTATAGATTTGATCGACAGCACTTTTTTACTGTGAGCACACACAACTGAAACAGCCTCTGAAATACAGGCTAGGAAGTAGCATAAGTGTGTGCATGCGTTCGTGTAAGGGTTTCCATTAGGAAAATGTGGCGCCAGACATTTGACTGGCAGCATTTAAATTTACCGGACATTTGAGAAATAAACCGGACCCATATGCATTGGGTGCGTAACCTGATTAGGGCGTCCACCCACGGTTCTCAGAATGACAGAAATCACCTCTCCATCACGGTTGACAACTCCACAGTGTCGCCCTCTCAGAGTGCATAGAACCTTGGCGTGACCCTGGAAAACACCCTGTCGTTCTCTGCAAACATCAAAGCAGTAACTCAGTCCTGCAGGTTCATGCTCTACAACATCCGTAGAGTACGACCGTACCTCACACAGGAAGCGGCGAAAGTCCTAATCCAGGCACTTGTCTTCTCCCGTCTAGACTACTGTAACCTCCCGCTCAGCTCAGTCCAATCTCTTCTCTGTCTTGGTACCCCAATGGTAGAACCAGCTTCCCCCTGAAGCCAGGACAGCAGAGTCCCTGCCCATCTTCTGAAAACACCTGAAACCCTACCTCTTCAAACAGTATCTTAAAAATCCTCCTCCTCACCTCGACCCCCCCACCCCCCTTTCTAGCTCTGACTCTACTGATAGCTACTTTATTGAGGAAGAATTTACTTTCTATGCCTGTGATATGTGTTTGTCCCACCTAGCTGTCTTAAGATGAATGCACTAACTGGATAAGAGCGTCTGCTCGATGATGCAACGGCGTGCGTACTTACCAATTCCGATGTTAGAATAACTACACATTTACTTTTCCTCAGCCAAAATGACGAGTAGGCCTAATGAACAGCTAAATCACTAGTCTATATCAGTCTATTATCCCCCATAGTAGAAATGTTGACCTATTCTATTAGTCAGCTTGTCGTTCTGTACAAGAAAGAAATAGCCTATTCCAAACAAACTCTGGGACGATAGATCCCAAATTCATACAACCAGTAGGCCTAGGCAAAAAAACGTTTAAGCGAAAAACGTTTCGCTTAAAATGTTGATAAACTATTATTTCTATTAAGCGCAGCAAAGCGTACAAGGCAGCAGGCTACACGCGAATGTTCATTCCATAATGAAATTAGCAGGAAAACACTTATCAAAAGCGCACCGCACATGCAAGCGGTTTCATGAGACCGAGATGAAAATATCAGTTAGAAATTCAGAAAGAGGGGAGATCAAATATGCAACAACTAGCATGGGTTGCTAATATAACTAGGATTGTGCCTTTGGCTACTGGACAATGAAAGAAAGTTGATTTGAAAAATCCAATAGAACATGAGAGAAATAGGCTACTGGTTTCAATGGCATATGGAAGTCTTTATAAAATAATTACCTCCATGTTTGGTTGTGTTTTGGCTAGGCTACATTGATTCAAGGTGAACATGCCTCATAATATGTAGTAAAACTTTCAGGTTTCAAACAATTAAGTGTATGTTTTCAAAATTCATACTGCCTCCAGCTCATTGCAAAGTGGTGTGTGATGCGTTGAAGCCTGCCTACCTTTAAATACACTTGAATGGCAAATGGGAAGTATGTTTCAATTACAGTTGAGAAATAAAAATAGTAGCTATTTTTAAGCGTGGCTATCAAAACTGTTTTTAACATGCAATTTAATTTAGAATTGTTGCGCAATGATTGGGTTTAAAAATCAAGTTTCACTCCAGCTGCAACAGGAGCTGTAACAGATGTTCCGCTTAAAATAGGCTCTGTTATCTGTATGCTGTGCCCGTGTGATAAATAAGAATCATAACGACTAATGAAAATACACACGAGAATTTAATTCCACTAAATATTGCAAACTAACCCATAGACCGATAAGTATGACCGGTCAAATGTATTTACATCGACTGGTATTTTAATAAATGAATAGGCTAAAAGCATTATTTTGCAATGGGATTATTTATTCTTCTCCCGGACAATTAGCCGACGGCAATATTATTTATCGGCTTTTCATTTTTTTTGTATCTGCCAAAAGCCAGCTACTACCGGCTAACGGAAACCCTGGTGCATGTGTGTGTAAACGCAGGGACATGCATGATGCTTGCATGAAGGTAGGTCATATTTGCACAAAGATGTTGTCTATCTGTTGTCTGTGGTTCCCAACAGTCAAGACCAGGGGATGAGCTACCTGTTCTTTAATGGCTTCCCTCTGGATCAGATGATCAAGTACTTCACTCTGTCCTACCACGGAGAGTTTGCCTTCGTCACAGAGACCGAAGAGGTATACCTGTGTGAGAGGAAGAAAGACTGTTTTATTTTTTGCTCACTCATTGTGAAATGACGTGCATTTGTGTTTCAAACGTGTGTGTGTGTGTGTGTGATATGAAACACTCATTCGTGACAATATAAAATGAGTGTGTGAGCATGTTTGTGTGTGTGTGTGTGTGTGTTTCAGCTGTGGTGGGGGCAGGAGGGCGTGGACCAGGTGATGCGAGTGCGCCCCTCCCTGGGCTGGCAGGCCTTCTCTAGCCTGCAGGCTCTGAAGGGCGACAGCTCCTACTCCATGACCCACAGCCTGCTCACTGTCTTCTACGACTGGGACAAACAGCTGCAGGAGGTAACCCTATGCAACTATTATCAATTTATATACATGGATTGTGTATCAGTCACATAGGGATGTATACGATAAACCAGATTGACAAGTTTATTGTGGCAGAATCAGAAAGACGGTTGAGGCAGTCACAGTTGTTATATAAAATGGGTTGTACATCACTTGTACAACCTGAGTGTGTACTAGGCCTATTTGTTTTCATGAGAATATACACTGAGTGTACAAAACATTAGGAACACCTTCCTAATATTGAGTTGCATCCCCTTTTGCCCTCAGAACAGCCTCAATTCGTCGGGGCATGCACTCTACAAGGTGTCGAAAGCGTTCCACAGGGATGCTGGCCCATATTGAATCCAATGCTTCCCACAGTTGTGTCAAGTTGGCTGGATGTCTTTCGGGTAGTGGACCATTCTTGAAACACATGGGAAACTGCTGAGCGTGAAAAACCCAACAGTGTTGCAGTTCTTGACACTCAAACCGGTTCGCCTGGCACCTACTACCCTATTCAAAGGCACTTAAATCTTTTGTCTTGCCCATTCACCCTCTGAATGGCACACATACACAATCCATGTCTCAATTGTCTGGAGGCTTGAAAATCCTTCTTTAACCTGTCTTCTCCCCTTCATCCACACTGATTAAAGTGGATTTAACAAGTGACATCAATAAGGGATCATAGCTTTCACCTGGTCAGTCTTTGCCATGGAAAGAGCAGGTGTTCCTAATGTTTTGTACTCTGTGTAGATGTATTATTTTATTTATTTCCACCTCTGTGATGTTCCTGTGGGAGGTTGAAGGTAAACCCTCTCTCTCTCTCCTCCTCTCTCTCTCTCGTTAGGTGGTGTACACAGTGGACTCTAAGGGAAAGGGTTCTGTGGTGAAGAGGGAGCTGCCTGTGCCCGAGATCCTTTCCTATAGCCACTTCTCGACCACCCCCCGCAAAGTCCACCACTTGGAGTACTGTACCTTTTCCTCTGTGTTCTCTACTGACTATTTATCACCCTGACTATTCTTCAATGTACATTTTTCGCCCAATACATATTTGCGTTTTCCTTTCTCCTGCCCTTTCCCCCTCTCCCCCCAGGTCGTTCAGTGCCTTCTCTTTCCCCCTCTCCCCCCAGGTCGTTCAGTGCCTTCTCTTTCCCCCTCTCCCCCCAGGTCGTTCAGTGCCTTCTCTTTCCACCTCTCCCCCCAGGTCGTTCAGTGCCTTCTCTTTCCCCCTCTCCCCCCAGGTCGTTCAGTGCCTTCTCTTTCCCCCTCTCCCCCCAGGTCGTTCAGTGCCTTCTCTTTCCCCCTCACCTGCCCCTTCTTCTGGGAGCACATGGCGGACCTGCCCCACCCAGAGCCCTACAACCGCATCCAGCAATACCTGACCCGGCCCCCCCTGGTGCCCACCTCCTTGGGCCTCCAGACCACTGCCTCCCTGGCCACCTACCAGGGTCTGCTGCACCACCTGCTCCACCTGCACTCGGACTACATCATGGTAGGCCTACATCAGCCGTCTGTCTGCTCATACCACGCCCAATCCCAAGTCAACCCCTATGCACTTGTTGAGATCTGAGAGAAATACCCCAGGTCCTACAAATGAGAATGTCATCTCGGTCAACCATTTGAGCATATCGTTCATCATTATCTTCTCAGATCTCCACAAGTGCATAGAGCGTAGGATCGAGGGGCCGATTTGGGATTGTTCCCTACTCCTTCAAACTCCTTCCTCTAGCTCTTGTGTAATGTTAGCGCCTCCCGTTAGGCTGGGGAAATCACTCACCTCAGTGCTGTTGGGATTGCAAGAGGAGGCATTGCTTTTGTGAAGGATTTAACGATACTGACTTTACTTATTTCCAGGACATTGGCAACCCCGTCCACAACCCAACCTGGCGCTGGTGGAAGGACAAAGTTATATATGCGGTCAGCTTCTTCTTCTAAGAGTTTTTATGCATGTGAATGACCCTGCACATGATACACTCATACACAGATGAACATACACACATATGGATACACATACAAAGATATACACCGTATGTCACTCCACATAAAAGTTTCCTTTTACCTTTTGTCTCTGATCTTAATAACAATCTAAGTCCTATCGCGTCCTCTTGGCTCCCCAGGACTACTACTTCTACATGGCTAGCAACGGCGTGTCGTCCACAGGCTTCAACGTGGAGATGGGGGGCTACTCCCGGGCCTACATGAGTTCAGAGATCACCTTCCCAGACATGGTGTACCTGGACCGGGTCTCCTCCTTCTCCTTCTCCATCTACATCGCCTGCGGCTCCGCCAAACACCTCTCCGTGGAGGAGAAACCCAGAGGTGGGAGCAGAGAATGGGCTCATGTTCATTAGGCACCATATGGAAGAAAACGGACTGAAACAGGCTTTTGTGGCACTGTGCCCTAATGAGCACGACCCTTGGTTGAAATAGTATTGGTTTTCTTTAAAATTCTTCCATCTGTGAGTGTTTGAGCTTGCCTAGAACCATCCACCCATCTGGCACTCCAGGCAGGCTCAATGAAACACTCAAAGTATTTAAAAGAAAGCAAATGCTGTTTGAACCCAGGTCATACACCAGTGAAAATCATTTCAACATACTAATGAACTGCATTCTGTTGGCGTTTCTGTGATGTTGTTTTATGTTATGTTGTGTGTCTCTAATGATTGTCGTACCTTAAAGAGCTCAGTGACATCAACTACATCTGGCTCTCAGCTGAGGTGTCCAACAACCACTACATCCATGTGTCTGTGACCAGGAACGAGCTCTTAAACAGAGGGGCCGTGTTATATAAGGTAACGCATACATAAACCAAGCCTTAGATACCTCAGTATGTCCTTCACTGTATCACCACCACTTGACTTTTACAACCTACTTCTCAGACTCAATTTTCCTGTAGGAACATCATTTCACACACAGCTTCATTTTTACATATTTTCAGTTGATCACAGTGGCAGTGTGCTCACAGCTCAGTGTAATATAATATTTGCCATTTAGCAGACACTTTTATCCAGAGCATGCATACATTTTCATATCGGTGGCCCCAGCGGCAATCAAACCCATGGGCCACGACCCTAGCGTTGCAAGCGCCATGCTCAACCAATTGAGCCACACAGGACAAACCGTGTATACTGTTACCATTACCAAACAAAATGACGTTCTTCCGTGTTCCAAGGTGACTGTGAAAGACAGGGGGCTGTTTCCCGGTCAAGTGCTGGCGGGTGAGGGGCTCCTGGCTTTCAACCTCCTGCTACGGGTGAGACGTGAACAACGAGGGCCTGGAACAAAATGGCTCATATATCTGACATGTATTTGACAGGGAATATGCTGCTACTATAAATGTTTGGAGATGTTTTGTGAGTAGTGTTGTTGAGTCTTCTATCCACCAGGTGTCTCTCTCTCAAACTGTGTGAATGCAGGTGAGCAGCTCGGAGATGAAGTGCTACCAGCAGAAAGACCAGGGGATAGGCCTTAGAGTCAGTATCATGTTGTCTGTACTTCATCTATGCTGTCCTATTGTGTTAGACTCATCATATAGGCCATTCAATGCCATCTAATGCCTAATTCACATTATTGGGCCGACCTGAACCGTACTCTGCTGGCTCTGATATTTTCCTTTCATGTCCTTTCCATCACCGTTCCAGCAACTATGGTTGTGTTACCAGGCTAGCCCAATACAGCTCGGCTTGGCCCTATAGTGTGAACCAGGCATACATGTCTCTGCCACCTATAACTGATATTCTGTTTGCTTTGCACCACCACTTAGGGGCTGCACAGGGTGCCCATCTACATTGGCTGCCCTCCCGGGAACCGCCTGGCGTTTGACATCACAACTACCCTGGAGAAGTGTGCCTACAACAACAAGCGCTACTTCAACTGCCCCAAACCCGACCCCATCATGCCTTGCTTTTACTATGAAGACCGTGAGACTATGACCCTGAACTAAACCCGTTTTGAAATGGTCAACTTTTGCGAAGACATACGTTTTGACCCTCAACCTAAATCTAAACTGCACACATACATCTTGTACATTAGGGAGGCGGGGAGGTCGACAGAAAATGTATAATGTAATCTAACTACCTACCACTGTTACATGTCCTCCATTGTGTCTCTGTCTGCAGTGTTCTATCCCTTCTTCTTGATCCAGGACATGGTCTCTGGAGAGTCTGAGCGATTCCTCGGGAGGTAACCCCCCCCATCAATCTCATCCCCTCTTGTGCCGCTTTTTTGTACTCAGACAAAAAACGAAACATCTTTGTGGTTTCTATACATGAATTGCTGTTGTTGAAGCCCATGGCTTGATATCATACTGTCTCTATTTGTTACACTATAGCTATACCTTTAAGGTGGTTGGCGGAGGAGCTTACTCAAAAGATCACATCCGCCTCTACACTCCAGAGGAGGTGCTTATGTATAACAGCCTCAACTACAGGTAATGGAGTTGTACTAGAGCTACACAGGAAAACACACAGGACCCAAATGTATCGTTTTAATATATTAGAGCAAGGTTGGTTTGATATACGGTACCAATAGAGATGCATATTTGTGTGACTCCCCCTGGAAGTTCACCCTGGTTTCTCTGTCTGTCCCACAGCTCCCAGAGGACACTGGTATGGATGTTTGAAGACATGGACAGCAGTGTCAACATCACTAAGGAAGGATTTGTGGTCATGCATGGCAATACAAACAATATTCGGTAACACTCATACATACACACACAGTGCATTCGGAAAGTATTCAGACCCCTTGACTTTTTCCACGTTATGTTACAGCCCTATTCTAAAATGGATAAAATTGTTATTTTTCCTCAATCAACACACAATACCCTATAATGACAAAGAAAAAACAGGTTTTTAGAAAAGTTGGCACATTTAAAAAAAACTTAAATAATACATTTACATACACTACCAGTCAAAAGTTTGGACACCTACTCATTCAAGGGTTTTTCTTTATTTTTACTATTTTCTACATTCAAGGGTTTTTCTTAATTTTTACTATCTTCTACATTGAAGAATAATAGTGAAGACATCAAAGTTCTGGAAATGTTCTGGATTGGCTGACCGTCATGTCTTAAAGTAATGATTGACTGTCGTTTCGCTTTGCATAGTTGAACTGTTCTTGCCATAATATGGACTTGGTCTTTTACCAAATAGGGCTATCTTCTGTATACCACCCCTACCTTGTCACAACACAACTGATTGGCTCAAACGCATTAAGAAGGAAAGAAATTCCACAAATTAACTTTTGACAAGGCACACCTGTTAATTGAAATGCATTCCAGGTGACAACCTCATGAAGTTGGTTGAGAGAATGCCAAGAGTGTGCAAAGGTGTCATCAAGGCAAAGGGTGGCTACTTTGAAGAATCTAAAATATTCTACAATGTAGAAAATAGTAAAAAATAAAGAAAAACCCTTGAATGGGTAGGTGTGTCCAAACTTTTGACTGGTACTGTAAGTATTCAGACCCTTTGCTCAGTACTTTGTTGAAGCACCTTTGGCAGGATTATAGCCTCAAATCTTCTTGGGTATGACGCTACAAGCTTGGCAGACCTGTATTTGGGGAGTTTCTCCAATTCTTCTTTGCAGATCCTCTCAAGCTCTGTCGGGTTGGATGCAGAGCGTCGCTGCACAGTTATTTTCAGGTGTCTCCAGAGATGTTCGATCGGGTTCAAGTCCGGGCTCTGGCTGGGCCACTCAAGGACATTCAGAGACTTGTCCCGAAGCCACTCCTGCGTTGTCTTGGCTGTGTGCTTAGGGTCGTTGTCCTGTTGGAAGTGAACCCTCGCCCCAGTCTGAGGTCCTGAGCGCCCTGGAGCAGGTTTTCATCAAAGATCTCTCTGTACTTTGCTCCTTTCATCTTTCCCTCGATCCTGACTAGGATCCCCACAGCATGATGCTGCCACCACCATTCTTCACTGTACATTTACATTTACATTTTAGTCATTTAGCAGACGCTCTTATCCAGAGCGACTTACAGGAGCAAGGGATGGTAGTGTGTAGATTGAGGGACATTTTTTATTTAATCAATTTTAGAATAAGGCTGTAACGTAACAAAATGTGGAAAAAGTCAAGGGGTCTGAATACTTTCCGAATGCACTGTATATAGTCACATACTCTGGATAGGTGCAGTGAAATGTGAGTTGGCTATACAGCACAATCAGATATGGGACCAGGCTACATACTGATCACTGACAGGTCTACTTGTTGATGTGCGTTGCGGTGCAGGTGGATGTGTCAGGGGAACTCTCCCTGTGGCAACATGGCCGCTCAGAGCCTGGAAGCACCAGACTATTACTTTGTCGTCGAAGTCTCAAACAAGTACGGCTCAAAAGTTCAGCATTACATCTGCGTATAGGGTCTGTGTCAATGTGTGCGCACAAAAAAGGTCTGATTGCATGTTAACTGGACAGTGCCTTGTGTTCCTCTTTAGGGGTATTGATTTGAGTACGTACTGTGACTATGCGTTGCGGTTTATACTCCACGTGCATGGATTCCCATTGGACCCCAGCAGAGGCCTTTTCTACATGCTGGTGTGTTCCCTGGATGCGTCCCATATGGTACCCTATTCCCTATATTGGAAACGGCTTGCTCTGGTCAGAAGTAGTGCACTAAATAGGGAATAGGGTGCAATTTGGGATGCTACCCTGGACTCAAATAGAATCACAAAACCTGACTCTACACTGTTGTCAAATATTACATTTGGTTGACATGTCTTTCTTCCTCCAGATGACCCTGGCCACCATCGTAGGAATCCTTGTCTGCTTCATTGTTTATAACTGCTGTGGTCCAGGCTTGAAGAACCTGTTAAAGGCAGCCTACCAGGCCACCAAGCACAAGAGCCATGCAGAGCACGGTAAACCACCCCAAAACATTATCTTTGAGAATGACCTGTATATTCAGTGATTAGTGGATGACTGCAATCAGTCGATACAGTGCATGCTCCTTGTGAATGGGATTACGAATCAACCGCTTACGTTCTGTTCGGATGTGACTTTAAGAGTGTACTGTATGTATTCTGACATTGTTCATGGTTTTAGATCTGATGCTATGTACTGAAGAGGGTGGCATCTGTGTTTCAGAATCCAACGTCTCCCTGGCACCTAGTATAGGGGATGGAGTTCACAGATCCAGGGATTCCAGGCAGGGCTTAAGCCTAACCTCTACTAATTGAAAGAATATATCATAGTTCACCATTCACTTTATAAAAAAAGAGGCAGTGTTAACATGGAATTTTAATTTGTTTCAGAATAGGAGAGGTTCTTCCTTCTGAAGTCTAATGTACTGAACAAATCAGAACAAATAGAAATTTAAAAAAATAAAAATAAAACGATACACACTCTGGTACAAAATCTTGCCCTCAATATTATCACTTAAGTTAAAGGAAAAAGCTTGTCAATCTCATACATTTTGTTTACGATTCATTGGGTCATACAGGGGACCTGGAGTGAAGACGTGACTGCAATATACACTATGCATGGACACAGCATTACAGTTAAGTGGGGGTGGGTAACAGGGTGGGGGTGGGTAACAGGGTGGGGGTGGGTCAGGGTTCGTTCTAGTTGGCATGCTGCGCGGTTGAGAAACACAGCTTCAGTGTGTAGGGGTATGGACCACCTGGAAGAAAGGTGGGAAGGTTAGCCAACTGTGGAGAGATGTTGTCGGGCCGGAATAATACATTCTCATTAACTAGTCTGGGGTGGATTCCCAAAAACAAAGAATATTTAGAATTAAGATCATTGTTCCGCCATTTACACTTGAGCCAACATCCACAGCGTTTACCATGAATGCGATCTCCGTGAACGTTTGATAAATTGACTATAAAAAAGGCTAATTGTCGGTAGGGTAGTGCAGCGCCTTCGAATGAATCCCGGACTGATCTTAGTGCTAAAGATAATCTTCATGTTTTTGGGAAAGTCACTCCTGAATGACAGACTAGTTACTGTGTATTTGCTCACCGTTGGTATCATTAGCTGTGGTGTTGTTATCGCAGTCTGAGTACTTACTGGGGTTCTTCATCTGGTAGTGGTTCATCATGGCCAGAGCCTCCATGGCGTCGTTTATAGATTCCCACTCCAGCAGCCCGGATGAGCTCCGCTCACCTGTCGCGCCACCCGAGGCGAGAGAGACACATTCCAATTTATTGACACTGCAACCCCTAACCAATGGGAACTCGCTCCAATGTAAAGACCAGATGCAACATGATTCATGCAAATAAAGTTCATATTACTCACTCTTTCCGGTGAAGAGTTTGATGTTAGATGGGTTCTTAACACCAAGTTCCTCACAGACCTGAAAGGATAGATAATGGGTTTGTTCATGAGAAATCAATTTTCCACGCACACACAAACTAGGTAAGCCAAACTTGTAAAGTTCAACCCTCCAAGAGAACCAACAGCCCAATCCAAAGCTTCCAGCCCCCAATCCTCTCCAGTTGTCTTACCCCGTTGAAGACCTCCACGGAGATGTCGGGCTGCCCGTTGAAGAAGTGTAGGACGTTGCTGGGGTGCTGAATGCGGTTCTTGGCCGCCTGCTCCGGGGAGGTGAAGCGGTTGTTGCGGGAGCCGTGGAAGTCCTTGAAGCTGCTGGAGCCATCCTCCAGCTCGTAGGACTGACCTGGCATGATGGCCTGCTGCTTGGACACACTGTGGACGGAGGATGGACAACATTGAGTCTGTACATCAACACTACAAACCTGTTGTATCGATGTGTTACTACTCAGTTTCTATGGACATCAATGTGTATGCGGAGTTTAAAAGCAGCACTGACCAGACGTTGAGCTTCTGTTCAAACAGGAAGTTGTTGTTGAGGTGGCTGATGGCACGGTCCACAGCGTAGCAGTCGCCCATCTCCACCATGGCTGCCCCTGGCTTACTCTTCATGAACTTCACCTGAGGACAGAGGGGACAGAGCTCAGAAACCCTATCCTATTATCCAGTGGTGTAAAAATACTTTAAAGTACTACTTTTTTGGGGTTATTTGACTTTTACTCCACTACATTCCTAAAGAAAATTTGATTTTCTCCAATACATTTTCCCGGACACCCAAAAGTACCCATCACATTTCGAATGCTCAGGCAGGACAGCAATATGGTCCAATTCACGCACCTACAGTGGGGAGATGATGTATGATTTTTAAGTAATTAATTTGCATTTTATTGCATGACATAAGTATTAGATACATCAGAAAAGCAGAACTTAATATTTGGTACAGAAACCTTTGTTTGCAATTACAGAGATCATACGTTTCCTGTAGGTCTTGACCAGGTTTGCACACACTGCAGCAGGGATATTGGCCCACTCCTCCATACAGACCTTCTCCAGATCCTTCAGGTTTCGGGGCTGTCGCTGGGCAATACGGACTTTCAGCTCCCTCCAAAGATTTTCTATTGGGTTCAGGTCTGGAGACTCCAGGACCTTGAGATGCTTCTTACGGAGCCACTCCTTAGTTGCCCTGGCTGTGTGTTTCGGGTCGTTGTCATGCTGGAAGACCCAGCCACGACCCATCTTCAATGCTCTTACTGAGGGAAGGAGGTTGTTGGCCAAGATCTCGCGATACATGGTCCCATCCATCCTCCCCTCAATATGGTGCAGTCGTCCTGTCCCCTTTGCAGAAAAGCATCCCCAAAGAATGATGTTTCCACCTCCATGCTTCACGGTTGAGATGGTGTTCTTGGGGTTGTACTCATCCTTCTTCTTCCTCCAAACACAGCGAGTGGAGTTTAGACCAAAAAGCTCTATTTTTGTCTCATCAGACCACATGACCTTCTCCCATTCCTCCTCTGGATCATCCAGATGGTCATTGGCAAACTTCAGACGGGCCTGGACATGCGCTGGCTTGAGCAGGGGGACCTTGCGTGCGCTGCAGGATTTTAATCCATGACGGCGTAGTGTGTAACTAATGGTTTTCTTTGAGAATGTGGTCCCAGCTCTTTTCAGGTCATTGACCAGGTCCTGCCGTGTAGTTCTGGGCTGATCCCTCACCTTCCTCATGATCATTAATGTCCCACGAGGTGAGATCTTGCATGGAGCCCCAGACCGAGGATGATTGACCGTCATCTTGAACTTCTTCCATTTTCTAATAATTGCGCCAACAGTTGTTGCCTTCTCACCAAGCTGCTTGCCTATTGTCCTGTAGCCCATCCCAGCCTTGTGCCGGTCTACAATTTTATCCCTGATGTCCTTACACAGCTCTCTGGTCTTGGCCATTGTGGAGAGGTTGGAGTCTGTTTGATTGAGTGTGTGGACAGGTGTATTTTATACAGGTAATGAGTTCAAACAGGTGCAGTTAATACAGGTAATGAGTGGAGAACAGGAGGGCTTCTTAAAGAAAAACTAACAGGTCTGTGAGAGCCGGAATTCTTACTGGTTGGTAGGTGATCAAATACTTATGTCATGCAATAAAATGCTAATTAATTACTTTAAAATCATACAATGTGATTTTTTGGATTTTTGTTTTAGATTCTGTCTCTCACAGTTGAAATGTACCTATGATAAAAAGTACAGACCTCTACATGCTTTGTAAGTAGGAAAACCTGCAAAATCGGCAGTGTATCAAATACTTGTTCTCCCCACTGTATAAAAGTCGTTGTCATCCCTACTGCCTCTGATCTGGCAGACTAAACACAAATACAGCGTTTGTAATTGATGTCCGAGTGTGCCCGTCTGTCCGTAAATAAATAAAAACAAGAAAATCGTGCCTTCTGGTTTGCTTAATATAAAGGAGTTTGATGTATTTTACTTTTACTCAAGTATGGCAATTGAGTACTTTTTCCACCGCTGTACTTAAATACATTTAGAACCAGATACTTTTACATAAGTGAAAGTCACCCAGTAAAATACTACTTAAGTCATTTTCTATTAAGGTATCTTTTACTCAAGTACGACAATTGAGTACTTTTTCCCACCACTGCTACTACCCACCTCCAACCTGACCATAGAACCTTGTTTTCACCAGTCTATACCCCCAGCAAGAACATAACCCTGAACAGTCTATAACCATGCCTCAGTAATGCACCGTTCCCGTCTGAACTCACCCGCTCCACGTTGCCATAGAGACAGAAGACGTTGAAGACCTTGTCGGCGTTGATCTTCGCGGGCTCCAGGCCGTACACCATGACAACAGGGGAGTCAGCGTGGGCGCTGTAGTCACCAGGGGGAGGTGGGCCATGTCCATACCCAGGTCCCCCGTAACTGCCGCCACGTCCGCGGCCACGCCCTCCCATCAGAGGCCCCATGCGGCGCCCACCCTCATAGTGTGGAGGGGGTCCGTAGCCGCTTTCATCATGGTAGCCGTGATACCCACCGGTTGGGCCGCCTTGTGAAAGAAATGGATAAACAGAGGTGATTGGGCAAACCGAGTCAAACTGTTACTGGAGTCATTCTAGACATTCCAACAGAGTTGACCTGTGACGCTCACAGTACAAAGAACGTCTCTGCCTACTTACCATACTCTGGAGGATGGTCTCCTAGTAGAGCTGGCTGTCTCACACGCTTGTTGGGGTTGGCATTGGGATCTGAGAGCAAGAAACAGCAATAAAGTGAGCCCCTGATTCCTGATAAGACAGTGTATCAGTGTGTCAAAAGGGGCACATCTACAAACTATGGGACAGTGCTGTGATTAACATGCACAAGAAGCTGGGTAAAGATATTGAGCGTGTTAAGGAAATCAAGGTTTATGCAGGCCCTCATGCTATCTGTTACCATAACTATAAAATGTAACATACTGGAGATTTGTAGGAGGATTTAACAGCAGCATAGCGAATGGAATGGATACTCTCGCATACTAATACTCTTAACCATTCTCATTCGAACTCACACACCTTGTGAATTGTTCCAATTGCCTTCAGCGTCAGCATCTGTGCAGGTACATACACAGTCAAAACCAAAACAAATTATGTACAAACTTAAACTCTAAACAAATATTCTTCAACCAATAGAATGTCTCAATACATTTATTAGTAGAAGAAAAAAAAGAATATTGTGCAAGATGTTCCATCTAAGAAAGCCGACTAGAGCACAAACCCGTGGCAAAAACGGGCTACATGAATTAAGATACATTTTTAATTCAGAAATATTTTACTCTTCATTGAGCTATTAAAATGTAGACATCAAAACAACTGATTCTAGCAATGAATTGAGTTTCCTAGTCTGACAACAAATGCATGGTACCCCACCCATGGGCCACAAAGTCTAAAGAACAGTTGACAGAAAAACAAAAACCAGGCCTGGAATTTCATATTGCCATTGACTGAAATGCTGGACCTCTTTTGCGTGAATGAATACAGAGTTTACAAAACATTAGGAACACCTTCCTAATATTGAGTTGAACAGCCTCAATTCGTCGGGACATGGACTCTACAAGGTGTCACGCATTCCACAGGGATGCTGGCCCATGTTGACTCCCACAGTTGTGTCAAGTTGGATGGATGTCCTTTGGGTGGTGGACCATTCCTGACACACATGGGAAACGGAGTGTGAATTTTGTCTTGCCCATTCACCCTCTAAATGGCACACACACAATCCATGTCTCAAGGCTTAAAAATCCCTCTTTAACCTGTCTCCTCCCCTTCGTCTAAACTGATTGAAGTGGATTTAACAGGTGACATCAATAATGGATCATCGCGTTCACCTGGATAGTGTCATGGAAAGAGCAGGAGTTCCTAATGTTTTCTACACTCAAGTGTATCTTATATTGGCTAGCTATAATGTACAGCTACCCAACAACCAAATAATTTTCCTAAAATGTCCAGCGAACTGTGATATTACAAACTATATCAGCTTACACAAACAGTGGAAAACTAGATATTTTCATAAATTTTGCTGTGAGACTACACATTTCTACATAATTATTAAAGAGCACAAGCAGAAATCTCAGAAGATTCCAGACCTGGAATTTGATGCATGAGTTTGATAAAAGTCAACAATTCACATATGGGGTTGACAAAGTCAATCACAACAAACAATTTACATTACAATCATTCTCTATCACCAGGTCAGTCATGTCTCTTTACATGTACTTACAGCACCAGACACGGAGAACACAGGATGCAGAGGGCAGGTAGGGGGCACTCTTCAGCAAGGATCCTACCCGCCAAACCTGTGACTCCAGCTTCAACTCACTGTTTCCACCTTTCCCCACCACCAGAGAAAGAGCATCCACCAATCTTCCATGCTTGGCTTCAAGTTGCCGTCACTTTGTTTTTTATGGGTTGCCATTTGAGGCAAATTTCCAGCTTACCGTGCTTTGACCGCAAAGCCGGAGGACATTTGCACCATTTGATTGAGGCGTGTCTTGTCGTCAGACACACAGAGCCAAACCTGCATCACACGGGAGGTGTTAGAGGTATCACTTACGGGCCAGTTCAGAAAGAAAAAAACAACGTAGTAGAATCAACACAAGAACAGCACGGAGAAGAGGGGAAATGGGAGGGGAAGGTAAAGGGGAAAAAACAGCACCTGAGTCCATCAATGCAGAGAGAGCTTTGGGAAAATGCTGAAGTTTCTATCAGTCTGCCTCTGTGCTTGTATGCTTTGCGGGTGTTTGATGCTTGTGTCTTCGTGGTCCCCCTTGAGTTTGTGGGGTGCGTCTTCTCATGTAAGTGGCCACACGTGTGCTGCTTGTTTTTTTACCATAGAGGTGGTCCCCCCATGGCGAAGTGAGAGGCATCTAGTGCTTGGCAGTAAAAACATCTGGAATGGCATTGTCTGCGTGGTGGTGTGTTGTCATGGCGATTCAGCTTGGTGTGTCATTGCCGTGAGTATTCAGCTCGGTGGTGTGTTGTGTTGTTCAGCACAAGAGGGGAGAGTGATAGCAAAAGGAAGCCCAGACACCCAAGTCAAGAGATGGGATGGCATAGTGGTAGTTTGAGAAAAGAGTGGTCTCTCTCTGCCTCTGTATATTGTCTCAGTATGTAGTGTCATCTGTTCCCTTCTCAGGCTTTTAGAGTGTGTTTAGAAAACTCCTCTGTTGCTCGCTGAAGTGGTTGTGTCTGACAGTCAGATCCCGAGGGCTGGGAGGAGTGGCCTTATCGGCCACACACACCAGACTCCCGCCCCCATCACACAAAATGTGCTGTGTCAAAAGGTGAGATCTTCAGCATTCTGGAGATGAGATATGCTGTACTTGTAAGAGGATGGATGGCTATCAATCTATCAGATCAGTCTGTGGGGGTGGTTAATGCTGGGTGTCTGCTCACAATTGACTCTTGGGAGTGTCTCAGGCCCTCACCATGAGTGTCTCAGGCCCTCACCATGATCAAAACAGGATTGCTACTTTCCCCAAACAGTGGGATAAAGAGTAAAATGTTTTTTCCTTGCAGAAGTGGAGTGGTGGTGGAAATTGGGAGTAGGAAGTATTGAGAGTTGGGGTTGTGTGAATTCCAGTGTCTGCTGCCCCCATTGTGTCCCAATGTTTACTGAAGAGCTGGTTGGTTTGGAGTGCCAGTGGGTGGCTGCTGTTGTGTCTTTAGCAGCAGCATGTGTCTGCATAGAGCTGTAATTGAGTCTGTATGAGTGTGCACAGTGAGGACACAATGAGGAGCACCTCTTTCTCACGGGGCAGCCAGCCACACCTTAACACCTGCACATTAACAGGGACTGTCTAAACACATGGGACAGCCGTTCTTTCACCTGTTACCTCTGAGTGTCAAGTGTCTGAAATGAAGATGTGGCCATGAAACTACTAAGAAACTCATTGTGGCTCAAATATGAGAATCTGAACGACCAAACACTCCCCGCTCACCAGGGTGATTAAATGGACTACCACCCCAACTAAAAATGTGTTTCCTTTTGCATAAAAGGGATCAGGGCATATGGCTAAAAGCAAGTTAAATCACATACTGCTGTTGCACCGTGTCCCATTAGATTCCAAATATTCTGCACTTTAAGAGGCTGAACTAAGAGAGCAATGTTAGATGAAAGTATCGACCAAGCATCATATATCACTGGGATACTATGATTTTATTTTCGCAGTCATGGCAGCACAGCATCTCCAAAAGGAGACAGATGGCCACGAGAAACCCTACTTGGATTCAAAACAGCCATCTGCAAATGGAGTGAACGACTGACTGATTGACAGGTTGTAAACTGGACTTCTTGAAAGTTCCAGAAATACCATTGATTCCTTGAACAAATGTCTCTGCAATGTTACCATAGATGTTCCTAATGAAATAAAATTAAGGGATAATCCACCCCAAACCACTAAGTCTTATGATTAACAGTGTTAACACTAATATGTGAAAAATCTTTGTGAACAAATGTTTCATTTTGTCATAACAAGGTTGCTAGCAACGTGAAAATCGTTGTGGAAATCTGACTACAAAACTCTCTCTGGGCTGACTGGCTGGCTAACTAGCAAACGTAGCTACACACAATAACACCAAAGTCAATTTCAGCATGTGAAGTAGCTAGCTTGCTGTAGAATCGCAGAAACCGCACTATCAATTTAGGAGTCTCTCACCGGGTTCAGCTTGCAGTTCCTCTCTGCCCAGAGCGAGTGTGTTGCTATGGCAACAACGGCCCTTTCCCATGTGACGATATAAACGGATGATGTGTTCTACACAAGTATGGCCATACCATCGACTGGCTGATTTGACGATCTGGAATGCAGGTAATGGTTTTAAAAGCGTTATGAAATGTGATTGTGTGTTATCCCCCATCTCCAGTGACGAGAACCATGTAGCTATGACGCATTCCTACATGATTTTTCTGATTTCACAGACGGACCATTTTAATTTTACCCTCTGATAGAACATAGGCTTTCACCAAATTGACAGGAGATTTATTTCTGGGGTGGATTATCCCTTTCACTTAATCCCTCCCCCCCCCAATGGCAGGGAAACCTGGTCCATGACAGCTACAGGATCAGAGGTTGTCTAACTCCCCCTGGCTAGAACAAAAAGCTACAGACACTTTAGCCCCAAGGAACAGACTTGAATACCAAAACCTGACCTTACCTGTGATTGACTAAGCAAAAGAAAGAAACAACCATAACCGTATTTTGCAAACAAAATCTCCAATATGTTTGAGATTAATGATGCAGGGGCATTCCAAGCGAGACGCCTAGGGCGCAACACAGTGCTTGGGTGCTGACAGGTGCTTGATGTGTGGAAGTGAGGTTGTGACATGCACTGCAGGGAATGTGAATCTGTGTGACGAGACCCCGGGTGCTTCACTGTGGCAAAACGGGGCATTCCTCAGTTTACCCATGAATGCATGCAGTGGTCTGCGATGTAGACGATTCAACGTGCAGGACCATGTGCTGCAAAATGGCTGCCCCTCGAGGTCACTCCTCGTGCCCTTACTGCGCGTCTGTGGTGTTGAGAGAGAGCATGAGGACACGGGGTGATGCGTCACAGACATAGTGCCTCTGAACAGCTTTGGTTGTGGTTGTGGTTGTGGCCAAAGTTACCGTGGAGCAGGGTGTTCAAAGGCACTACAGCCGGAGGCCTGGGACCCTACCCATCCCACATAGTGCCATTAGAGCAGAAGGATGGGAAAGGTAGGGGGAGGGATGAGGGGCTGTGTGTGTTTTACCTTGGCCACTCAGGTTGGGGTTTGTGTAGTCCCAGGTGTCCTGGTCATTCTTGAACACGTTGAGGCGGGTTGGCTGTGAAGATGGACATTCAAACATTTGATTATTTTGCCCATCACAGTGTTCCTTCAGTGAAATGACCCTGGTGTTTAGATGGGCAAATGGACGTAAGCATGTAACCACTCACCTTGGCGTACTCAATCTTCAGTGTGCAGCAGCCAGAGTAGATGTCTGCCCCATTTAGAGAGGCTTTCGCCCTCTGGGCACTTTGCACAGAGTCAAATGTATGGGAAGTGAAGGAAACTATGGGTAATAAAAGCATTCGCCTACATTACACATTCCATGTTCATCTTGACATTCAAAGCTCTGCTCACAAAAACTAAGAGCACTTGTTATACAATTAGATCTATATCGAGCACAAATATTTACAAAATAAACAAATATTTACTAGCCATCACCTATAAACGACGTGTAAGGGGTGCTGACAGAAGCTTCAAGTGTGGAGTGAAGTAAGATTGTGTGGCATGCACTGCAGTGAATGTGAACCTGTGTGAGATCCCAGGCTCGATAAGACATTTTGAACAATATGGGATTTTGAGCAAAGGATATTCCACCATGGCCTGAACTCCATTCTTCCTGAAGATGACGATCCTTTGCACAGGCCCACAGTTGTTACAGACGGTGTACAGCACATCCTGCAGAGCAGAGAACCAAATAGTTTGATTGAAGGCCCAGTGCAGTCAAACTTCATTTTCCTGTGTTTTATGCATTTTCACACAGAGGTTGGAATAATACTGTGAAATTGTGAAAATTATGCCATTTTAGTGTAAGAGCTGTTTGAAAAGACCACCAAAAATGTCAGCCTGTTTTAGTGGGATGGAATTTGGGCCTGCCTGGTGACATCACCAGGTGGTAAATTAGTTAATAGACTAATGAGAACGAGTCCAAACCCCTCTGCCAATAACATCTAGTTTTCGCCTCCCCACTCAGACCACTCCCAGACAATCCTTGCAAAATTCTAGCTTGAGAATTTGCTCTTTGCTATGAAGCTATTTTTGTTTTCAATAAAAACGGCCAAAAAGAAAATCACAGTAAGGTACTTCATTCTTACCCAGAAATTATTTGATATTGAGATAAAACGGCTGAATTGGACCTTTAACAATGTGTTGCAGCGAGCCAAACAATGGTGCCTTGTCATAGCAATGAAACAGCTGCCTTGTATAATGGTGGGTGTGTTACCGAGGTGATGGGGTAGATAGGGTTCATGATGGTGAGCAGCAGCACGTTATTGACGCTGCGTGAGTCGTCTGGGTCTCCAGGCCGGGAGATCTTCTGGCTGGTGGAGTAGTTTATGAAGGAGGGGTGCCCAGCGATGTAGACCTGGTTCTCAGCTGCGTAGGTCACAGCATTGCAGGATCCATTCAAGTCCTCGTACTCCACCAGGGCCTGGCGCTTCTTGGGCATCATGACCACATAACTGTGAAGAGAATGGAAGATTGAATAAAATGCACTGCAATTAGGATAATGGGATGAACTTAGCCTCTTTTTTTTTTTTTTTTTTTACCTTTATTTAACTAGGCAAGTCAGTTAAGAACAAATTCTTATTTACAATGACAGCCTACACCGGCCAAACCCGGACGACGCTGGGCCAATTGTGCACCGTCCTATGGGACAAACTTACAGGAACAAAATACATCACCAATGGATTTGGAATGGTGCAAAATCTAAAATATATCCAGTTCAAGAAAAGGATTGTTCAAGTGTGTAGGACAGTCACCTGATTGTCCCGAACTCCTGCAGGGCTTCCACTAGATCTGCCTCCATGATACCATCAACAAGGCCCCTGATGTGGACCACCGGGGAAGGGAGCGTTTTATGGGGGTCATCATAGCCCTCCTTACAAACAAGACAAAAAAAGTAGAGATAAAAACCATGGTAATATACACATCCCCAGGGTATGTGCTACCAATTAAAACCAACCCGCCATTAATAACAGGCACCACCCCAGGGTACCAAAAAATCCTTGCTAAGTAAACAATGACGGGCTTGGCAAACAACGTGTGGTTGATATGAACAACACATCATAAACAAAATGAAAGAGTGGTGGGGGGCTTTGCATGAAGCCTGTTCTTCCTGGAAAGGCAAGCCCGTGTATAAGTGAGTGGAACGGCTGCCTGCCAGGGGATTGTTAGCTGGCTAACGCTTGTCGTGTATTCCACTTAGGCCCTAAACAGGTAACGTTGGATAGCTAACGTTACACACACAAACAGGTGATATCACAAGGTTCTGCCCAAATGCATTGCAGTGTTGTAAAATACTCGGAAACAAGTGTACTAAATTAATGAAAATGGTCACCAAGTATCCCCGCTTGGTTTTATTCATGATGAGCCTGCTGACTAACCTAACCTTCATCATACAACGCTAACGTTAGCTAACTAAAAACCTAGTTAGCTTCATTAGCCGCACATCGACAACAAAAACAAACTAGCTAATAATGTTAACTACAGTTTATGAGTTTGTATACAAGCTTACAGTGGAACGGTAATAGTAAAAGTGTGGAGTAATACACATAACCAATAGTTAAACTAGCAAAAACACGGGTGTTGAGGCTACTTCAGCTAGCTAATTACTGTGCCGTAGCTAACTACTTCCGCCTGATTTAGGCTAGCTCATGTTCATGTTTTGCACACTCTTAAGTTCCAAAACGCTGGCTATTTTTTGTTTTACTGATGCATGCACCTTTCCTTCCCAACGAAGGGAGTCTATGCTTACCGTCGTCATCCCGTCTTCGGTTTTCTGTCTTTTCGTTGCTCTGCCACCCTCGTTGTAGTAGCGACCTGCTGCGGCAGCCATGTTGTCCCAGACAAAACCCTCAAATGGAAAATCGTAAAGCCGAGTGAAAAACTACAACGTAACACAAAGGAGCTCGAGCACACGTACAGTATTGGGAGTGATCCTTCCATCTTTCACAACAGACCAATCGTGCAAGAGTGATAGGTTTTCCCTCCCCTAGTGTTTGTGATAATTGGACGGTAGAAACATTGTCTCTTTTAAATTAAAAATGTTTGATTCAATGTAGCTAGCAAATGTTATATCACATCATAGAATGAATAAATTAGTTATGTTTACCAATGTCTATGGAACGTTAGTGCTTGTTGTAGTATCCCCAGCTACCAGTACCAAATCGTTTTTCTCACTAAAACAATCACATATTTAGGATTACAAATCAATCGCTAAAGTCTACTGCTATAATGTACAGTTATTTGTCTGGGTTAAAGGGGATGGGCAAAGGTTCATTTTTAATAATAAAATAATACAAATAAAAAATATATAATGAACCCTTGCCCATCCCCTTTAACCCAGACAAATAACCGTTCCATAGACATTGGTAAACATAGATCAGCTTTAATATTGCTGATAGATTGTAACTTCCATCAATGTAATTGTCTGCATCACTTCCAATCCCCCATGTTTTTTTCTCTCGCAAATATATACATATCCACATACATACATACATATAAATACATATACACACACATACATATCCTTTAAAAATATATATTTCCCTTTATTACTTTCCAACCCCACCACCCCTTCCCTAATTGGAGTAAACTAGTGAACAACAACGCTTAGGCCTCTACTTCCAGCTTATACATACTATATACATTTTATGGACACAGTCAATTTTACAATAATTATATTTTGTTTGTTTTTACTCCTGAACTTCCTCTACCCTCAACCTCTCCGATCATTTTCATGTTGTCCATCCGGTTTGCTTCTATATGCCATATCTTTCTAACTGTGCTTTCACAAAAGCTCTCAACCTATAACCTATATACTTATTATGGACACAGTACGCTTTACATTAGTTATCTTGTTATTAGTTGTTATTATTCCCATCCTTCACCTCCCACCTATCTGTTAACACCATCCATATCGGATTTCTATTTGCCATATATTTTTCAACTGTACTTGGATGTTTCACAAAAGTTCTGAACCCTTCTATTCTCATTGTTTCTACAGATTGTAAATTGAAAATAAACATTTTTGCTAAAAGTATTATATTATTGATCGATTGACTATGACTTTTCAGATCACCCAGTAGTGCTATCTGCAGGGTTAGCTCCAGGTAAATATTGCAATCCTTCAGCCATTCCTGGACATGTGACCAAAATCAAGCTACAAATGGACAGTACCAAAACAAATTATCTAATGATTCTGTCTCTTCAAGCTGGGAAGATTGTATCCCCCATATAAATAACATTCTATTGGTTGCAAGAATTTTGTATAATAATTTAAATTGAAGTTTTGAATCCGGCATCATTTTGCGTATCAGTTCATAAGCACTATGCCATGGAATCGGTATGTCAAAAATCTCTTCCCAACTATTTTGCAATCTATATGGGACGTCTGTCAATAATATAATATATAATATGCCATTTAGCAGACGCTTTTATCCAAAGCGACTTACAGTCATGTGTGCATACATTTTTACGTATGGGTGGTCCCGGGGATCGAACCCACTACCCTGGAGTTACAAGCGCCATGCTCTACCAATTGAGCTACAGAGGACCACAATCCTGGTATACTTTATTACAGTTTTCTTTAACCAATTATGTTATTTAATGCAGGGCCGACAGACAAGTGCCTTACTTTTTCCCCCTTCCACTTTCCTCTTCCATTTTTGCGGTAATGCTGCAATTATTTGGTTGTAATTTTGGGTAGAGCAGACATTTCCATATGTTTTTGTTACCTGCATGTGCGACATAACTCCACCAGTCCTACCTATGATATCATTTACGAAGAGTATACCTTTTTTTTTTTTTTATTCAAAAAATGTTTTTTTAATCAATTAGTATATTTGAGTTTAACCACAATATTTGTTGCATTATTTGTCCTGTTGTTTCTAGAGGATTAAATTGAAATTGCAACCAACTTTCTATGGCTTGTTTTAGGAATAGTGATATTTGGGAGATTATTTCCTTTTCAAATAACTTAAAGTGAGAGGTTGTAATCTGAATAAAGGGTGTAGTATCTGAACATTTATATCTTTGGCTGAGGTTTTCATATTGTTGGTTAAATGAACTCTACTTTGCTTTGCTGAAACATCTGGAAAGTATTACTATAGGGGACCCCTAACACAGAGGACATTGGGATATGTGGAGGCCAGGGATTGGTCTATTCAAAACACGCCATCTTATGTTACATAGGATATATACCATGTTTGAACAAAGGGACGAGGAGAGTGATCATATTTGAGATTGGGTTTGTTGCTCTCCAGATTCTGCAGAAATCTGTAAATTGATGCTGAAATCTTTTGATATAATAAACCTTTATAATCAAAGTTCAGTGTCAGCGGATTCCTTGTCAACACAGCATTGCATCATTGTTCGGCCACCACAGAAATTGGCGACAAGGATTTTGGGACGTGTTGCGTCTGTTTCAGCGTTCCATCATGGGCTCCGAGCTGACTTTCGCTCCAGAGTACGGCAGATAAGGGTGAGCTTTCTCACAACTTTGGGCGCTGGTCAGTTCGTGTGACTGTGTGTGCGTTGGGGGGACGCACCGTGAAGAATCTGTGTGAGCCTTGCTGTTATTGCTGTGTGATAAGATTCCGTTCTAAATTTCTAAATTTGTTTGCGTTGGAAACAACGCAAACAGGGGGGAGTGTGTATATAATACAGGATCAAAGCAGAAAAAGGAATTGATAACACTGGGCCCAGGGAAATTTGGCTTGAATAAAATTAAAGGGAAAATGAATAAAAGAAAAGAATAGACAAGGAACTAAGGAAAAATTTATACTAATTAGGACGTCGCTGATCTACGGAAGCCCTCAAACGAGGCGATCATTAGATGGGCCACAAATCCTGTGAAGTCACTAGGTGAATTTTCGGGTCAGTTCCAAGGGACTGTGAGTTTGTAGAATATACATTCAATTGTATGTTACCTTACGAGGTATATAGTTGACGAGGTATATGTCCGAAGTAGCCTCTCATTGAATATCTGCAACTCAAGGTAGCACAAATTTAGGAAGGAAAATAAGGAATAGGAGCGACGGAAGCATGCTTTTGGAATTGTATGAATGGATGCATTCTGGTTGATTGAATAGTTTTCATGTGTGTGTGAGAGAAAGAGTGTGTGTGTGCGAAAATAAAGATGTTTTCAGCTGTGTGGATTGTATAGAGATATATGTTTTGGTTGAGAACAGGGGTTTTAGTTTTTTGTAAGGAAATCTGTTAATTACTGTTAAAACCTTATTAGTCTCCATTTGAGAGAACGTTTTCAAATTTGTTAAAATCTATGAGCCCCCGGGAGGACGTTATGATTGTATAGAGAGGATTTGTAATGGATAAGAAAATAACTATACATCTGCAGATTGGAGTAGAATGGGTGAAGAAAGAGGAGAGAGAAAATAGACTAAAGTTAAATTAAGTAACTTCGAAGTAGGATTTGTGTTCTATGTTTTGTGTTGGTTTGTGCGTTTTGTTCAGTGTTACTGTTTGTCTGTGTTGGAAAGAACGGAGGGACAGCTGGTCTGTCTGCTGTTTGACTTAGAGAAAAGTTACTTGCGGGAGCGCTCCTCTCACCCTGAAGTCGCACTAATAAATGAACTGCGCATGTGTGGAGTTCTAGGATTTTGTAGTTAACCAGAGCGAGTATGCCACTCCCCTGCCTGCACTGAGCTGCTGTGACACGCAGATTTATAGCTGAAAAAAGAAAGGGGGAGACTTTGAGTACACACAAATAAAGTATTCTGTTTGTTAAGTGGCTGTTCCATAACTATGAACCTATTTGATTGAGATCCATTGAATTTATAAATGAGAGCTATGTTGACGGATTAAAAATAAATAAAAATAAAAATGTTATTGCGCTATTTATAATATTCCTGAGTTAAGCTGTTTGCTTATTTCTTAGCGCGATATGTGAACATAGGTATGTCTAAAAGGGTATTGTATGGTTGAAATAACCCAGTAAGTACATCAAATACTAAATTCTTGTCTGTTTCTTTTGTTCTCCTGTGGTGTGAGAGACGAGAGGGAGGAGACAGAGAGAGAGGAGGTGCTGACCAGTGCGTTACGCGACAGCATGGGCTGTCCCGGATCCAGTCCAATTAAGGCCAGTACTGTTCTATCCACAAACTTACTTTCCCTTACAGGATATTATAGATGAAGGGCATTTATCTGTTTGTGTATGCCTAAAATATTTCATGTTGTGACCATTTAACAGGGACTTGGCAACAGACTGATCAATTGATGTAATTGAGAATTGCACATTGAAGTTTTTTTGTGCATGGGTTGTTTTGATTAGAGTTGTGTTGGAAATCCAGCACTGAGATTATTCTGTAAAATTAAGGTGATTGGGTGTTTATTAAGCAATTGGTTTGTGGGTGCTGTAGTGTTGCTGGATTATAGGTCTTTCTTTTTTGATTGCTCTGAAGTTGACTAGTTTCCTTTACTTTTCTTTATCGGATGTGGTAAGATTGCCACTAATCAATAATTTGGTACAGAAAAAAAATTAAATAGGAGGGAAAGATAAGCAACATAGCTTAAAGTATTTTTTGGTTTACAAATTAATTAGTTTAAAATAATAATTAAAAATAATAATAATAATTCACAATAAAGGAATATAAAAAAGTTGTTACAATGGGGAAAAAGCACATAAAAACTATGAAAGTAATTACTCCTGTTGATGTAGTACAAAATAGTAATCCTTTAGTTAATGGTATTGCAAGGTTATCTGAAAAATGGAATAAATGTTGGCCTGACATTGAACAACCATGGCCAGTGGAAGGGACTCTTAACCCAGACGTAATGCAAGTGCTTGTGTCCAAAGAAGGGGAAAAAAGGGGAACAACATAAAGAAAAGAGACAAAGAGAGCTGGGTGTTCTTAAGTTGTTTGAAAATGAGGGACAAAAACTGATAAAAGATACAAAAGATAAAAGAGACAGAGGTATAGAGAAAATGGCAAAAGAGGCGAAGGTAACAGAAAAAACTAATGGCAGAAGTCAATACACCTTTCTCACATAAGGATTCAACAAAAAGACCCCCACCTTACGAGGAAGAAGTAGAGTTTAAGGACGTCTATCCTCAGCTTCCAGTGATCATTCAGGAGGGTGATTATTGCATCAGAGATGAAGATGAACGAATAATAGAGAGAGGACAAGCAGAAATGACCATAAAGATGAATCCAAACTCCAAAAGTAAGAAGAAAACGACATGTCTGGAAACTAAGGGTAGAGTGAGGTTCAGGAGGATGGAATTTGAAGATGATGATGATCAGAGTGATTCAGAAGAGATCATGGGTGGATATGACCCTGTGATCAGACAGAGGTTGGCTAGAGCGGAAAGAAGGGGTGATGGAAGTTGGAAGAAGAAGGATACAGGAGATTCGATCTCTGATGAAAGTGAAGATGGAGACAGCGATGAAGATTTGGAGATTAAAGGTGCTTCATGTTCAAGAGGATTTTATTCTACAATGACTAGTACAGAAGAAATAGAAAGAGATATGGATCGATGCATATCATGCTTGGATAAGGCGAATAATTTAGAAGAAGTAAGAGAATTGGAAGAACAACTCAAGAAGCTGAAGATACAGAAGGAAAAACTGCTGAAAAAAGGATCCCAAAAATTGGAGAGGAAGTATACATTGCGGACAAGAAAAGGGAGCACAAGTAAGAAGATGATGCCAGTGATAATTCGAGGACAGAACCTGGAGTATAAGCCTTTGCAGAATACCGATATGTCAGATACAGTGGGGAGAACAAGTATTTGATACACTGCTGATTTTCCTACTTACAAAGCATGTAGAGGTCTGTAATTTTTATCATAGGTACACTTCAACTGTGAGAGACGGAATCTAAAACAAAAATCCAGAAAATCACATTGTATGATTTTTAAGTAATTCATTTGCATTTTATTGCATGACATAATTATTTGATACATCAGAAAAGCAGAACTTAATATTTGGTACAGAAACATTTGTTTGCAATTACAGAGATCATACGTTTCCTGTAGGTCTTGACCAGGTTTGCACACACTGCAGCAGGGATTTTGGCCCACTCCTCCATACAGACCTTCTCCAGATCCTTCAGGTTTCGGGGCTGTCGCTGGGCAATACGGACGTTCAGCTCCCTCCAAAGATTTTCTATTGGGTTCAGGTCTGGAGACTGGCTAGGCCACTCCAGGACCCTGAGATGCTTCTTACGGAGCCACTCCTTACTTGCCCTGGCTGTGTGTTTCGGGTCGTTGTCATGCTGGAAGACCCAGCCACGACCCATCTTCAATGCTCTTACTGAGGGAAGGAGGTTGTTGGCCAAGATCTCGCGATACATGGCCCCATCCATCCTCCCCTCAATACGGTGCAGTCGTCCTGTCCCCTTTGCAGAAAAGCATCCCCAAAGAATGATGTTTCCACCTCCATGCTTCACAGTTGGGATGGTGTTCTTGGGGTTGTACTCATCCTTCTTCTTCCTCAAAACACGGCGAGTGGAGTTTAGACCAAAAAGCTCAATTTTTGTCTCATCAGACCACATGCCCTTCTCCCATTCCTCCTCTGGATCATCCAGATGGTCATTGGCAAACTTCAGACGGGCCTGGACATGCGCTGGCTTGAGCAAGGGGACCTTGCGTGCGCTGCAGGATTTTAATCCATGACGGCGTAGTGTGTTACTAATGGTTTTCTTTGAGACTGTGGTCCCAGCTCTCTTCAGGTCATTTACCAGGTCCTGCCGTGTAGTTCTGGGCTGATCCCTCACCTTCCTCATGATCATTGATGGATGCCCCACGAGGTGAGATCTTGCATGGAGCCCCAGACCGAGGATGATTGACCGTCATCTTGAACTTCTTCCATTTTCTAATAATTGCGCCAACAGTTGTTGCCTTCTCACCAAGCTGCTTGCCTATTGTCCTGTAGCCCATCCCAGCCTTGTGCCGGTCTACAATTTTATCCCTGATGTCCTTACACAGCTCTCTGGTCTTGGCCATTGTGGAGAGGTTGGAGTCTGTTTGATTGAGTGTGTGGACAGGTGTCTTTTATACAGGTAATGAGTTCAAACAGGTGCAGTTAATACAGGTAATGAGTGGTGAACAGGAGGGCTTCTTAAAGACAAACTAAACAGGTCTGTGAGAGCCGGAATTCTTACTGGTTGGTAGGTGATCAAATACTTATGTCATGCAATAAAATGCAAATTAATTACTTAATCATACAATGTGATTTTCTGGATTTTTGTTTTAGATTCCATCTCTCACAGTTGAAGTGTACCTATGATAAAAAGTACAGACCTCTACATGCTTTGTAAGTAGGAAAACCTGCAAAATCGGCAGTGTATCAAATACTTGTTCTCCCCACTGTATACTTGAGAAGCTGCCTACTCTTCAAGATGGAGCATATCCTTGGATTTCAAAGTTGGAAGTAATTACAGTGGGAACACAGTCTGCCATAGGAGACATTAAGAGACTTTTGGCTAATCTCCTTGGGATTCCAGGTATGGAAGACATTTTTCAGAGAGCTGGACTTAATCGATATATGGGGACTGCGGTGAATGACCTGATTTGTTAGCTGCAAGTAGAAATAGGCTGTGGAGAGCACTGAAAGATAAGTTTCCAACAAATGTGCATCCTGACAAAATTCTGATTGACCCACTAGGACAACAAGAAAATCAGAGAGCCTATGTGTCAAGAGCTCATCAAGTGTGGAGAAATATTACCGGAAATGATCCAGATGCGAGTCAAATAGAGCAGTCAATTTTGCGAGCTAAACTGCAGATGGGGCTGCCCTCACCAGTAAGGAGCAAACTGGCAGAGGTGGTTGGACTTGGATCCACCCCCATGCTTCATAGTAGGTATGGTGTTCTTTGGATGCAACTCAGCATTCTTTGTCCTCCAAACACGACGAGTTGAGTTTTTACCAAAAAGTTCTATTTTGGTTTCATCTGACCATATGACATTCTCCCAATCCTCTTCTGGATCATCCAAATGCACTCTAGCAAACTTCAGACGGGCCTGGACATGTACTGGCTTAAGCAGGGGGACACGTCTGGCACTGCAGGATTTGAGTCCCTGGTGGCGTAGTGTGTTACTTAGTGTGTAGATTTTTGCTCACCGTTCTTGTGATCATTTTGACCCCACTGGGTGAGATCTTGCGTGGAGCCCCAGATCGAGGGAGATTATCAGTGGTCTTGTATGTCTTCCATTTCCTAATAATTGCTCCCACAGTTGATTTCTTCAAACCAAGCTGCTTACCTATTGCAGATTCAGTCTTCCCAGCCTGGTGCAGGTCTACAATTTTGTTTCTGGTGTCCTTTGACAGCTCTTTGGTCTTGGCCATAGTGGAGTTTGGAGTGTGACTGTTTGAGGTTGTGGACAGGTGTCTTTTATACTAATAACAAGTTCAAACAGGTGCCATTAATACAGGTAACAAGTGGAGGACAGAGGAGCCTCTTAAAGAAGAAGTTACAGGTCTGTGAGAGCAAGAAATCTTGCTTGTTTGTAGGTGACCAAATACTTATTTTCCACCATAATTTGCAAATAAATTCATTAAAAATCCTACAATGTGATTTTCTGGATTGTACCTACTGGACGTGTACCTATGATGAAAATTACAGGCCTCTCATCTTTTTAAGTGGGAGAACCTGCACAATTGGTGGCTGACTAAATACTCCCCCCCCCCCCCCACTGTAACTATAGAGAACATACAAAAATAATATGGTAATACAAAATGTAAGTTTCCACACTCCCAGGAATGTCATACATGATGGATCATTAGCTTATACACTACCTTTCACACATCTAGATGGGTGTGGAGCCAGAGACAGCAGTGGTGCAAACTGTAGAACCCAGTTCCTACATTTGAGTATAAAAATGGATTCATCAAACAAAACTATGCTACATTTTATCTCTGGGAACCCCTAGTATGACAAATCAGAGCAAGATTACTGAATGCAAGTACATTAATTTACCTTCAGATATGAATGCATCAAACCAGTTTCCGTGATAAGTTGTTGTTCTGCACTCTCCTCAAACACCAGCATGGTATTTTGTCACTAATAGCTACTGTAAATTGGACAGTGCAGGTAGATTAAGAATAATTTAAGCTTTCTGCCCATATAAGACATGTCTATATCCTGGAAAGTTTGCTGTTACTTACAACAGTCATGCTAATCACATTAGCTCAACCGTCCCGTATACTGGGAAACCGATCCTGCAGAGGTTAAAACCTCTATACATCAGCTAAGTCACAAAATGATATGCAGTAATTTGGTCAGAGTACATTTTGTATCCTTGATATAACATCAAGTCCAGTCTGTCTTGAGATCATGGGAGTTCATTCAGAATTAGGTGTGCCATGTCTCTGCAGACTAATTATACAAATATTTGATTTACAAATATACATTTAAAAACAAGATGCTACAAAAATACTATACATTGAAATCAAGCCTAAACAACGTAAATCTCAATTCAACAATTAACCTTCAATTTGAACATGCTCTTTTCAAACAGTCTGCATGGTTTGTCTGAATATTGAATCAAACTACTAAATACACTGACATCAGCCATTTAAATGTGATTCATAAATGATTCTGATCCCAATCCGACAACTTCATTGAAAAGTTACATCCTAGTTTTAAAATACATCTGCGTCACTGGTGAGCAGTTAAAACCACTTGAGACACAAATTAGATCACTAAAGTTAGTGTAAAGATTACATTTTATTAAAAAGATACCGCCATTTACATTGAAATAAAACCCCAAATCATTCAGAAAAAAACAAAAAAATGGCCACTGACAAACTGGATTAAAACGCACAGAATGCAAAAAAAAATTATCCTCAATGCTGTAAAAAGAGCCATTGAAATGTACATGATGGGAAAATGACAGTTTGGGAATCCGTTGTACATACAGATTAAATAATAATGCCAAAGCCAGAGGATGAAAACCAAGGGATACATTTTTGAAAAATGACAGGAGGAGAAAGATATCAAATACATTGACAAAGGTGTAAAATGGCTTCAAGCCCCGAGGCAAATAGGGACAGCGGAACAGAAGAGGGCTGGGAGCGGTCTCACCCCCATGGTCAGTCGGCATCAGGTGTAGGGCTTTTCCTCTGGCTCGGAGACCTGGATCGGCTGAAATAAGGCAGGAAGACAGTTAGCATTTTCAGCAGAGCATGACCTTTGAAACAAAGGAAGAACATTAGCATAGCTATTCCTTCAGCACAGTGCACCAGGCAGTGTGGAGAGCTCTCAAACCACTACTCCTAATTGAAATGATCATCATGTTTCGATACTGGGGACAAAAAAGGTAGAAACCGAAAATTGCACAAGCATCTGGAAATCCCCATTACTACACAATAGCAAGTAATCTGGGATAAACTGGAAAAAGAGGACCACATCTGTGGTGCAGAAGATGGAAAAGCAGTGTAGACTGAAGTTTAATACCTGTCCCTCTTGGCGGTGGCGGAGCGGGACTTGGACCGGGAGCGAGATCTGGAGACGCTGCGCGCCCTGGGGCGGGACACCGACCGGGAACGGGAGCGAGATCGGGAGCGACTGAAGAGGAAACAGTATGGTTGTCAGTAGGCAAGGAGGGGCCTCTAAATCCTCAATGCAATACTGGTTATTTTTTGTACTGGCAACAGTTTTTATTCCATTTCAAGCACTAGCTAGGTTTCCATCAATTTTTAAAGCAAATATTATAATATTAGCATTTTACCGATAGCGTTGTTTACATCAAACTGGCTTCTTGTGAATAAAAGGCTGTGCGTAATGACGTAGTGAACAAAAAAAGCACTTTAATATAACTTTCATTTACTGAATAAAAAACAAAGGCAATGAGTTTCCATCCCCTTTTTTACTTTACATTTTAGTCATTTAGCAGACGCTCTTATCCAGAGCGACTTTCAGTTAGTGAGTGCATACATATATTTTTTCATACTTTGTTCAATGTTCTGCCACAAAAAGTATTTGATAAACAGCAAATGTGCACACTGGTCTTGGCATGCGCTCTAGCCAACAACTGGCAGATATGTGTAGAGGGTAGGCTAAGAATGGATAAGATCATTTGTATTTGTCAATTGGCAGCCAAACACAGATAAACATCCATCTATTGGGAAAGGAGCATCAAGCTCATCACAGTGCACTTTCACCACCCTGTGAAGTTAATCACAATTTATTGAGTCTGTAGCCTAATATACTGTGCATGCTTTTAAGTCGAAGTGAGAGGACCACACTGCAAATTTACCGCAACAGTGTTATTCTATTGTAGTGTATTAAGATTATGTCTTTGTAAATGTTTCATGAGAGCAATGGCAATGTTGGTTATGTTAGTATCAAAAGGCAATGTTAGTTTTCTAGTATAATGTCACATATAATACAGGGAAGGTGTTGTACAACTGGTGTGATTGGCCAGAAGAGGGAGCCCATCTTGTGAATGTTTAATAAATAGGGGTACACGAAGAAGATAGGGACAGAGCAGCCTTTTAGAATTGGAGGACATGCTCTCCAGACTCGCGAGTCTGCACCCATGCTGAGTTGTGATCTGAATAAACCTTATGATTCAACGTTCAGTATGCGGCAGATCCTTTCTGTCATCAGCAATAATTGCCATGCCACTCACTCGAACGACACTATCAACATGGCAAAGACATGGCCTAAGCGAACAGAGGGCGCCTCGAGCTCCGATAAAACATTGCAGGTTTCTATTTTGTGTTTTTCTCTAATTTTCTTAATCAGTTTGTTTCGTGCATTACTACAAACACACACACGGGTAGAACTATTGGAATACGAATCACTGGATACTCACCGTCCACCCGACCTCCCAGAAATCCCTGACTCAACAGAACAATGGATTAGCTTCTTCGGCGAGGAGCTTGGGAGTCCTACCCGAGAGTAGGAAGTGAAGATGCCAAAGGAGAAGCAGACGTGGCGGGGTCTTAGTGAGATTAAGACGACGGGCGACCCATCCTCTATTACCAATTATACTACTCGCCAATGTTCAATCATTAATGACCAAACTTTAAGAACTCAGAACAAGGACCTCCTTCCAAAGGGACATCAGATCCTGCAACACACTTTTTTTCTGAGACTTTGCTTTCCTCCGACATCCAGACGGATTATATACAATCAGCGGGTTTTACAGTTTTTCGAGCTGATAGGAAGCGGACTCTCTGGCAAGAGCAAGGGTGGTGGGCTCTGCTTTATGACAAACACATGGTGCGACAGGGGAAACTTACATGGAATACTTGGTCATAAAATGTAGTCATTTTTACCTTCCGAGAGAGTTCAGCGGGATTAACCGCCATGGCTGTGTACATCCCGCCCCAAGCAGACACCAAAAAGGCTCTCAAAAGGTCTTCATTGGACCCTGAACAAACTGGAGACTGCATTCCCGGAGGCAGCGTTCATTGTGGCGGGGGACTTTAACAAAAGTTATTTGAGAACCGTGCTCCCAAATTATTACCAACACAGACTGTCTAACTCGCGGAAATTCTACTCATGACCATTGCTACACACCTTTTCAACACGGGTATAAGGCCCTCTCCCGTCCTCCTTTCGGAAAATCCAACCATGACTCCATCATGCGTCTCCCCGCCTACAAACAAAGACTCAAGTTCCGGTGATCAGGTCGGTACAGCGTTGTTCTGACCAATCAGAATTCACGATCCAAGACTTTTGATCACGTGGACTGGAATATGTTCCGGGTTGCCTCTGGAGATAATATCAATGAATACGCCGACTCAGTCACCGGATTCATAAAAAAAATGCATAGATTATGTTATACCGATAGGATCTTTCACAATGTACCCAAATCAAAAACTGTGGATTGATAGCAGCCTTGCAGGGAAACTGAAAGAGAGATGCTGCTTATAAACTGGGCAAGGTGACCGGGGACAATACTTTGACTTACGCAGATCAATCAAAACAAGTATAGAGAAAGTGGAGGAGCAATTCAGCGGGTTGGACAAGGCGTATGTGGCAGGGGCTCCTAACAATCACGGATTACAAAAAGAAAGCCAGCTACATCACGGTCACCAATGCCACCCTACCAGACACGCTAAACATATTTTTCTCAAGATTCGAGCACAATATCCCTGAGCTGCCGAGGAGAGCCCCCGGTGACAATGTGGGCTACACACTCAGTCTCTACTGGGGACATATGTAAGTCATTCAAACGTGTTGCAAGGCTGCTGGCCCAGATGGCATCTATAGCCGTGCCCTCAGAGCATGTGTAGACCAGCTGGCTGTTGTGTTCTCTGACATTTTCAATCTCTCCCTAGCGTAGGCCTCTATACCCACCTGCTTAAAGATGTCCACTATCATCACTGTGCCCAAGAAAAGGAAAGTAAACCAACTGAATGACTACCGACCAGTAGCACTCACGTCCGTCATCAGTGCTTTGAGAGGCTAGTCAAAGACCACATCACTTCCTCCCTCCCAGACACTTGAGCCTTTCCAAGTCGCCTACCGCCCTGACAGATCCACGGACGACGCAATGGCCATTGCCCAGCACACGGCCCTTACCCAGCTGGACAAAGGGAATGCATATGTTAGAATGCTGTTCATCGACTTAGTGCCTTATAAGCTCATTACAAAGCTCAGAACCCTGGGTCTGAACTCCTCCCTATGCAACTGGATCCTGGACTTCCTGACGGGCCGCCCCCAAGTGGTTAAGGTAGACAACATGACCTCCAACACTGATCCACAACACGGGGGCCCCACAAGGGTGTGTCCTCTGTCCCCTCCTGTATTCTCTGTATACCCACGACTGCGTTGCCTCACAGTTCCAACTTCGTCATCAACTTCGCTGACAACACGACAGTAGTAGGCCTGATCAACAAAAACGAGACAGCCTACAGGGAGGAGGTAGGCACTCTGATGGCGTGGTGCCAGGTAAACAATCTCTCCCCCAGTGTTAGCAAAACAAAGGATCAGATTGTGGACTTCAACAGGAATCAGGCTGGACATGCCCCAATCTTCATCGACGGTCAATAACTTCAAATTCCTTGGCGTACACATCTCAGAGAAGCTGAAATGGTCTAACCACATGGACACTGCAGTGAAGATGAAAAATGTATGCACTCACTAACTGTAAGTCGCTCTGGATAAGAGCGTCTGCTAAATGACTAAAAATGTTTTTTTTTTTAAAGACGGCACAACAGCGACTCTTCAACTTCAGGATGCTGAAGAAATTCAGCCTGTCCTTGAGGGCCCTCAGTTTTCTACAGGAGCACCATCAAGAGCATACTGTCGGGCTGCATCACAGCCTGGTACGGCAACTCCACCGTCGCGGACCGCAAGGCTCTTCAGAGGGTGATATGTGCAGCCGAACGCTCCATTGGGTGCCCTTCAGGACACCTACAACACCAGGTGTTACAGGAAGGCCAAGAAGATCATCAGGGACCCCAGCCACGTCCTGTTCTCCCCGCTTCAATTACTCATGCAGGCTGTACAGGAGCATCATGGCAAAAACTGAAAGACTGGCCAATAGTTTCTACCCTCAGACCATCAGGCTGCTGAATAGCCACCACTAGTCAGCTACCCGTTCCCCCCTCCCCCCTGCTACTCCCCTTATTACCATTTTCATTATTTTATTTCACTAGTCCTGCATGTTGGAGCTCGAAGCCTAAGATTTTCACTATACCCTGCAAATGTGACTATTAGACAATCTGAAACAATTGCACACGCCTCAATTCGTCGCATAATCTAATCACCAACAAAATATTATCCACCCTCGTCTAGCATATTTTGTTTTGTCGACATTTAACTATTTTACAATTTCCATCAGGGCGGTCTTGAGTTTATCCAACAGGTATTGGCATACATTGGTTATTGGTATACATTCAACATATAGAAAATAACATCTCAGGTCTTCTAGTCAGATTATGTCAAAATCCTGTATTATTCTCCCAAGGAATAGATTTTACGAGGAAGGTGCCTCTGCCATGACAGTACAGTCTCGGGTGCAATATAGGTTGATTTTAAGATTGATGAAAACCACCTTAGAGCGGTGCAGTGGCGACACTACACCATGTTTAATTTCTAGGGCCACAGTGTCCGGTCAATAAAATGAAAGTAGCACTTACAATCATCATTTTTTTTTTTATCAGTCATTACTTTCAGTTGCATCATCTATCTCAGTAAGAGCTGGATGATGGGCTACCATGTTGAAAGACCACTTCATTACTGACTTTATCGTGTATAGGAGCCGTACCTGGCTGCTCTGCGCACTGGAGTCCTGGACCGACGAACTGGGGTCCTGGATCTGCGCACAGGACTTCTGGATGACCTGCGCACTGGACTTCTGGACTTGGATCGTGCTGGGGATCCAGATCTACTGTGCAAAGACAATACCCTCGGCGTCACCATGTCATCTATTCAAAGCTGCTCTAGCCACTATAAGCAAACTAAGGGTTGGGATGACTAAACAGTGCCTTCAGAAAGTATTCACACCCGTTGACTTTATCCAAATGTTGTGGTGTTACAGCCTGAATTTAATATGGATTAAATTGTGATTGTATCTCTGGCCTACACGCACAATACCCCATGTCAAAGTGGAATTATGTATTTATTATTAATAAAAAATATGAAATGTATTGAGTCAATAAGTATTCCACCCCTTTGTTATGGCAAGCCTAAAGTTCTGGAGGGAAATGTGGTTAACAAGTCACATAATATATTGCATGGACTCTGTGTGCAATTATAATGTTTACCATTATTTTTGAATGACTACCTCATCTCTGTACCCCACACATACAATTATCTGTAAGGTCCCTCAGTCGAGCAGTGAATTTCAAACACAGATTCAACCACAAAGACCAGGAAGTTTTTCCAATGCCTCGCAAAGAAGGGCACCTATTGGTAGATGGGGGAGAGAAAAAAAAGCTGCCATTGAACATTCCTTTGAGCATGGAGAAGTCATTACACTTTGGATGGTGCATCAATACACCCAGCCAGTACAAAGATACAGGCGACCTTCCTAACCCAATTGCCGGAGAGGAAGGAAAACGCTCAGGGATTTCACCATGAGGCCAATAGTGACTAAAACAGTTGACAGTTTAATGGCTGTGATAGGCGAAAACTGAGGATGGATCAACATTGTAGTTACGCCACAATACTAACCGAATTGACCGTGAAAAGGAAGCCTACATAGAATAAAAATATTCCAAAACATGCAACCTGTTAGCAATAAGGCACTAAAGTAAAACTGCAAAAGATGTGGCAGAGAAATTAACTTTATGTCCTGAATACAAAGCGTTATGTTTGGGACAAATCCAACATCACAGAGTACCACTTCATATTTTCAAACATGGTGGTGGCTGCACCACTTTACGGGTATGATTTTCATCGGCAAGGACTAGGGAGTTTTTGGGGGGGATAAAAATTAATGGAATAGAGCTAAGCACAGGCAAAAAAAAAAAAAACCTGGTTCAGTCTGCTTTCCAACAGACACTGGGAGACAAATTCACCTTTCAGCAGGACAATAACCTAAAACAGTTGCTTACCAAGATGAAATGCAATGTTCCTGAGTGGCCTAGTTACAGTTTTGACTTAAATCAGCTTGGAAATCTAAGGCAAGACTTGAAAATGGCTGTCTAGCAATGATGAACAACCCACTTGACAGTTTGAACCATTTTTAAAATAAGCTCTTAGAGACTTACCCAGAAAGACTTACAGCTGTAATCACTGCCAAAGGTGATTCTAACATTTGACTCAAGGGGTTGAACACTTATGTAATGAAGATTAGTATTTATTTTTTTACAACGTGATAAAACTTTGCTCCTTGTTAAAAAAAGCGAACGAGTCTTCGGTTTCCCAGGCAACACCCCACACAGAAATATAATTAATAAAACAGGCTTGGAACCTCTAACCCTGGCAATTTGGCTGTTAAACTCATGGGTACAGTGGCAGAATTCTTCTTCCACTTTGACAAGAGTATTTTGTGTAGATCGTTCACAAAAAAAAGACAATTAAATCCATTTTAATCCCACCTTGTAACAACAATGTGGAAAAATTCAAGGGGTGTGAACACTTCCTGAAGGCACTGTAGTTGGGACAGTAGCTACAAACTAAGTCAGAAAAAATACAATAAAGAGATAAAAATATGTTCACCGATTTCTGCAGTAGATTAAGTCTTACCTGCTTCTGCGCTTTGAGTATGATGGGGATCTATAACGCCTGTTGGAGGGAGATAAGGGAACTCATAAAGCTATTAATAGCAATTAAGAGAACACTGATCTGAATCAGTCAGGTCGGTCTCTTCGAATTTCAGACAGGTTCAAATTCGGCTAGAACAATAAAATGATCAAATAAAAATAAAGACACTCCAAGTTCTTCAAAAGATAGTTTGACCCTTCGAGTCAACTTGCAGGGGTCCTTTTGTGACACAGAACCACTCACCGGTCGCGGCCGTTGCTTCGGCTGCGTGAGCGGTAACGCCTTCCCCTGGACCTTGACCGTGAGCGGGACCTGGGAGTGGATCATTTATCAAATGTGTGCAGTATAAAGGTATAGCATTTAAAGTCAACAAATATGTATGATGCCTCCACAAAAATTACATTCTCTAGGAGCCACCATGTCGTTGAATATCATTCAACGAAAGTGACATTCCAATAACAGTGAAAGAGACATTCTGGAGAAGACAGCCTCAACACTGTACCTGCTGCGGCGGCCGCCCCCCCTCTTGCTAAAGCGATAGCAATCATATGCATAATGGCCGTTCTCGCCACATTGGTAGCAGCGGTCGTTGGGGTCGAAGTGCCGGCGGCTGGGGCGGTCGTGGCGTGACTTGCGAGACATGCCTGTTGACAGCTCCACTCTTATGCGGGCACCACAGAGCACTCTGAAACATGACAATGGTTTAAGAATAGATGGCATATTGGGATATATAGCCTTCTGTCAGTTCTTGTAAAGGTGTAACGCATGCAATTGAGGAAAAATCTGAAAAATATTTTACATTGAAGTCCAAGTGTCAAAGATTGAGCCCTATGAATCCACTCAGAATACCGTGCTGCTGCAGTAAGCAATGCAACCGCACGTGTACTCACTTGCCATCCATGCCCTTCGTTGCATCCTCAGCATCTCTGGGATCTTCGTACTCAACAAAGGCAAAGCCAGGTGGGTTCCTGGCCACCCAGACGCTGCGCAGAGGTCCATAGTAGCTGAATGCCCGCTCCAACTCCCCCTTGGCAGCACCGTTGCCTAGGTCACCCACATACACCTTGCAGTCAGTGTTACGCGAGGAGCTTCGTGACGACGAGTAGGACATCTTAAAATCTGAAACCAGATAAAGGAGTGGCAAACATTGAGACCTTGTGAAACACCATACAGACCTTCAGAACTAGCATGGCCTTTTGCAGTGGGTAGGAAATAACCACCAATTTATCCAAAAGCTCATTATCTTATGGGAACACCCTGTCAACAATCAAATAGTTTCAGCACAAGCTACAAATAAGAGGCGGAATCAAGGTGAGTTAGCTAGCCACAACATTAGCTAACATTAAAAGGGCGACTGCACTTTAGGCTTCTTTTATTAAATAAAACATGTAAATTCACGTGTGGCTGCAGGCAGCCTGATGTCCGTCGCTTTAGATTTGGTTAATTAAGAAATGCTGTGTGTTGGTTTTGGGGTGTGGTTTGATGAGTTTCCTGTGTATTCGCACGTGGCAAAGTTGGTTTGACTTTGAATCGCAAGGGCTAGTTAGGGACCGGCAAAAAAAAACAGTGTAAATGATAATATTTTCATGTTGCACACCTTTTAGTTCTCGTTAAATGCTTTTAATATTTGTATACACATTTCTACAATCTATGTTTTAGGTTAAGTCATTGAAATTTTGAGCTATTGGAATGTTATATAGTCCCATGTACACTAATTTACCGATGGCCCCTAACTAGCCCCAAAAGGATATGCAAAGTCAACCCAAATTTACCACAGGAATTACGATCGGGGTCGCGTGCAACTGCACTCCAAATTGATGACTATCTGTGTGGTGCCAGCTGTGGGCAGGATTGAAACAAACGCAACCAGGGTTGCTATGTCCGCGGTTTTCACGCCACATTGGGCTACTTTGAAAACTATGCTGCAGGTGAAAATGTATTGGTCGCAAGTTTGAGCTATTTCTAAATTGCACTGCGACCATCATGGCATGTCTAATTATTATTATTTATTTGATCTATTATTTTCACTGTGACCTGCTGCTGTTGACTATCAGAAGTGAGGCAGGCTGTTGCTGAGTGAGTGATGGGGAGGGCTGTGAGTGTTGAGCACAGTCATTGGTGTTGAGAGAGCGCTGCAGCAGTCAAGTGCGTGAGAAGAGCAGCACGAGTTGTATCCTGACCACCCCCAGTCCTACCAATCATTACTAGAGCCAACACAGCAAGGGAGATAAACAGAAATATCATTCAACAGTTCCAGAGAGAGGATCGAATTATGTGCTCTCTCTCTGGGTATACTATATAGTCGGGGACAGTTCAAACAGACTCAAGGACGATAGAGCCTAAATTCATACAACTAGGCCTACTGTCCATAAAAAATAATAATATTTAAAAGCAATGAGGCTGATACAACAGATCAGAACATTTAGCTTAAAATGTTGATAAACTATTATTTTTTCACATTGCAAGCGCAGCAATGTGCACACAGGTGTAGGCTATGCACAAATGTTCCTAAATGCAATTAGTGGGAACACACCGTTCTAAAAAAGGCACCGCAAACACGAGCAGTTTCAATGTGATTGAGATGAAAATATCTGCTAGAACTTTAGAAAGAGGGGAGATCTACAGATGCAACAAGGGTTGCTAATATGACTAGGATTGTGAATGCCGACTGCCTTCACTCAGATTGCAAAGTCGGTGATGTGTGCCGGTGCGCAACAGGCACCGGACTTTCTCTCCGCTTGTGACCATTTGATCTGAAGAACCTGTGCCTCGAGTATGTCAACAGAATCAATACTTTAGACGTTAATGATCCTACATTATAATTGTAAAACATGACTGCCGTTTAGCGTATATGTATGTAATTAAAAGTCTAAAGTTTGGTTAAATTTTCTGGCGCATAAAACCTAGGCTACACTTTTACATGTAGGCTAATTAATTATGTACATTTATGCAAAAAAGATTGAAATACTATTCCAATGTTGGCCTTTTTAGCGGCAATCTTTTAAATGTTAATTTCTGACTCAGTTGACAGCCCCATTTATCAATTTCAGTAGTAGGCAACTCGTATTATTATTTTGGGACGATTTAAATTGCACTTTGGGACAGTGATTAAAAAAGTTCGCCTCGAGCCCTGTATGTAGCACCCTAGCTAGCCAACATTGGCTAGAAAGTTGAAGCCAGGAGAGAGAGAGGAACAGATTAACTTCATTACTGGCTATCAAATTATAGTAGTAGTGACTGATTAATAGTAATATAAAACTTGATGTAGTGGACTCATGAAATCTTTCCATCTAGCTCCAGAGGGATGGATGACTGGGACGTCAAGCTACATGTACATATTACCTCAATTACCTCGACTAACCTGTGCCCCTGCACATTGACTCTGTACTGGTACCCACTGTATATAGCCTCGTTACTGTTATTTTATTGTTGCTCTTTAATTATTTGCAATTTTTCTATTTTTGTTCATATATAAATAAATATTTTAGTATATACGTTCTTAACACTTATTTTTCTTAAAACTGCATTGTTGGTTATGGGCTTTAAGTAAGCATTTCACTGTACGGTCTACACCTGTTGTATTCGGCGCATGTGACTTGATTTGATCAAGCTGCCTGAAGCCACACATTAATTTAAAATGTTTTATTTAATAAAAGCCAAAAAGCAAACTGTTGGGGCTTTTCGATTTTTATACTCCATTTTTCAAATCGATTTTAAAGCTATGTGACTTAACACCATTTCACAATGTTTTCTGGAAAAAATATACGTCTTAACCATTCACTTCTATAGTTCAGATGAAATAATTTATGTGATGAACCAATAACAAAGGGATAAATGCTGAGAACAAGGTAAAACAATATTACCAGTTGTATTTGGATTGTCATTATCGAGACACTTGGATAAATGTCGCAACTCTAGCGGTGAAAAATGTTGGCCTAGTTTTCAGGCCCTGTGGTCGGATTTTTGAGTAACTAACTAGCCAGTCATGTAATTTTTGTAAACTACCGTTAGCTAACAACTGTAACTAATGTATTACAAGTAGCAGTAGTTAAATATATAGTTGTTGCCGGTAAATGTGTAATTAAGCCGAGACCAACTAGCTAACTAGTTAGCAACAGTGTGAGAAGTACAAAAAAAAAGTGCGCGTATTGCGCTTGCTAGAAAGGCTAGGCCGCACATTGGTTTCATACGGCTTTGTTCACCAAATAAGGCTATACAAGTAGGAGAAATATCACGATGTCAACACAGACTGCGTTAAACTTACCCCAAGTATGTTTGATTCTTGCCTAAATTTCATCTCACACAATTCACCGAAAACGCAACTTGGACCACAATATACAACGGCTGCCATACTCACTTGATGCAGATAGCTATGCTAACGCTAGCCGCCTCAATTCAGCGAGTGAATGAACACCGTTTCCCGGTTGGCCTCAGTCAGACGTCAGCTGCAAACACGAGTAAGAAAGCGTGATTCTTTTTACGAGTTTATACATTTAATTTATGTTGTCTTCATTTCCTTAGCATAGTTACAATCCATGCCGGGCACTCACCTTTTCCACGGTCCACCCTTTCCCGTATTGACCTAGCTAACGTTAGCTCTTCACACAGAGTAGCAGCACGTTTTACAGATAACCCAGGGTAGGAAATACCGCCAGCCTTCCCGGCCAACCGGAGAGCGCTTCTTCTTTCGGTTTCAGGGAGGAGGGATTACCTGAATAGTAACATCCAATTGGTTCCTACAAATACGATATACGGTTTTCACTAGAGCGCACAGACACAAACTCAACATTGACATAAAAATTCATGAAAACAAACATTTGATATTTGGAACCAGTGACGACCACTAGTCATGGTAAATACCACGGGCGCGTGCACACGCCAATCATACATCGACATTGAATGGACTATTCAAATAAACAGGTTCACACAATATTGTCTGGCTCCAGCCTTTGATCATGACTCTCAGTTCTATTACATTACACATAAGTCATTGGACGAATGCGTCTTCTGTAGGTGTGGGGGTGTTTTGTTAAGATCCAAGACACTTGGTCTGAACATGAACACCAATCGCTTGCGGTAGTTTTGGAAGCATAAGGACCTTATCTTGCATATCGGTGACATTTTTGTTTTTTTAACTAAAGGTTAAATTGACACGAACCTTTATAGGGTTAGGGTTCCCACAGCCATATTTCCATGTTACAGCACTTGGCCACTTAGCAAATTTCAGGTCTGCCGAGTGCAAACTTGAACTTTGTGAACATTCGGTGCAACTTCCACGTGCGTTTAACGTTACTGTGAACACTGAGGCTGTACACACTTTAAGTTACAGTTTCAGACAGTGGTCAAATAGGCTACTGTGGTTATTTGATCATAATGTAGGCCTACCAGAGTGGCCTACCATCAAAAACAATGGAGAAAATGCATCCCATAACATTTTAACATGAAAATAGCTGTTCTATCATTCAGCTTACAGAAGCAGCCAATGTGTGGTGTTTATAATATTTATAATAATAATAATAATAATATAATAATAATAAAAATATAATAATATTTAATGTAGGCCTACATTCCATGAGACTTTTGAAAAAAAAAACATGCAGGGCTTGACATTAACCTGTTTATCCTCTTGTCCTTCAGACAAGGAGGTGACTGAAAATGTTGTGTTATTTGATGCAAGAAACCACTTTACAAAATACAATGCATTATTATTCCCATACCGTGCATGTCAATGAAATAGAATCCTACTCCGATGCATTCTGCCTCCAACAAAATCTCTTGCATAATTTGTTTTACATATTAATTCTTGCATAGTTGGTTTTGTTTCGGTATGTTGCATTGATGGTTAATATTGCGTTTATTCGATCACGATTCCCACAGTAAAGGGAAACATTGATTAAGGGGGAAAACTCTAGAAAGTTGAGTGAAGTTCAATCTCGTGCTTCTCTGTGCGGGCTGATATTTCTTATACGTGGCAGTCCCGCGCACGCACGCAGTTTAGAGGGAACATTGGTGTGGACTACCTGTGCTAAATAGCTACAGTGCCTTCGGAAAGTATTCAGACCCCTG